ANGAATCATTGATAAATAACTAATTCCAAGTAGAAAATTGAAATGATATATGTATTTTTAAAACTTACAAATCACATTTAATTAAAATTTCAATCAAGAATGAGATTGAGGACAGAAGATCTTGTTGGAATATATAATTCTTATTTTCCTCCAGAAATCCATATCAAATAATTATTGAATTTAAATTTTTAGTGTTTTCATTTCAGTTATTACACGTACCTCTTCCCAAAAAGTTATGAAATATATAATCAACATATTTCGTAGTCTTAAAAATCAAATGGAATTATAACAGGAATGCATTAGTGATTCACGTCCAAAAATATAAGTTCCATCCTAAACTTAGATAACGGAGTTATATTTGATTCCTTATATTGTGACCTATTAATTTTCAATTTTTACTTTAATTTTAAATAAGTGTTTTAGAAAGTTAAGAAATAGTTAAACACATGGTTTTCAGAATTCGAAATTAAAATGGAACTAAATTCACGCATCCTCATTGTTAAGATTTTAATTGCAAATAAAACCCATTGAATCTATTTTACTAAATAATCTCAGATGGCGTCCACACTTTTTAAAAATACAAAGGAATAGCCAATTTTAAGAATAGAATAGACCATATATTAACTTTCCTGCAAGTACAATCTAATAATTTTTTTGAATTTAATAAATATTTTGATTGCTTGATTAATATTAATCTTGAAATTTAACCCTCAACTATGAAATAATGTTACTTCTACAAATTAACAAAATGAATACTTAAAATTTGAATAATTTAGAAGCTTCAAAATTCTTTCTCATTTTACTTAAAGTTTGTCCTAACAAAACGTAGTTCAGACCTATTACGATATTAACTCCACTCTTTTAATATTTGAATTAAGATTCCTACCTAATTTGTAAATCTATTTCACTTATGAACTATACAAAGAATAAACTGGATTTATACCTTTTCTTAAACTTAATTCAATCTTACTAATTTACTAAATAGATTAAATTGTTTTACAAAACGAGATAAGATGAACTGCATATTTATTGACTTTAGCAATCCTTCAAAATAGAGTGAAGTTATTCCAAATACTCTAATTCAGAATTCATCTTAATACAATGATTTTTCCAAATAAGGTGTTGTTGAATAAGTGTATCAATGTGCATCTAATTTTCTGAATTGGTTAAAGAATTCATAAATTTAGCAATGCGAATTAAGCGAATTCAAACTTTTATTCCTATTTAAAAAGTGCTTTAAATTATTCCATACTTTTGCTATAGGGTTAACTTGAGGTGTGTATGGTTATAAAAATAAAAATTATACTGCATCCAACAATTTTAAGATTCCTATGTACTGAGCTGTTACCAAGTATTATTATGAATTTATTGTCTGAATAATGAGCTTTCAAAGTCTTCATCAATTCATGAAGTTGATGACTAGAGTTTTAGATTGCCTCTGACAACTTGATAAGCATAGAAATCCTCCTATTCTATTGCCCCTAAAATTCTTATGTTTCCTATTCTTTTTTTCAATAATCATGAATTTCTATTTTCCTTTTAATTTCCAGCATCTTGTCTACTTGATTAATGGCTTATCAATAAAAAAACTTTACTTAATGTTAATTAGCACTCAGAAATTTTTAAGAGTATAAAAATTTGGCTTGAAGATTAAAAAAGAAAATTGTATATATTCTTGGTCTATTGATGACTCAATTAGGTTGTAGTTTGGAGATGCAATTATGAACAACTACGTAGAGTAACTTAGACTAATATAGGAAGGATAATAACTCAAATCAAAAAGCTAGCCCTAATTGCCACCTCCAAAAGATTTTGATATATTTGAGATCTAGAAAAAAGATGTTTATAATAAGGCAATTACTTACTGTTGAAAATCTGATAATTTCTTGAGAAAAACGAAAAACATCCATATTTTGAAAAATATTTGGACTAATAATACAATTGAGATCAACTTAAATTACTGTAGAGCTAGAATTATTCCATTAAATAAAGTTTATCCTGATATNTTAAAGTTTGTCCTAACAAAACGTAGTTCAGACCTATTACGATATTAACTCCACTCTTTTAATATTTGAATTAAGATTCCTACCTAATTTGTAAATCTATTTCACTTATGAACTATACAAAGAATAAACTGGATTTATACCTTTTCTTAAACTTAATTCAATCTTACTAATTTACTAAATAGATTAAATTGTTTTACAAAACGAGATAAGATGAACTGCATATTTATTGACTTTAGCAATCCTTCAAAATAGAGTGAAGTTATTCCAAATACTCTAATTCAGAATTCATCTTAATACAATGATTTTTCCAAATAAGGTGTTGTTGAATAAGTGTATCAATGTGCATCTAATTTTCTGAATTGGTTAAAGAATTCATAAATTTAGCAATGCGAATTAAGCGAATTCAAACTTTTATTCCTATTTAAAAAGTGCTTTAAATTATTCCATACTTTTGCTATAGGGTTAACTTGAGGTGTGTATGGTTATAAAAATAAAAATTATACTGCATCCAACAATTTTAAGATTCCTATGTACTGAGCTGTTACCAAGTATTATTATGAATTTATTGTCTGAATAATGAGCTTTCAAAGTCTTCATCAATTCATGAAGTTGATGACTAGAGTTTTAGATTGCCTCTGACAACTTGATAAGCATAGAAATCCTCCTATTCTATTGCCCCTAAAATTCTTATGTTTCCTATTCTTTTTTTCAATAATCATGAATTTCTATTTTCCTTTTAATTTCCAGCATCTTGTCTACTTGATTAATGGCTTATCAATAAAAAAACTTTACTTAATGTTAATTAGCACTCAGAAATTTTTAAGAGTATAAAAATTTGGCTTGAAGATTAAAAAAGAAAATTGTATATATTCTTGGTCTATTGATGACTCAATTAGGTTGTAGTTTGGAGATGCAATTATGAACAACTACGTAGAGTAACTTAGACTAATATAGGAAGGATAATAACTCAAATCAAAAAGCTAGCCCTAATTGCCACCTCCAAAAGATTTTGATATATTTGAGATCTAGAAAAAAGATGTTTATAATAAGGCAATTACTTACTGTTGAAAATCTGATAATTTCTTGAGAAAAACGAAAAACATCCATATTTTGAAAAATATTTGGACTAATAATACAATTGAGATCAACTTAAATTACTGTAGAGCTAGAATTATTCCATTAAATAAAGTTTATCCTGATATCCCTAATAAATCATAGTTCAGGCCTATACCAATTTTAAGCCTGTTTTTAAACTGTTGGAATTAAGATTTTTACCCAAGCCTCCAAATGGAATGCTCCTAAAATATATCAACGAAATCTGGATTTAAACCATTTTTTTCAACTCAAATTTACTAAATAGGATAAATAAATTTAAGTAAGGAGATAGAATGAATTGCGTCGTTATTAACTTTAGTAATGCATTCAAAAGGATAGAGAGAGAATAGGTTTTTGAAATTTAAAGACAAAACAACTCCTAGATCATTTAGAAATAATTTTTTAGGATTTCTGCATAATAAACTTTATTATGTATTACCACTATTCAGTAAAACATATCACTTTCATTTTGGAGTGCCCTAAAGCTCTCTTCTTTCTCAAGCTTTATTAAATATTTACATTAAAATCAAATCTGTTGATTTGTTGATATTCACTATTTGAAATATGTTGTTAATTAAATTATAAATACAATACTTTTAATAACAATTAAGAACAATCAAATCTGTTTATTTGATATTATTCATTATTTAAAACTTGTTAATTCAATTATAAATATGAATTCTTTTAATAACAATTAAGAACAATCAAAATGGTTATTTAGAGGATGAAATATCTAAAATTTTTGATGATATAAATTAAAATTTTAAATGTGATTTTAATCAAATTTTAGATATGAACAGTTATAAGAAGAATAAATATCAAAAAAAAAATAAAATATCTTCATTTGTTGTTTTCTTCTATTTTTCAATATTATTTTGAAGTAAATTTATCTGATAAGAATTATGTTTTACTATCTCAATTGTGTTTTATTATAAAAAATTCGAAATATCAATTATTATAATAGGAATCAATTACAATCAAATACATTCATTTGGTTATAGATTCTCTATTTTAAATGTCTTTGTAATAAGATTCGGTTTCTGATTATTTATAATCGGAACAAATAACAATCGAATACGTTTACTTTAATTAGAATAAATATTTGTTTTTAATCACAATTTTTATCATAAACACAATCTATATAATGCTATTTCCGAATTATACAAGTCTTTATTCCAGAGATATTCTTAAAAAGTTAAAGTAAAAATAAATATTAGTAAAATTGTTTAATATGAAATTAATTAATTTAATTTAAATTATTAACTTGTTTTTTTGGATTATTTTACAAATCAAATTATTTCAATTTAAAATCATAATGGTATCTGTAAAATATAATTGTTTCTTTTAATCATCAGTTTATTCATAAAGCAAATAACAAAAAGTGCTTATGTTTTTTTGATAGCTAAGTTTTCTAAATTTATAATTATTATGTTATTCAATTTTTAATAAGTTTAATTTAATGATCCTACTTTAACATAGAAATGTCTCAATAAGGTAAATAAAATTAATATAATTATTAGGATATTATGATTATTTTATCTATTAACTAAATTTAATTTAAATTGTTCTTAAAGAATCAAAGAAATGAAAGCATTCTATATAATGATACTAAGAAACTTAATTAAACTAATAATCCAATTTGATTTTATCAGAAAGTTAATTATTAGTTTCAATTAAATAACTGATTCTTAATATATACAAAAACATAAAACATTTATTTTGAATTTTTTAGAGTTTGAATCTTATCTTCCTGAACAACCTGGATTTACTATCTTTTTCTTAGATAACTGAATGCTATTTAGAAGAAAATAAATATTAATGAAAGTAGAATTTTTAAGAATAAAATAATTTGCTTATGCTAAACTTTATAATTATTATGATTGTCTTTTATATATTAAAATGTAAAATGCAATTACTAACTAAAATGGAATTCAATGTAACTATTAAAACATTTGTGGGTGGAAAATGTAAACAACTACTTTTTAAACTCTATCTAAGAAAGAAAGTTTTGTGTACATGAAAAATGATAGAATCTTGCAAGTGTAAATTTTGGATAAATTATATAAAATTAGAGAATAAAGAGCTGATTAATTGGAGCATTATGAAGTTATTAAAAACTTAGAGTTAGTGAAACATTTAACATAAAAAGGAGAATATGTTGAGTAAAGTAATAAAAGAAAAGGAAAATGGATGTTTTTTTGGAAATAATAAAGAATTAATGCAGGTGGATTTTACAATGAAGATGGATTAAAAGTAGGAAGATGGATAGAATTGTTTGATAATTTTTGGGAGTAAAACGAATCTGAAATCTAATAGGAAAGCTAAAATATTTTTAGAAGGAGGATATCAAGGTGGAAAAAAGATAGGAAGATGGAATATTATATATTTAGAAAAGATAATGTAAAAATAAAAAATGATAAGCAACCAGAGCAGGCGGAAATTATAGTAATGATGGATTGAAGTCTGGAAAATGGATTGAGTTACATCCAAACTTTTACGAGTATATTATTTAAATATTAATTGGAGCTTATCTGAAATGTTTTTTATTGGAGAGTATAAATCAGGAAAAAGATTTGGGTTATGGAAAATAATCAATAAGAAAAAATTAATGTAAAATAATTGAATTTTTCTTAGAGGAGGAGGATTATATAATGAAAATGGGTTAAAAGATGGCTATTGGATAGATGTATACGAAAATTATTTTAAGTATTTAACTAATTGTAATTAGCTTTTGCTAAGTAATATTTGTTGGATAGTATTAAAATGGAAGAAAATGTGGAAAGTGGGAAACTATGCATTAATAGCTTGGAAATCTGAGTTTTATTGGCGTGGGCGGAGGTCTATATGATGAATTTGGTGTGAAAAGCGGATTGTGGAAAGAGCTGCATTCTAATTTTTAAGAGTATATCAATTGATATTGTTAAGTTTTTCATTAGTTCTTTATGAAGGGGGTTATATTGATGGTTTGAAGGTAGGAAATTGGAAAACGTTGTATAGAAAATACGGAGAAAATGAATTTTAAACTATGTTAATAAAAATGTAATTATTAGAGGGTCAGGATTTTATGATTAAGATGGGATGAAAATTGGAACTTGGAAAGAAGTAGATGACAATTTTTGGGAGTAGAGTTAAATTAATCTAACATTAGCGAAAGTATCATATTTCATATTGGTGAATATCATAAAGGGAAAAAATTCTAAAAATGGGAGATTATATATCAAAATCAATTAATGTAGTTCAATAACTAGTTAATAGAGGTGGTGGATAGTATAATATTGATGGGAAAAAACACGGGAAGTGGATAGATATAGATGAAAATTACTCATCGTAATAAATATTAGTATACTAATAGTTCACGATCAATTTTATACGAAGGAGAATACAAGGACGGAAGTAAAATTGGGACGTGGTTTATCTTAAAAAATATTTTTGAAAAAACACCTTAAATGATGTATTTTTATGTTGATTATGATAGCGGTGGTGGTATATACGATGATGATGGAATGAAAAATGGAAAATGGCATGATTTATTTGATAATTACAGAGAGTAACATGAATGATTAATAGATATAGGATCTGTTAAGTCATTTAAGTAGGTAACTTTATGAATGGCAAGATGTAAGGCAATTGGAATTACATTTACAAGCACTTTAATTCATTAAATTTTCATAAAATGTATATTTTATATATTAAAAATAGAGGTGGAGGGCAATATGATAATATGGGAAAGAGAGACGGAGTATGGTTGGAATTAAATGAAAATTTTTCAGAGTATGATTGTTTTTGTTATCTGAGAAATTGCTAGATAATTTTGGTCGGAGAATATAAAAATGGTTACAAGCAAGGAAGATGGAACGCATTATTCAGAGGTTGTCATGAATATACTTATAAAACTCTGTAAATTGTTTTAATACATGAATTAGAGGAGGAGGAGTTTATTAAGAGGATGGATTAAAAAATGGAAAATGGACAGAAATACATGACAACTTTTCAAAGTAAATATTTATTTTATTATATAAAATATTAGTTATTGGTAGTAAATAAATCATGTTGAATATTAAAATGGTATCAAATAGGAATAAGAATGAATTTATATATATTAATCTATATTCAAGCGAAAATAGAAATGAATTTTTTCAATTCCTACATTATCAATAAGAATGCGAGTAATTCAGCATTTTTGATTGAAAAAGAAGTTAATTTTTTTTTAATTTTATTTATATCATAGTTTTATGAAAATTTCAATAAAGTTTTTATAAAAAAGGTTGATGAATATTCTAATAATCCCTAATGCACTATAACAAAACTCCTAATCTACATCTCGTAATGGCGGAAAATTTAATTATAATCACTATCAAATATGTTTCTTTTAATGAATATAATTTTTTATAATAATTATTACTTTAATTTAACTTTCAATTACAGATTAATTTTAGATAGCATAGAAATTAATTTAAAAATGTAATTCCATAAATTATAGAATATGATTTCATTGTTCAGTATCTTCCGTTTGAGGTATTATACTAGTTTTACTGGCCCTCAACAATGGAGCATTTACGGAAGAATGTCTAGATGATAATTTGATTTCTTTTTAGAAAGTAGTTTAATTCCAACTTTCCGCTCCAAATTCTTTCTTAATTAGAGCAACAGTTTCTTCCATTACTTACTTTGGTCTTAGGGAATTGTGGGTCCCGTCAAAAGTAATCAATTTTTTTTTCCCTCTAAAATTTTCTATTAACAATGTTGCATGTTTAGTCTATATTAATTCATCTTGTTTAGCTTGCAGAAAAATAATGGATAAATCATTTGATAAAGCTAACTATAATGTAAGAATACTTTAAACTACTTAAAGCAAGTTAAGATCGTCCACATTAAAGTGGGCTTCTTTTTAAATTTTAGATTTGATGAAACACCAACAACATTTGAAGCAAAAATTTGGAATATGATATCTAGATTTAGCCAAATCTGAGCATAACATATAAAAATTCGAAAAAGGACTATCACAAACTATTACTCGAAAGTTTGGGTTTTCACTGGCCGACAAAATAGCAGTGGCTGAACCCATTGATCTGCCCCACAATCCAACTGATGTTATATTACTCATTTTTTAATAGATGACATAAATACTTTTTCTACTCTCAAATAATTATACAGACACTAAACATCTTCAGATTCCCAATACCCCAAGGATATATATTCTCCTTACGATTAACCCGATCCTTGATTATTACAGCAGATTAGTACCAGATAAATCAATTCCACATACTGAAATATTAGATGGAATCACATAATCTATTATTGAATGCGATTCTATCCTACACCCTGAATTTCCATGTAGATATATGATGCAGGGATGTGGCTTATCCTTTAACTTTATTGGTTCAAATAAACTATGTGATATTTCTCAATAATACCTGCATTGCAATAAGAGATTACGATTATTTTTTATTGAAAAATCAGTTCTTTTAACAACAACACCTTGAACCATAAAAGCTTCACTTCCAAGGCCGCTTAGTTTGTATGAATACCTTGGAGGTCTAATTATAGGTTTCCATAACTTTTCATTCCATTTGTATTCTTCCTATTTCATTAATTAATGATTTAACAATTAGAAGAATTATTTTCAGAAACACCTTAATATAACAAACTGTATTGGATTTTAGGATAGTACAACAACACTTATGTGATTGGTCCTAATGGGGTTGGAAAAACAACAGCGGTTCATTTTTGTTTAGATAAACTCAAAATACCATATCGAAGGATTAATATGATGTAGGTATAAATTATGAGTATTATTTAGTGTTTGACAAAATAAAGTTTATTATAAGCAATTGTTAATGAGATTAGTGAGCTATGGAATCAGGAATTAACAAAAATAAGCAAGTTTAGCGAACTAATCATTAGGTTAAACTCAATTATATCAACATCTAATTAGAAGAATAGACGGTATAATTATCATTCATAATTAGAGCATATATAATTATTGATGCTCCATAATATCCTTAAATTGAGTTTATTTATTTGTAAAAATTATTCGCGCTTTCAGAAATTAAATCCAAAACTTGCTCAGTTAATTTTATTTTTATTTGTAATCAATTACCCAACATAATTGAGATGCCTTTAGGTATTACGATGATCTTTCAATCTTTTGATGAAGAATTATAAATAAGAATAATATATGCGCACATTATGTATAGAGCAATTATGCTTGAAGATTATTAAGTACAAAAATAAGATAATGTCAGAGCATTTGCGGGTTAAGTAGCCAAAGATGTCTTCGTTACGTTTTCTATAATAACAACTAATTTAAATAATTTAATTTAAATTGCTGTAGGTTTGTTTGAGAATTTTATTTATTAATGTGTAAACTTAACTAATGAGGAATAATTATAGATTAGGTAGTAATATTTGATTGCAAGAAAATTATTGTTTGAAAATCCATTCTTATAAATAAATTCAAAAGAATTTAAAGATCTAATTGAAGAAGTTGAATCTTAAAAAAACCCTCAGTAAAAATCGATTTAAGAATCTAAAAAATAATAGGCTGAAACCAAAACTGCTATATAAACATTAGAAATTTAAAAAATTAAATTACCTAAACTACCCTCTTTGATCCTATTATCATCTTATTATGCTTCTAGAAATCCTGAAAAAACGGATGGAACTATTTTCAGAGATCTTAAGAAAAATAAAAGATAATCCAAAGTTAAAGAGTAATTAAAGGTCAAGTAAAAAGTTTCTCTTTATCGATTAATCGCCATCACATAATCCTTAATGTCAATAAACGAAAACAAGGAATTTTCAATTGAGAAGTAATAATTCAATTAATCAGTTTAATTCTATCAATAAATATAATTGTTAAGTGACTAAGGTTTTATCAAAGTTCACCATAAAAAAGATGATATTTTAAATAAAATAAAATTGGAATGTTAAATAACAGAAAAATAAGCTTTCGATCTTGCCGCTGAACTTAACATTTAATTCAATGAGTTTTTATCTGCATTTTGATTGCTATCATGTTATAAAAATTATTTAATTAAATAATAAAAAAATTATTACTTTTTTATATCAAGGGTTAGAAACGATGCATAAACATAATTGAATTTAATTATCTATATCTTTGAAATTAAGATTCTGTTTACATTAACTTATATACAACAAGAGTAGTTTAGAGGCTGAAACGATAATTATTGCTGATATAAAAGTCAAAGTGTATATATCATGAATATTTTTGAAAAATTTAGGAAAAACAGAGTCTGATTATATTTTAGTACTAAAAGAAAAGAAAAAGGTAAAATAATTATATAGTATTAAAAAACAGAAAAGCTAGGGGAGACTTTTTGGATATAAAAATATGGAGAACTCTTGTACTTAGTTGAAATTCAACAAGAAAAAATTCTCTATATTCTTAGAAAATAAAGGATTGATATATTATAAATTTATTTATTTAATGCATATTTCCAAAGAGAAGCGAATGAGAGTGTTGCTGGCAATTTTGTCTTTAGTTGATTTTGGATATTCATTTGATACTATTACATACATTACTTTGATACTTTCTTGCATACTTGTTTTGTGTAGTATTGGTACTTATATTATACAATATTAGTCAGCTTGTTATTTGAGAATAACAAATTGTTATCACAAATTTTAATCACTATGTATTATGGAAAAGAATTATTATTATATGGTCCATCTCCGACATGGCCAGTATTATATCTTTATAAACTTATTGGGTCTAAAAACTACATTTTTTTACTATTGTTTTCGAATCAAATAGTATTCAATTAACTCGATTAGTTATGGATTTATAGTATAAAAAGAAATGATCATCACAGCATATAATTAATTCTAATATTGTTATTAGAATGTTATACCTTATACATCAAATAGAAATCCTATTATTTATGTAAAAACTTGTTGGTGAGATAGTTCAAATAAGAATGTGTGTTTTAAATATTTGATTGTAATCATAGAAATATTTCTGAAAACACTCATTCGCTACCAATAACAAATAGACTTTAAACAGAAAATACTCTAATAGGAAGTCCAAGAGGGGATAAAATTAATTTAATTCAAGATGATAAGGACATTCACTATAAATTATTCTTGAATAATGAACCAGGCTTATCATTAGACTAATAAACAATTTAATAATAATTAATTTTTAGATCAACTAAAGAATTACTATAATTTTTATCTAAAAATAACCATTATTTTATTATTGCTATTTTTAATGATCCACTTTTAAACGTCAAATTTTAATATTAAGTAAAGTATCTTTCGATAAATAATTAATAAATTCTTGCCTTTTAAAAGATAGAAAATGGCTTATATGCAAGATAAAATCATAAAATATTAAAATATAAATAGAATCTCATTAATATTTTTAATCATAAACTAAAAACTCCTCTTAATAGTGCAATTGGACATCTTATTACAGCTGAAGAGGATGATTAGGTTATTGAGGACATTAAAAAAATGTACTTGTAACCAGCCTTATTGAATTGCAGATTACAACTCTATTTGGTATAAGACATTTTGGATTATTTATCACTTGAAATCGAATAATTACCTTTGATGAACAATAAAACAAATTTAAAAACATTGTTATTAGAAGTTTACAATCTAATTGAATATTAATGTAAATTGAAAAATATTGATATTTTATTTAAAATTAATAATGAAAACTTTAAGAAAATAGACACAAAATCCTTATTTATATATACAGATTCAAACAAATTAATTAGGGTGTTGTTAAATATATTAAATAATTCTTATAGATATGCAGAAGTAGGAGGTAGTATCATCTTAGAGATTAGACTAGATTAAATAAATAAGACTACCTATTTTTCTATAACTGACAATGGTTAAGGAATGGAAGAAGAACAAATAAAAAAATTAAATTGTTAATTGTAATCTTTCGAAAGCATTTCTTTTAGCAAATTAAACAAATAATAGGATAGTAATCGTAGTATCAAACTTGGGTTAAGTCTCTTTCTGGCTAATAAGCTAATTAAATTATTGAGTGGGGATAATAGTTGTTTATAATTAAGAATATCTAATAATCAATTATTGTTCATATTTTCAATTAATGATATTCAAGAAATATAGTCAGCAAGCTCGCTTGGAAAATCTAAATAAAACAGCTTTATAAAATAAAAATCATTAAGAGGCCTAAATAATAAATTTAACAGCTAATCCAGTCCTAGAATTTCTAAATTTAAATAAAATTCATAAAGATAAATAGACTTTAAGAATTATAATTCTTTAAGATTGATTTATTAGTGTGATATTCAGAATGAACCCTCACCTTAAGTTCCTCATAAGATTACCACGCATCAAAACAATCAAAAGTTTCATCATCAAAAATAAAGAATTAAAACAATAAGAAAATCTTTAGAATCTTAGTTTAGATCTAGAGCAACTAGTTTTAGAACACATAAAATTGAATAAATTATTCGATCAGAATAAGTTTAGTAATAATAACAAGTTATTTAACATGATGAATATATTTTAATAGTTGATGATGAACCTTTCAACCATGAAACTCTGTGTATGATGTTGAAAAATATGGGGTTTACCAATTTCTTAAAAGCGTTTAATGGTCAGCAATGTCTAGATGTTGTATTATAGAACCATCATAAAATATACATGATTATGATGGATATTGATATGCCAATAATGAATGGAATAGACACAACAAAATAATTAGAAAGTTTGATTAGTAATAGTACAATATGTTACATTCCTATTATTGGATGTACTGCACATGAAGACTATGAATCTCATTTATAATGTTTTGATGCTGGGATGATACATGTAGTTGTTAAACCTGTGTTTATTAAATCAATCTAAGAAGCACTTAACAAAATATCTGAATTGAAATCAAATGAAACGATTAAAGAAGATACATCTTCTTATGTGATAAATAAAATACAATCTTAATCTTCGAACTTTTAATGATTATTATGTTATTCTTAAATTACTATAAAAATGTATTTTTTTAACATATTTAAAACTATTTCAATATTTAATTTTTATGATTAATTACATCAGCTGGTTGTTGATAGACAGCACTCTGAGATTAATTCGTTAATCATCATTATTTCAAAAATTTTCTTCTCAACAAAAATTTTAAATAGTTTTATGGATAAATCATTGAAATGATATCAAATTAGGCAGAATTATTTAGATATTAGAAATGTTCCAATAAAATCTTGATTAGTAGATCTATCGACAATTCAAATTAAATAAATCATAATTTATTTTTTTAATGGAATAATTATTTACTTTTAAATGAAATATTTATTAAATGGTTTAAAAAATATCTTCTAATACTTCTACAATAATTTTGATGAGAATAACTTCTTTCATAATAATTTTTATAACATTCCATTACAGATTTAATGAATAAGCAAATGAAATTTATTTTTTATTAATAATAATAATTATGAATAACTACCTTGAAATTATTAAACAGTTGTAATAAGCTGTCGAATTAAGTACAAGAGAAAATGTAGAATTAAGAGAATAGATAATAATGATGGAAACCTAATAAGACCCTCAAAAAAACCTAAAAATTAGTAATTTGCAAATGAAGATCATAGAGTAATAACAATAAATATCTGAATTAAAGCAACAAATGATTAAACGAAATTAAATGAAGAAAGAACACTAATGTAATGACGATAATAAATTTTTAATTGAATAAATGAAGAAAAAATTCGAAGAAAAGAGTAATGAACTAACGAGATATTAAGATTTGTATGAAAAGGCCAGGTTAAATTTAAAGCAAACTCAATAACAAGTACTAGAATTAAAGGAATAAATCAACTAATAATGTTAATTGAACGCGTAAGAATAATAAAAAGTAACAAAAATGGAATTATTAATGAAAAATGCTAGATAATAAGAATTTGTATCATTATAATATATATTAGAAATAGAGAGATTAAACTCATAAATATAATAATTAGAATATGAATAAAAAAGCTTATCTAGAATAAGCCATTGAAATGATTATTATTGTATTAAATTATTCATAAAATAAACATTATCACAAAGGAAAGACGGAGAATAATAATTCGTTATTTTCATTTGAAAAGATAATATATTTATTATTAATATATTAAAATATGATTACTCTAATATGGTTAGTGCATTTTGATAAAAGATGGCTATGTTTTCATTGTCCAATAATATAATCAATGTGGTATTCTAAATTTACACTGTAGGTTATTTGGAACTATTTATTGCTTTTTATTAGCTGGAATTGATTTGTACTCAATATATTTTCATTAGTTATGCCCTTATGCATTTAAGCATTTACTAATAAATATATTTCTCTTATTAATTTTGGCAGGGCTATCATACATAATTTATGCTAAAACTTTATTTAAGAAAGTAATAAAAAACGTATTATATAATTTTAGGAAAAAATGCAAAAATATCAAAATCGACTGGATATTGCAATTAGACTAAATCACTGGACAATTAGAAAAGTATTGCTTTCCAAGATTGGATTTGCTGTATTTGTTATAGGGTTTATTTAAAATTTATGGGCCCTGGAAACCTTTCTAAATTTGTAGGAATGCAAAAATTGTGAAGGTATGTAACCAAATATACTAAAATTAAATCTATTGTTAACTATCATAGCATCCATACCAATAGCATTTATGATAATCTGTTATGTTTTAATAAAATCTGTTGCTTTAATAACTAGCTCTTTATTTCCGCATACATACATAAAAATAAAGAAAATATTTTGTAATTGATATTGATATATAAGTAATATTTATTGAAAATATTAAAGAAAATTTATTTGATATTATTGAAGAAATTTGATTAAAAGATTTCTTGCTTTAAAAGATTGATTAGACAGATTGAATATCTTTAAGATAGTAGCATCTAATTTTTGTTTATTTTGATTTATTTTTAATATTATTTCTAATGATAACATATGTTCCATTAATCTGTAGATATTAATTTTGATGTAAATTTACTCGGCAATAGAAAATAGATGCATATCTAATGTTTCATCTCTATTTTCTGATTATAAATTAATAATATTTTAATTATACCGTTTTTTATGAAATAAGTCACCTTCATAGTCATATTTATTACATTGACATTCCAAACACAATTGCATTCTAAAGTAGATTAAGTTATGGCATAAATGGAAAAAATGGCATTAAAAAATGATTTTTCTAAACAATTAGCAGGCCTTATTGAACTCAAAATGTTATAAAGTTCTTATGTAGAGGAAGTGCTCAAAGAAATAAAAGGCATCAGAGACTAATTAATTGCTGATTAAAGTGTGGAGGATTAAGAATATGCAAAAGTAAATAAATGTAGTAATATTACCTCAGAAAATTGGACAATTGAATGTGGAAATTGAAATCCTAGAAATATAAACAGAGAAGCTTGCAAAAGAACTGCAAAGACTCAATCAATAAATAGGAGAATTAAATGAAGATATTAGCAAACTCATTGGTACCTAATAATCATAAGAAAAACAATTAAGCACCTTAAACTCAAAGGAAGAAGAAATTAGAAATTAATACAAAAGTGAGATAGAAACTCTTAAAGTAATCACATTTGACTATATCTAGCAAAGAACTACAAATAATATCAAATCAATTGATGGATTAAATGAAATGATTGCCAAATTACAATAAGCAGTGTTTGCAGAGTAAAGTAAAACAACTGTGCTTTCCTAATAACACACAAAACAGTATGTTGATGATCTTAGAGACTAATTAGGACCAAATCATCCCTTGACTGCTTTAGTGGCTGTAACTACAAAGTAATATTAGTTATGAGTTAGATTTGATGTACCCACAGTCACCAGAATTATTCAGTTACTTGAAAATATCAGAGATTAGAGAATCTAGGAAAATGCAGGAGCTGATGAATATGAAACTAAAGTTACTTAATCTTACGAAGTTACCCTCAAAGAAGTTACAGAAGTAAGAGAAAGATTGAGCGCCGATTATTCAAGAACTTTAGTCACTTTGAAAAGAAGAAATGAAGAAAATGTATTATTCCTTTTCAGTTTAAGGCTCTCTCTACAAAGTCTAGAAACTAAATTTAAAAGGACTTACCTATTGCTTAGGATTTACTTTAATAATATAGAAACGAAAGAGAAATCGTTTAATCGAATTATAATCTTAGATCAGCCAAAAGAGAAAATGAAGTTAAAATCATAACTCAAGCCTATACTATAGTAGCTTAATAAGTTAGAGTATGAATAATATCAAAGAAATCAATATTTATTAATAATTTATATATAAGATCAATAAAATTATTCATTATGAATCAATCTATGGCTAAATTGTATTCTCAAGATGGAACGGGAAGGGATTCCTATATCTTTTATGATAATGGCGGTTTCTATCCCGGCAATCTCAAATTATAAAAATCACCATCGCTTTCAAACTGTATTGTTATTCTAAAAAGTATAAGGGGCCTATGGTACATACTCTCCTTAGAAAACTCATTTCAAACCCGAAAAACGACAGTTTTAAATTAGTGATGGAACAGGGAGAGATACATATGTGATTCGAAATATAAAGGATAAAGCATATTTCTCTCCAGACTTTTCATTTCAATTAAGAAAATATGATTCTCAAATCTTGAGTCCTCAATATCCCTACAAATTACCTCCTTTAAAGTAGGCCTAATTATCTATTAAATCTGATAAGCAAAAATCATTAATATAGAGATTAGCAAAACCGAAACTTAGAACTCAAAATGATTGAATATGTATTTTGTAAAAACAAATTTATTATATCAAAATATTGTCATATTATACTTTGATGGAAGATAACAAGATTTACTTCACGCCTGAATCAGCCATTATTTTACAAGAATTAAAACAAAAAAAATTATTGAAACCAAGATAATTATCTTAAGATAATCCAAAAATCAATTTAAAGACTATAAAAATACCTTAGAGAAGCAGATAAATTTCGTTAACAAAAGAATTAGATTATTATGTGAAACAGTCTATGAAAGAAAAAATGAAAGAAAAACAAAAACAGTTGAATGAAGAACTTGAATGCTTTAAATATTAGTATAAGGATATCTTGCAAGATAATCCTTATGTTAACAATAAACTCAAAAAAAATTTTTTTAATCTTAAATTTTCAGATGAATAGAGAGAAACTTATGCAATTAGGTTGGGAAGACTGGCAGTGAAACATAATCAATAAATCAAATAGATGTAACGAATAGTTGATGACATACATGTATAATAGAGTAATTGTAATTTAGAAAAAATATGAGGCTCAGAATGAACAGTTAAATTCATACATGCCTAAAACAATTGAGACGATGGTTACGGAAAGTGATTCTTATATCAAAACAAGTAAAATCTACAATGCTGATTTGTTGGCAAAATACTAATAACTAAAATACTAGCATTATTGGAATAAATTGCCTAAAACTTTAGCAAATTGATATGTATTCTAAGCATTTATCAATTTTATAAATTATATATTATGGTTAATCAGAAATGGGTATATTTAATGATATCATCATCCTAATAAGAGGGGTGCATGAAGGTTCATCATAAAAGTACCATAATTTAGTTTATAAATAATTTTAATTATTAATTATCAATCAAATAAAATAATTTATATAGTGGAGAAATGCAATTTTGATTCGCACTAATTGGAAAAAACCATATTAAATTAAATCAATGAAAAAGATAATTTAATATTCTCCTAATCTAATCTTGTATATGACAAAACAGGAAGTTATGAAAAGTGCAAAGTTAAGGAAAATTAAAATTGACAAAATATTTTCACACTATATATTGAATACCTATATTTTCGAGATATTTTAGTATACTTGTTTTAAACAGTTAAAATGGCTATCTTATCTAATCAATCTAAATTATTACAATAGCAAAATCAATGTTTTCTTTATTCAAAATTATTCCATAATGAGACAAATATGCATTTAAGGTGATGAGTAATTTCCACTATTGTTTTGAAAGTTCCAATATTTATATTCTAATTCTTAAATTTAATTGATTGTAAATGTTAATAACGAAGTTGAGGATATCTGCATATTTATAATTGGTTCAAAAATTATGATGTATAAGTATAATAATAATACACATGTAATTAAATTGGTTGATTACCGATTTTATATGTCTTATTTATATTTTAACATTTAAGTTCTTTCATAATAATTATATAAATGGATAAAGTGAAGAAAACTTCTTGGGAGAAAATTACTAGTCTTCTTTAGTAGTTATATACTGCGGAATAGCAAATTCAAGAGTAGCATGTTACAATACAAAGCAGTACTTATACACTAGTTTCATTATTCCATGCTCAATTTCGTCAATTGATTGATAGAGAGGATATTATTGATTCAATATAACAATTAGATTTCGAGACCCCTTAATTATTTAATATGGGCAGGAACTTGTAATCTGAGTTTGCATTTACTTCAAATCACAAGTATATTTTAAAGGTTGTGTCTGGAACTCAATACAGGTATTTTAAAAATACTTTCCACTAATATTACTTCAAAATAATAGCTAATAAGAACTGTTTGTTAGCAAGAACCTTTGGAATATATAAATTAGAAGATAGAGAAAATAAATCATATTTCGTCTTGATGGAAAATTTATTTTATGAACATAAATTGTAAAACAGTTAAATAATCAGCATATATGATTTGAAAGGAGCATAAAGCAGTAGAATTACTAAAAATTTTGATGAGCAGTTTCACCAACAATAAGAATTATTAAAAACTAAGGCTCAAACAATTCCTTTACTAAAAGGAAAGGATGAAGATTTTAAAAAAATTAGATTCTTTTAAGATTTCTCAAATGAAAAGAAATTAGATATTATGAATTCGATAAAATAAGAAAGTGATATTCTCGCTGAAGCCAATACAATGGATTATTCTCTCATGATTATTACTGGACATATCAATCAATGCCAATAAGGGAATAGACTAATTAAGTTAAGCAATAATGTTGGTACTATAATTGGAATAATTGATTATTATTAAGAATATAATAGTACCAAAAAGCTAGAAAATAAATTTAAAACTTGGTTTGGCATGCATAAACCAGATTAATAGATTAGTTGTGTAGATAGTGATACATATAGAAAAAGATTTTAGATTTATTTTTAGCAATTTCTATAAGATTGAATGAATGATAATTTTATAGATTTGATTCCATTATAAATATCTTCTGTGTTAATTTAAATAAATATTCTAATTAATATTTCATACATAAGAGTATCCCTGACTAAAATTATTTTATTTTAAGTGAAGAATAATCTTATTTATTAAAAAAGATTAAAATGATTATTATTAAATATTATCTTAAGAGAAGAGATTCAGAAATGAATTAAACTAATTAGTTTTAACATTTATTTGTTTTCTTTTAGAATATAAGCCAAATTTATATTAGGATGGTAAAGATTCTATTGAATTATATACTCCTTAAGGTCTTTTTAGACTTTATTGGACTATTTAAATTCAAACTATTTTGAGTTTATTTTTGAATTCAAAATAATGATTTTGAAATATTATTTATTTCAAATATAAATGTCTTACAAAAGTCCTGTTTTACAAAATTCTCTATAATTGTTGTCTGAGATCAGAAGTTCATTAGCTAATTCAGGGAAGTAATCATCAAATCCAAAAGGAATAAAAAAATAAGTAAAATTAAGATGTAATTTTTGAGTTATGTGTAATTTGAATATGATTAACAAGAAGAACCCAGAATTTATCCACCTGAATGTATGAGAGTTGAGAAACAAGTTGGATAAGTGAGTTCCGCGAATTTAACAGAAGAAATACTTGATTATTTGAGGATTAATTAGAAGTCATTTGAAAAGTAGTGCAGTGAAATTGAAAAATAAATAAAAGAATTAGTTGAAAACATTGAAACTGAAGATGAAGTGGAACCTATTTAGTCTCGTAAGCATTAAAAGAGGAATTGATTATTATAATATTGCAATTATTTAATTTTACAAATATATACAGGAACTGATTAATATATAAAGTACTACATTATAATATGGATATTGAGGAAAAAGAGAGTAAATTGTAGCCAAATCGTCAACTTTTGATAACTGAAATATTACAGACTCATCAATTTGAGTCAGTTTATAAAATGTGTAAAAGAATAGACAATAGTATATTCAAGAATTGCAGTTATCCTTTAATGAATATTAAAAACTAGATTGAGAAAGTTTAGAAGTGTGATTATAGCTTTGAGGATGTTAAATAATAAAAGATGTTAAATATGATGAATGAATAAATGAAAATTGAAAACATGAGATAGGAGATGATAGATTTGATTATAGAGAGAAAACCCTTCCCAAAGATATTCTAATTTATCGAATTGAATGATATGAATCAATTTGAAATCATATATTGTGAGAAATTACAAAAGCATCTCATTGAGGCTCAATTTCACCATTAATACATTAATATTGCTAGCTTTTAATTTGATTGCAAGCAAGAAATCAATTCAAATTGCAATGACCATTAGATCATCCTTGAATCAATTGAATTGCTAACATAAAACATGCACTAAATTATTAATCTTTAAATAATGAGGATAAATGACTATTATTGGATTAGGAATTTGTATCAAAAATAATTACAGAAATAATTTAAAGGATTTAATTAAGTAATTCATTAAAAGATGGTATATTTGTATGAATCAATATAAAACCACCTAATAGTATTGTAAAATAATAGAAATAGATAAATCAAGCAACCATTTATTATCTATGAATTAATGAAGATCTTACTCTACTTTGCTAACCAAAAAGAACTTATTATTCCTGATTTATTGTTAAATTTAGGATACAAATCAAAATATGATTAGTTCAACATCAAATTTAGATAAATCATTTGCCATTTTAATCTTCCTTTTTTAAACTAATTAATCAAATTACCAGAGTTGCAAGACGTAGTACACATTCTCAATATTCCTGATAACATGTAAAGTGAATAATAGCATAAAGAGTATTAAGAGTATTACATTCAAGAAATCTACACCTTTTTTAGATTCATAAAGTCCTTATCTATTGATGAAGTTATTCTCTCTTAATTGCAATTACTTTTTAAGAAGTTAAATGAGTTTAGAGATAAATTAACCATTATTTACGATAATCAACAATTCAAAGGATTAATTTCGAGGTTGAAATTACTTTATAAATCAGAAATCAATAGTTAATAATATCCTGATCCGGAGAAATTTAATAAAACTTAAATTAATTACATTCTCATAGTTTAATTGTTATCAGAAATCAAAGTCTTTACTTTAACTTCTTAAAATAATAAAATAGATGATGAATAAATAATGAAGATGTAAAATTATAATGATGGAAGTGATTTAGATGATGAGAATGAAGAATTTTAGATATTTTAATAAGAAATCAAGAAAACTGTTTGGAGTCCTAAAGATTATAAATATGTTAATATTTTTAAATACTTTATCAATTAGATGAATTTATACAAAGTTCCATTTCCAACTTTACTCACGATTGTATAATTCTATAATTATAAATTTACTATTAATTGCATTAAGACTACTTAAGAGGAATTACACAAAAACTAATAATACATTCGATTTCTATATAGATTATTGGCTAAAAATCTTAAAAAGGATTAACTAATACCATTAAGAGAATAACTTGTCAATTTATAGGTAGACAAGATAATTAAATGGCCTAAATGTATACAATAACAAACTATTTTGATTAATGAAAACAAACATCATTTGAAAGATGAATTAAAAGAAATTATTAAAAACAAGAATTTTTAAAAGTTTTATACAGAATTAATTGAAGCTAATGAAACTAATGAATTGAGAAAAGAAATCTTAGAGAATTTAAATGATATTTTTAATTATATCTAATCTATATGATTTAAAAAAATATTATTCTATTAAGTACATTTATTTTTATAAATATATTTAACATTTTACAATGTCCAATCAAATAAGCTAGATTTTTGCTCCTATCTAATGCGATGATCATAAAAAAGGGATTGATTTTATAAATTTAACAGCCCCATTACCTCAAGGCTAGAAAAGGCTGTTATGCGAACGTTGTGATTTTAATAAGAATTGTGAGAATGTGCATTATAAAACTGATGTTGTTTAATTTTTAGAAAAAATTGAGTAATAGGAAAAGGACTTTTTAGTTAAATTAGAGAAAGCCTGTTAAATTATAAAAGAATTAAAGGAGCATCTAAATTCAATTGAAAAATCATTAGAAAGTCAAAAATAAAATATAACACAAAAGTTATGTATCAGGCCCAATAATTCATTAGGTATATTTCTATAAAAGAAGAATGCGTTGACTAAAGATATAGTCAAAGAAATGAGTGATGAACTTTGTCAACTAATAATGTAGAAATAAGATAATATCTAATTGAACGCAGAAAATAGCTCCACTATTAACATTGAATCATTAAAAAGGATTGAAGAAAGTGATTAAAGGAAATTGGAAAAATTGATTAATGATTTCAAATAAGTTTTGAATTTAAGTGATAATTAGATAATGTAATAATCATAATAATAATAATAATAATAATAATAATAACAATAAATCCTATAAGAATAATCCTAATCTATGCTATAATCAAACTAATCATTTATCAATACTCATATTAATTATGTAAATACCTTTACAAAGAATATTGGGGAATAAGTGATACATGATGTAAAGTTTAATAATAAAGGCAATATTGTTGTAGTTTCAAGTAATTTAATTCCTGATAAAAATTGTTATGCATAAGTTTATACATTCTAGGATAACAATTTTACTCTTACTTAAAGTTTAGATCTTCACGGAGGAGATGTGAAATCTATTTGTTTTATTTCATAAGATGATAATTTCTTCACAGCCTGTTAAGATAAAAAAATTAGATTTTGGAAAAAAAAAGAATAAAACAAATGGGGTTTAGATTAAGAACTAATGGAATTGAAATCGCCTGCTAATTGTATTCAAATGAATCATTCTGAGAATTATCTGGCCTCAGGAGGTGACTATTTATGTTTTTGGAAAAAAGCAAATGAGAAATGGATTTATGACACTGAGTTTTCTAATTCAGAGCAAAAGATACAATCATTGAGTTTTAATTTAGAGGACAAATTATTAGCAGTAGGTTATCACGATTATTTGATAAAGATTTTTGAATATTATAACAATAAATGGATTTAGAGATATTAAATGGAAAAGTAAGCAATTTTAATAAACTACTTTAATAATAAGGATCTAATTGAAGTATAAAAAAATGGATATTTTAATTATTATTTGTATGATAATGAAATTTCTGATTATTAGATAGTTGGAACATATTTTAGTTAACAAAATTACAATTATACTGCTGGGTTTTGTTAGTAAAAAGCAATATTAGCCTTGTCTCCAAATGAATAGGGATAAACAAATTTGCATATGATAAAAGAGAACAGAATTTCAGGGCCTTTATAGAAAATTCCTCATAAAGGGGATAAATTGTTTTTTTCTAAGGATGGGAATTACCTTGCTATTGTATCAAATTAATAGCTATTAATTTATCAAGATGAGTAAGAAAGATATTGATTATTAATATTTAATATTATATAATTAAGAAATCACAAACATAATTCTGAATACAATAGAATAAAAAGTATTATATTCTTCTGTAGATTTGTAAGATGTTTTTTAGATAATTTGTTAACAATATTAAATTATGCAATAATTGTTACAAACAGAAGAAATGAAATGTAGAAAACATTCGAAGGCTAAAGAAAATTTAACTCTAGTAGGACATATTTAAGATGATAGACAACTTTTATGTGATTTATGTAATTATAATGGTCTATGTTAAATCAAATTATTGGATTTGGAAAATTTTTTACAGTAATTCAACAACTAGATCCAATTTTTTCATAAAGAAGCCAATAACATAAATTTGCTGATAACAGCTGCAAAAAAAATAACAGAATTAGTATAATAAATAGAAAAAGGGTTAATAGAAATTGATAAGAAAATATAATAAAAATAAAAAATGAATTAAACTATTTAGTCATATTTAAATTCTCCTTTGAATGAGTAGAGATTAAAAGAATTATTACAATACCTAAAAAATAACCATATAGATGATTATAAGGTTAAGTCAAACAAAAGTATGCTAGAGAATGAAATATTATAATAAAGGAAGTACATTTAAACTCTCAATATTATTTAAATGGCATAGGATGAAATTAATAATATCCTAGTTTAACAACCCTCCATAAATAATGAAAAAGAATAGACATTAAAGTAAGTTTATTTATTTGATAAATAAGTGGAACAAGATTTTGATCAGCAAATTTAAGTGTACGATATGCAATTGAATAATACTGGAATGCTTTTGGCTGTTGGTAGTAATAGAATAGAGAGTGATGGCTGTTATGCTTAAATTTGGGAAATTGATGGAGGAGTCTTGAGGAAATGTTGCTCTCTCAAAGGTCACTAGAGAGAAGTGAAAACGCTGTTTTTTAATTAGGAAGATACTGTTTTTACTGGTAGTGTTGATTCAACTATAAAAGTTTGGGTAAAATAACAGAATGAAAATAAATGGGATTTAAAACAGGATTTAGTCAATTTTCATTCTTTAGCAGTTAATTGTATTTAATTACATTACTCTAATCCTAATTTTTTTGCCTCAGGAAGCGAAGAATTGATAATCTGGAAAAAGGACTTATTATAACATGGCTAATGGGTGTAAGATTCCACATTTAAAAATAATAAAAGAATTATATCTGCTCTAAGTTTTACTGACAAAGGGAATTTATTGATAGTAGGAAGTGATGATCGTTTAATCTAAATACTGGAATTCGCACATAATTAATGGAAGTTAAAGCATAAATTTGACCAAAACAATAAAATCATGCAAATCATTCCAACATATAATAGGGACTTTATTTCATTCTAGATAGATGGAGAATATACTGTCTGGAAATGTAAGAGCGAAAATAATGATATATCATGGAATTAGATATAGAATAAGCATGAAGGTTAAATTAAAAAATTGAGCTTTTCTTTGACCAAAAAACTTTTAGGTGTAACATATGAGGATAAAAAAATTAAACTCTTTCAAATTGAACCTGATGGTAAATTATCAGAGAAATAACTTGATAATAATGAAGGGGAAATCATGATAATGTCTTATTTGTCACCCTCTAAAATAGTTTCGCAAAATCCATTAATAACTAATGTAGGTAAGCAAGGTAACGGAAATTAGGATATCATGTTTCTAAATGGTCCTAAAGTTCAAAGCCCTTTAATAGTGGGAATACAAGGCGGGTAGTAAGGAGGCTGGCAATAAGGTGGAATGTAAGGCTTTTAATAGGGTGGAATGTAAGGCTGGCAATAAGGTGGAATTTAAGGCTTGCAATAAGGTGGAATTTAAGGCTGGTAATAAGGTGGAATGTAATTAGGCATATAAGGCTAATAGTAGGTAAGCATATAAGGCTGGTAGTAAGGAGGAAATTAAGGATATTTGATGAATTTCAATCCAAATTAACAAAATGTCAAGGGAACAATGGTAAATGTAAGTAATCCTGTTTTTAACCCTTTAAGAATATCAGAAATGGCAATAGAATAATCAAAATTTGTGAAGGTTAGTAAAGGAAAATTGCAAGTTTACTTAGAGAGAAGTAAACAAAGTTGAATAATATAATATAAAATCATAAAATAGAATCATTCATTTTAAATGTGACTAATTTTCTGACTTGTTTTTATGAACTCTAATTAGATTGGAGTTTGCTAGAGCTTTGCTTTAATCTTCCTCTGCTACTGGAGCCAACTAGACTTTATGATTCGTCATTGTTGATATGTAATTCCTTTGAGAATAGACTTTAATGCAACTACTTCATTTTATTGACTAAAATTCTTAGTATCTCATAGTTTTCTATTAAAAATATCATATGTTGCCTGATATCAATAATTAATTAAATGAAGATGAGAAGAGTCAAGATTGTAATGATGACCCACCCAATTTTGATATAACTTTGATAACTAAAGAACTCACTTTTTTATCCAAAACCCATAAGCAATATCAACAATTCTGTTATCCACAATAAGACTTCTGTGGTTATTTGTTTGTAATATTCAGATTTATCAATTAATGGCTTATTGTAAATAATGTAAGTAAAGAATATAGCATTTAGAAATGACACGAAACCAATTTAGAATAGGGGGTAATCATACAAGAACACTAAGAAAAACATGAATAGTAATTTCTTAGTGAAGAGTACAATATTGTAATACAGACTATAAGGATTGCTGTCTAATTCAATTCCTTCATAGAGTGCTCCATATTTTAATTGAACTTCCTATAATTCAAAGTAAAATCTTTTATTGCTCATGACAATTATCCCAAAGTAAATAAAAAACATTTCACAAAACAACAAGGCGAGTGCAAAAAGACTGCTTAGTATTAAAATAGAAGAGGAATTCGAATAGCTCATTAATTGCAAGAATATTGCTAAATTCAAATCATAAGAAACTGTTAGGAAGGCCCTTAGAATTCCAGTTTTGTATTGGATTTTGAGATTGTAAAAGTATTTTTGCATGGTCCTTGTTAGTTTGAGACATAAAAATATTATAACATTTGGTTCTTCTTATTCTTAATAATTAGCAATTAATTAATGAGAACTTACTTTCTTGGCATAATGATAGATGCAATAGAATATAATATGAAAAAATATGTATGTTCCTATGGTTGTCATAATGACTATGAAAATAGCAATAACATTAACAAAAAAGACTGATGTATATCCTTCTTCTTTAAACTTAAGAGCAGGGTCTTCAATTTCAATGGATGAGGAAATCAAATCCCCTACACTGAAGTTGGATTTCAAGAAATCAAATTCAGCAAAACCAAATAATTAGAAATACGTTTCCAGATTATAGGGATAGAGGACATTTAAATACTTTAGATAGGATAACACTTATAGAGTATCTAGTAGATTCCAGAAGATATCCAATCCTCCAAATAGAAATGCCAAGATGGCAAAACCAATAAGTAAATATAGAATGTAAGAGTTAAATCTAACTAGATTCTATGTGTTTGAAATTTCAGACTCACTCAAAGCTTGATATTGCAAGAGTGTAATAGATTGATTTCTGGATTGAAAGGAGAAGTGATCCTGTGAAATCACTTCAGTGTTTTTGCTGACAATAAAAATGATTTCTGGAGACTGTATGGATTCACTTAATTCAATGACAATCTGGATATCAACTTGATTGAATTCTTTAGTATATTAGGTTCTATCAATAATCTCTTTAGCACTAAATTTGTAATTTGGGATTTTGGTAATCATCGAAATGGAATCCTTGAGAGGTGCTTAGGTGATATTGACTACTTGATCGAAAGTAAGTGTAATTGATCTAGAGGAGTCATAGATTTTATCAAAGGGTGATTCTGTTAGAATGATATCAATATAATCAATTTTGACACAAATTTAATCACAAATGTAACCATCTTCAACTGTACAAAATGAAGAACATCCATCACCATTTTCTGTGTTCCCATCATCACATAATTCTTCAGTGGTTCTTATTCCATCTCCACAAAGACTGATGCATTGATTATCAATTATTGTATATCCAGCAGTGGAGATACAAGTTATACATTCTTTTTCAGGGGTGTAGAATTTGCACTCTACACATTGAGTTGGGGATGAGTTACAAGTTATGCAATGGGGAGAACATAATTGACAAGTAAAATCATTTTCCAGATAGTATCCATCAACACATTATTAACAATCTCCTAGATAACATTTCAAACATATATCAGTGAGACATTTGTTATTAGATAAGTAACATTGATTGCAGCCATCTCTGGGTTCAAGATTACCATCATCGCATTGTTCATTCCATTAGACGATCTAATCTCCACATTTGGAATAGCAATAATGAGTGATTGGAGGATATTGATAGGTACTACAGTCTATGCATTCTAATTCATTATTATCATAGTAACCAACTTTGCAATCACATTCGAATACGTTAAGGTAAACATTGGATCTGATTCTAGTTTTTGGACACTTAGTGCATTGATTGAATTCATTGGAGCCATTGCATTCAGAACAAGTGTAATAACACTGTGAACAAATCAATTGGTTACTATTTTGATAATATCCACTTTGACAAATACATTTATCTACTTATAATGTTCTAAATTGAACATCATAACAAGATGTACAAACATCATAATCTGAACAATATTCACATAAATCATTGCATGCTGAACATATTAGATTTGATTAATATTAGTAATGTCCTAATGAACAAACACAATCATTCTCTTTCAATGATCTCATTTATGATACATAACAACTAGTGCAATAAGTCTCAAAAAACTCACAAGTCTTACATTTATCCGAACATTTCATACATGTATAAGAATCACTCACCTCAAAATACCCTTCCTTACATATACAATCCTAAAATTCCAAAACTCTATTTTATAGATTGTTACATTATATACAGTATCTGGCTGAAAGTAAACAGTTCTTGCAAATATCATGACATCTTTAACATTAAAAATTCTTGGTTAAGTAGAATCCCTCCTAGCATTCGCATGATGATAGATTCATCACCTTCCCTTAATTAGTATCACATGTCAAACATTATAACTAATTTTTTTTTCTATTGAATGTTCTCTAGTCATAATTCTATTCTGAAGACCAAAGGCTTGCACAAGTTTCACATAAGGGATGACAATCAGTTGAACAATCACCAAATGGAACACCGTTTATTTAACAAAAGCATTGCTAATCGTAATAAATATATGTGTCAAAACATTGATTACAAGATTACTAATCAACACATACTTTACAACCATTTAAACATTTAATACATGTCCCTGCTTATTAATAATAACCTTAAGGACAATCATAATAAACTGTTAGAAAATATTTGTCTGTCTTTATTTCCAAACAAGTAGCACTATCAGAACATCTTTAACAATTTATTGGACATAATGCTACTATTACAAAGAAATCATATAATCCACAATATGCACCATTAAATGCATTACAATTAAATGAAATTAATATTTCGTAATCATCATGATTCACCTCGAAATCTGTTCCACTTATAGTTACTGTGTAATCTTTAACTAATTGATCCCCTTTTTCCTCTGTTGATGCAACTGCAACTGCATTTTACCAATTATATACTTTATATGTTTAATCAAAGTACACAGTCATATTGTTGTCATTATTAATACCAAAATCAATTAACACCAGTTTCACAAATAATCGAGCCTTGTAATGTGGACTGCAAACCAAAGTAAGCGAAAATTAATCTGTTTACCAAGCTTGATACCCTCCAAACATAAATTTTGAATTATAAACTTGCGGAGTATTAGAAGCAGGATTACTTTCAAAAATAATAGGATCTTAATTAAAAAACATACTCCCATAATTATAGAATAGTTTTACCACATATTCAGAGAACTTATATGTTTCCAACAAATCTTTACATTGGTTAACACCAAATAATGGTGCATATGATGGACAACTCTTTATGCATTCATTATAATAAAAATAATCTGTGCAAATGGAAGGTTGCCAAACAATTTTTGAAATCTTTAAATCACTAAAAGCCCATGCTTATTTTGAATCTGTTACGTTAAGATGTCCTTTTAATTGAATTGTATTCAAATGATCAATTTGAAATAAATTGATTACCGCGTTGTATTTATAGCATTATGAATAACCAATGACTGAACAAGTTTGCTTATTATACAGTTAACCCTGATTAAATAAAATATTGTCTAAATCTCCATAAATTGAAACTTATCCTATTATATAACTATCTACTACGACTTTAATATTACTGAATATCCCTATTGGTCCTAGCAAGTATAATATGAATTCAATAGTAAAATCAGTTGGAGTACTAATTACTTGATTAACAGGGTATTGAATATATTCGTTTTAAATAAAGGAACCTCCAGCATTATTTCCATCTATTGATATTTATCTACTCCTCTGAGTTGTATTGTAATCTGCAAAGAATTCATAAGAAAGGCCGTTTGAATCTGAAAAAACCTGTGTTTTTGATACGTAAGGCTAAAAATCCTTTTTTTTAAAATGATATGTTCCCAGAGGTGCTGGTTAACAAACTCCTCCTTATAAAACTAATTTGCAAACACATCGTTCTTTTTCCAGAACAAAATTTGTTTTGCAAGTCGAGCATATGGATGTTGAAAGATCACAGTGATCACAGTATTCATCACAAATTAAAATAAATGCTTTAAAATTTTAAACATAGTATGTTGCCGCATGTGTATATTCCATCTTAAAGTTGACAAGAGCAGAATCTATAGCCGGTTTTTCCTGGATATTAAAATTTACTTGATAATCGGATGTGGGGATGCAAATTTTCTTGAGTACAAATGAATCAATTGCGAAATCATGTTATTCTAAAACAACAGTATTAGCAGAAATTGTAAAGGTACCAGATGATGTTATGAGATGCAATTCAAAAACATAGTTGATTTTGAGGTAACCTTAGTTGATGTTGATTTTAACATTTATGATTTTGGTATTTGATTAATAAAGGTTATTGCAATTTGATAATAAAAGACCTGTGGGCTGTGTTAGTAGAGTGGCTGGAGGATCAAGTATGATAGAGGTTGGATCTATTTCTTTCCATTTCTGAGAAGTGCCTAATTATATAATTTGATTAAATGCCTTCGAGTTCAAGGAGGGATGAAAAAGCGATGTTGGTAATGGTAAGAAGAAGTATATAGTTAAGCATTCGAAAGTGCAATTAATTATAAAATTATTGTTGTATATTGTGTGATTAGATTAAATTTATGTAATGTTAACTAATCGATCATGTCATTTTGTTAAAATGATGCAGAAATTGTAGATATGTATAAAATATTATATAATTAAATCAAAATAATCAATTATTAAATTACTTTTTACGATAGCAATTATTTAGTTGTCGAAATTTTCTAAGTTCTTCTCCATCTTGAGTTTCCACTCTAACAAACTACAATTATTCATTAATTTTGTTGATTGTCTATTAGTCCAACCCAGTTTTTAATTGATCAATAGCTGCTGGGTACCTAAGGAGTAAGTATAATACTCATACTGATTCTTGATGCATAGGAGAGTCTATTTGAATAAAGAATATTCATCCAATTTGACTACAGAACTTAGGAATTACTCTGTCTATTGCTAAGCTTATGTTATTTCTTCCTCATCGTTGAAATCGCTATCATCATCTTCGTCATCTAATTCATCATCCATGTAACTAGAATTAAACAAGAATACATTACTCATTTTATTTAAACTTTTAATCTTTTTCATACTTTTCTTAAGCGATTAAGTTGTTGACCATTATGGTCAGTAAATTTGGAGTTAAGAGATTGGGTTATTTCATAATCAATGATGACATCGTAATTATAAACAATTTGATATCGTAACCTGGAGAATAATGGGTTTCTAAAATGCAATTGTAAACAGCAGAGAAAACTTCAGACAAGACTTCATATGTTTTTTCTGGTATTTTGTAAAGAGAACTCAAAATGATGCCTGTAATTCTAGACTTTAAGTGTTCATTGATCTCTTTACTTTATAAAATTTTGATAGTTTGGAAAAGGATTTAAGATAGTATATTGCTCTTTAGATCATCATGGAGTTCTTAGATTCCTAATTGAATTAACAAGGCTCCTTCTCCTAATTCGATGTCACCATAGTTATCTTCATTTTACAAATTCTAGAATGCCAATTAAAAGTAAATGGACTATTAGGCTTCATTCAAAAAATAGTTTCTTCCAAAATGCATGTATTGATTGAGTGTTTCAAAAAGATTGCACAATCTTCCCTACTACTTCTTGATGATATTCTAGAAGTATGGTAAGATTTGCATCTACAATTCTGTTACAACTGATAATTTAGAGATGCATCCAGAAATGAAGAGCACCAGATCTTCATCAAAATCTATTTTATCACAATTAGCCAACATTGAATACAATTATGCTAAATGCTACTCCAATTTGCCTAAGATCTCACTGAATTCATCTTGATCAACCAATGATCTAAGGACATTCCAACATCTATTTAAATAGATATGTCTTTATTGATCACCTGAATTGATTTTCTACTATTCCATAATGACTCTCTAAGTTAAAACTTGGATCAAACCAACCAATAAGTTATCATTTTACAAGAACTAATTCGGATACCTTTTTAGTATATTTGTTATTGTTTCAAAGTGTCTCTCGTATGTGCTGTATTGAAGTCCATTACATAATTGTGGGAATAGTATTACTACCAGATCTTTGGTTTTACCTTTGAGATCATCATCCTCAAATATGTCTTTCAATGCATCAATTGATTAATAAAGTACAACAGGTTCTGATGGCTACACAAAACTGATCATTATTTATAAATAAGCATTCATGTTTTACGATTGAGTATCCTTTTTGAATAAGTTGTCACAATAATATCCAAAGAATAAGGAGAGTCTTAATTTGATTATTTATTCTTGAATTGACTAAAAGAATAATAAATTATCAGTCAGGAGTTATTCCATTAATAACACAATATCAAATCTTTTCTGTATCAAATAACTCATGATTGTTAAAATTACTAAACTACTTTCAATCCTATCCACCGGAGTATATTCTTTGAATAATTTCCTATTATATAGGTTTTATCTACTTATCTTGCAATGCCTAAACAAAGGCCACTTGTTATTCCTTCAATTAAACTGGATTATTAGTTATCATATTGATGGAATCCTATGAAATTATGACTGCCAAATTTGCCAAAAATGTAGTAGACCCATCAATATGATCACATAAGGTTTCTAATAAGGATGCTGCTGCTGTCTTTGGAACATCTGATTCCTATTTGTCTACTGTGTCCAATGCCAAATTGACAAATTCTTCAGGCTAATCTTTCATCTATTAATATTCTTTTTGGGAGGTTATCAGAAATGGATAGATTACATCTGTTATTAAGGCAATTTTAGAATCAGAGAATATTTGGTATTAATCAGTCTAAGACCCTAGGTTTGCCAATAACTTCAGGATGTACGTCATGATTTTTGGTAAATAGGGTTTGCTTTCATGATTATAGATTGCATAAATACTTGTAAATTTAAGTAATTGATTCACTGTTGATATATGCCAATAAACTGTAGATTAACAATTGTGTTATGGTCGTTAAGTAAGGACCAAAAGCTCCTTTTTTAACTTCATTCTTATTGCGATTATTCAGCAAGACTTGGAGAGTTAAGAAGTAGATCTTGAACACTTAACACTTAATTTCATTTAATTGATTGTCAAAATGATCATTGCCCGTATTGATAATGGAACAATTTTGAATCTGTTTACCTATTTATGGAGAATAGGATAATAATATTATAAGAATTCCAGAGAAAGAGTTTTATTGAAATAAAATGTTTTGAATTGGTTAAGTTTGTTCTTTTTGACTATTATTTCTATCAAATACTTTCTCACATAAATCAGTGACTACTTGAGTGTATAATCTAATGGTTGTGATGAAATCATCTGATAATTCCTTTGGTTATTCTGTCAATTTGGTGATGACAAAGCCGGTTTGATTGAAAAACTCACCTATCCATTCATAACCTGTTTACACTATGGAACTATATGTTTGCAATTCCAAAGAGTCTTGTAAGATCTTAAAAAATAAGATTCCTATTTAAATTTGCCATTGCTATTCTTGTCTTAAGAATTCCTTCATTTTATTCTCAATTTCTGTTTTTACACCTAGTTTAAGTTAGGTAAATACTTTTATCTTTTCTAACAATTAAACTCATGCACTTGATCAAAGATTACTTGCATTTTAAGGGAGTGTACTGAGACATGAGAACTGCCAGGATGGAATTTGCATGATTTATTGTCAATTACACTATTTAGTATGATATAAAAATACTGTTGTTTGTCAGCATCTTCAACACAACTGAATTTAATAAACTGGCTGCCTGTTCTTGCACTATACAGATATCGAAACACATTTTTACTTTTATCCTATTACATAGCAACTTTGGCTATCTATTCGAAATTCTAGATATTATCTATGAGACTAGTCACTAATTGTTTTTCTGTTTCATTTCTGATGTTATTATCTGTATTTGTAAAAACTGTTACTAATTAGTCATAAATTGCGGTTGCCATCCTAATTTGATATTTAAATTATTTAAATTTTGTATGAAAATATTTATCAACTTCATTTCTCACATATTACATAATATTAATTATATATATATTACTATAATGACACTCCCTTCTTAGAGCCAATATACTTATATCTGATAATAATAAAATAAATTAAATATCAAATGTTTTACTTCAGTATTTTCTTCTTTTTCTTTTTCCCCTTGCTTCCAGACTACTACTATTATTAATATTATTATTTCTATTATTCCAACATATCCATTAGAGTAGTCAACTCGTTCATCTTATTCTCTATCTGAATCAACAGATCCCCTGATTGCTAATCTTCCTTATTGATGTCTGAATTCATCAATTATGAATCATATCTGGGTCTCTTTTGTAATTATTAGATCCTCTTTTGTAACTGTTTATTCTACCTCAATAAATCTTTGCAATTAGGACATTCTAACTAAAATAAACTACTAACCTAATTCTTCAGACTCCTCTTGTTATTACTCTTAAATGATAGGATATTCGTCTTACTAATTCTCTTCCACATCTTCGTAATAATTCTTTTGCTCCTTGAATAATTTGATGTTCCGAACCAACTTGTCAAAGATGTCCTTAGAATATGGTTCAACGAAGCCTGGATTTTCTCTCAGATCCAAAGAGATTAAGGATTCATTTGTATCCAAAATCTAACTAAACAATCTAACTCCTTCTTCTCCTATTTGATTTTCCCTCAAACCAATGTTCTTAGTCCAAGAATCATACATCAAAAAATTACACAAATCTTTAATACATCTATCATCGAACATATTCTAATGCAGAAATATCTCACATAATCCTTACAATGCCAACTATTAAGGAGGCTCTAATTGTTTATTTATTATATTACCATCGCCTCTTATTTCCTCAGCCCATTTCATTTCATCTCTTCTACCTGCATGTGAACTGATTATCTTACCAATTATCATCCCAGCATTCTCCTTCAATAAATTGTTTGATAAATCTAACAAATTCAATGAAACACATTATTGGATTGGCTCAGATAGTATTTATAAATGTTAGCTAGTCAAACTGCAATTCGTTATCTTAAGTTCCTTTAATGTTTTTGTACTCTTCAATCCAAATGAGATGGATTCACAATCTTTTGGACTCAAAATCAAATCAGTGATGTGTAAATGCATTAAATTGAATTGAGTCTATGTCAAATTCAAATTGATGGCTGTCAATATACCATTGATTATTTGTTGTAATTCCTCCAAACTTACTAAATCATCTACACAAACTTAAACTTATTAATACTTTTGTTCATTTTCTTTCTCAATCTTCCATACACTAATATTGAATCAAAGTGACACAAACTCAACAATAATTACAATGGAATTATATCCTCGATTCTTATCAATATGGCATTCAATCTTAGGGATTGATCCTTCAAACCTTAAGCTACGAAAGATCATCCAAAAATGTACTTATGGCTTTGCTTAAATGCACATGTTATTCCTAACAAATTTATTTATAAATTGAAAGGTATTCTCTATTTGGATTGTATGTCTATTTCATCTGTTAAATAAAAATTAATATAAAAATTAAAATTTGTAAATGAAATCATTATCTGCTTCCAAATACAATCATAACAATACTACCTTTACTACGCCTGACAAAAAACCAAATAAGGTATGCCATCAATTTATATAAGAGTAGATAAAACACACAGTCCACCATGAAGTTAAGTGGCGAAATGATGTCCGTTTAAAGTTATTTATATGAATAAGCTCATCTCAAAGAAGAAGCCTCCAAAAAAGAAATCATTAGACTCATTAGATTAGTCATTGATAGTCTGGAAAAGAATAGAAACATTAAAGAATTAAATGAATAACTCTCTAAATTAATAATTGGATTGAGAACATGTATTAATTAATAAGAAGTATCAAGTTACATCATTTAATTAATTCAAACTATACGAGAAATTACAAATAATCATTAATTTAAAAAAGAAATCGAATCTGAAAATGATAAAGCACTTCTAATTAAACGAATACATGAATTAGAATTATAAGCCAAAGAAACTTAATGGCAATTCGGTAACAATATTTATTAATTTTGTTTAGAAATGAAAATCAGAGATCACAAATCCACTTAAAAGATCAAGTAATACTAAGAGGAATTAGATCAAATCAAAAAGTATAAATAATAACATCAAGTCTCCAAACCTTAATAAAATTCCCCTCAAAAAATAGAACTCAAAAATCAAATCAAACTTATGCAATAAAAAATACAAAACTTATCCGAAAAGGAAAAGAAATTGATTCTATTAGTCAAAGCTGTCAAATCCAGAGGAATAGATGTTGAACATATTTATAAAAACATCAATCAAATATCAAGTCGAAATAGTAGAATCACTAAGGATGAAACAATAAGTGATTTCATTGATAGCTCGCATTCCGATTTCGCTGATATCTCATAATTTGATCTTGGCCAAACTTCCATCAAAAGAAACCCTAAATTTTTACTTGATTGATTGTTTTTATTTCTATAAATTTATTTAGTTTACTCTTAAATAACAATTATTTACAATAATGTATAATTCAAGATCCATATTTAATCACTATCTTCAAAACAATTAGATCAACAGGGTTTCCAAATAGTGGAAGCATTCAAAAGATTTCTGAAAATTATCAACTTTATTAATTGGAGTAGAAAATAAAATATTACAAAAACTAGAATAAGCTGAATAAGAATTCAATAAGCAAAAAGAATTTTAAGAATAAAAGTTCATTAAACTAATGGACTCAGGAATCAAATAACTTTATATTCTTCATCCAATCAGCTAGGCTAATTATAAAAATAAGTTGAAGAATTCAAATTAGCCAATGAATAAGTAAATTATACTAAGAATAAGAAAGATTTGGCTTTAGAAAAGAAATTTGAAAATGCTATTCAAAATGAAACTTAAACTAATAGTCTTCAATCAATTTTAGAATTCTGAAATCAATTACTGACGAGTTTGTTAAACTTAGCAATCTCTTAAATCAAGAAAAGGGAAATAGGGACGAAAGTGAACAATCAATATTTTAGATGCTTAAAGATATTGCTAACATAGTTAAAGTAGAATTTGATTAAGAAAAAAAGACTAGGTATTATTATTATATGTTAATAATACTAGAGAGTAATCAGAGGAACATCCTTTAAGTTTACTAGAGGATACTTGCAATACAATAAGTATTGCTGCAAATTGATTAAATTTCATGTATTTATTAGATATATATTTATAAAATCATGGATATTAAATTTCTAATTTTTAATATTTAACTTCAAGAATTTAGAATAAAAACTAATTTTAAATAAATATTAAAATATAATAGATATATAATCACTATTTTAAACCAATTATAGAATTTCAATACATTTAAACACATTTATTACAAACTCCACATTAAATTAATTGTGGTAGATTTTTTAAGACTCATTCTAAAATATCGCAATAATTATCTTAGATAAATAATTCGTTAATATATAAACTGATTAACTTTGAGATAATTGAAAGTTTATATTATATGACCTTGAATTTCTACAAATACAAGAGTATTTTCTTTAGTTGTAAAGTATAAAATTTTTCTTAAGGTTAGATCATCACATGGATTGTAATTCTTAGAAATTAAATTCTTAGGCTCTCCTTTTCGCTAAATCTAATCGTTATATTGTTTAACTCTAAATTTCAGCCTTCTTGTTAATTTAAGTCAACTTGTTCTTTTTGAAGTTTTAGATAAAGCCTACTATATGAAACATAAGTACCACTTCTTTTACTTTTTCTCTAATAAAAGAAAATTTATGGAATCTATTTAATTTATAATGACTATTTAAAATTTAATTGCGGAAGAACATAAAAAAAACTCTGAAAAGATTATCTAATAAAAAGATCCCATTTATTTATCTCAATAAAATCATTTAAATTTTTATATCTTATTTAATATCAATACACAAGTAACTAAAAATAAATAATTTATAAAAGTCAATAAGAATAGTAATCAACTCATAAAATTATATAATTTACTTTTCTCTTCGAAATACTAATTGAAACAGTAGGTTTCTAATTTACTAAATTTCCATCTAATTATTATTTTATGCTATTTAAATTGAATGGTAATAGTATTTTATTCTTGGCAGATATTTAAGAAAAATCAATTTGCAAAGTGTTTAATCTATAGTCTGTGAACAATTTAAATCTAAAAGTTGTTGAATATGAATACAGAATAAAAATTATTTTAAAGATAGTATTTTTATTTGCATACTTTAAAAAGTTAAATTAATATCTTAAATGCAATTGATGCAAAATCACATTAAGTACAAATTTTTAAGAAACTGAAATTTAAATCAAGTAATATAAGAATTAGGGAATTATTCAAATAATGATATTTGAAATCACCTTTTCCATACAATTCCTTTATTTTATACAAAACTCACTTAACTCTTGAATTTATAAGTGTTTTATGTTGTTTTTATTTATTTTTATTTAAATTTTAAATATATGGAAAACGAGTTATAAGAGAACGAAAAATATGATGTTCACTTAATTAATTTAGAATATTAAGATGGAAAATAGCATGAAAACCTAATTTCTAAAATGATGCTTCTTAGAGCTTACTCTATACTAAAAGTAAAAATGATAAAGTAACGTAAAGAAAGCTTAGCTTGACATTTTGGAATCTGATAAAATTGATGATTTAAATGATGAGGAGAAGACTCTAATTCTATTTAAAAGATTTTAAAAATAAATTGATGGTTCAGAATCAAATTACTTATCTTTAAATCTAATGAAAGAGTTACTCAAATTTTTCATAAGTAATATTATAATATATTCATCAGAACCTCTTACAAGGGTCATTTTGATATAGGTTTTACTTACTTTGGGGTAATTAATTTTACCAGTATTAATAAAATTAAGTATTGATTGTGTAATAGATAATGAGCATAAATTATAAAATGGAATTATTTTGATTGTTTTAATATTGTTTATTAGATTATCAAATATACTGAGTTAATCTCATTAAAGAATGTTGAGTGTAATACTATATCATAATAAGGAAAGAGAAAACTTGGGTACGAATCAATGAGTGTAATCAGCATGCTAATAATGTAGAAGAGTCTCAGAATATCTCTCCTAAGCAATAATGATAGAAGTATTGGAGAAATAACAAACCTTATGCAAGTTGACTCTTAAAAACTAATACTCGCCTCAAACGATTTATTAAATCTAGCAATGATTCCACTATATTTAAGTATCTATATTAATTTATACTTAGCCATAAGTTTGATTTTAATGTATCATCTCATAGGAATTTCATTTACAATTGGATTTATTATCATAATATTAACAATTATTTTGAACATCAAGAATGGTGAAAATGTAATCAATTCATAAGTGAAGTTATTATAAGCCAAAGACAATCGGATTAAGTAAATAAATGAAATATTTACCTAAATAAAATTCATAAAAATAAATGCTTTAGAAGAATACTTTTTATCAAAAGTCTTTAATTTACGATAGATTGAAATTGGATGTTTGAAAGATAGATTATTTTATTCTGCAATCATAATATTTTCAGGTTGGTTGGCACCTTAAATTATTCTCAGTTCTACATTTGGTGTATACATATACTTAGGAAATATCATGAACCCCTCAATAATATTTTCAATTATCAGTTTATTTCAGATCCTATAAATTACAATCTAACAATTACCAATTTCAATCACTGCATTACTAGAAACAAAGTTATGTCTAAATAGAATCTAATAATTCCTGACTTCTTAAGAGATTATGACATAGTGTATAAATTATAAGGAGTTCAGGGATAGTGCAATTGCTATATCTGTAAACAATGGGAATTTCTATTGGAATAGAAGTTAAGTTGAAAAATCAGAGTTAATTTTGAAGGATATTGATATGTTGATTACTCCAGGATAACTAGTTTCAATTATTGGAGATGTTGGTTCAGGCAAAACATCATTTGTATAATGTTTATTAGGAGAAATGCTTTACAAGGAAGGTCCTAAAGTGCAGCTCTATGGTTAAATTGCTTATGTGAGTTAAAAAGCATGGATCTAAAATGCTACTGTTAGGGATAATATTTTATTTGGTAAACCTTATCATCAACAAAGTTATGAGAGAGCCATTCATTTTTCCTGTCTCAAACAAGATATGGAAATATTAGTGAATGGTGACTAAACTATAATAGGGGAGAAAGGAATTAATGTAAGTGGGGGACAAAAAGCAAGAATAAGTTTAGCAAGAGCTATTTACAGTGAGGCTAGTATATACTTACTGGATGATCCATTAAGTGCAGTTGATTCTCATGTTGGTAATTTTTTGATGAAGGAATGCATTGTAAATTATTTGTAGAATACAACTAGAATATTAATAACACACTCCTTAAACTATTGTAAGTATGCTGATTACATTTATTTATTTGATAATGGCTAAATAGTTGAAAAAGGCGTATATTCGGATATACAGTAGAGTAGAAGATTTCAAAATATAGCTGAAAAGTGTAATATGGTTGAAGAGGTTAATGAAAACAATGTATAGATCTAANCTTAGCCATAAGTTTGATTTTAATGTATCATCTCATAGGAATTTCATTTACAATTGGATTTATTATCATAATATTAACAATTATTTTGAACATCAAGAATGGTGAAAATGTAATCAATTCATAAGTGAAGTTATTATAAGCCAAAGACAATCGGATTAAGTAAATAAATGAAATATTTACCTAAATAAAATTCATAAAAATAAATGCTTTAGAAGAATACTTTTTATCAAAAGTCTTTAATTTACGATAGATTGAAATTGGATGTTTGAAAGATAGATTATTTTATTCTGCAATCATAATATTTTCAGGTTGGTTGGCACCTTAAATTATTCTCAGTTCTACATTTGGTGTATACATATACTTAGGAAATATCATGAACCCCTCAATAATATTTTCAATTATCAGTTTATTTCAGATCCTATAAATTACAATCTAACAATTACCAATTTCAATCACTGCATTACTAGAAACAAAGTTATGTCTAAATAGAATCTAATAATTCCTGACTTCTTAAGAGATTATGACATAGTGTATAAATTATAAGGAGTTCAGGGATAGTGCAATTGCTATATCTGTAAACAATGGGAATTTCTATTGGAATAGAAGTTAAGTTGAAAAATCAGAGTTAATTTTGAAGGATATTGATATGTTGATTACTCCAGGATAACTAGTTTCAATTATTGGAGATGTTGGTTCAGGCAAAACATCATTTGTATAATGTTTATTAGGAGAAATGCTTTACAAGGAAGGTCCTAAAGTGCAGCTCTATGGTTAAATTGCTTATGTGAGTTAAAAAGCATGGATCTAAAATGCTACTGTTAGGGATAATATTTTATTTGGTAAACCTTATCATCAACAAAGTTATGAGAGAGCCATTCATTTTTCCTGTCTCAAACAAGATATGGAAATATTAGTGAATGGTGACTAAACTATAATAGGGGAGAAAGGAATTAATGTAAGTGGGGGACAAAAAGCAAGAATAAGTTTAGCAAGAGCTATTTACAGTGAGGCTAGTATATACTTACTGGATGATCCATTAAGTGCAGTTGATTCTCATGTTGGTAATTTTTTGATGAAGGAATGCATTGTAAATTATTTGTAGAATACAACTAGAATATTAATAACACACTCCTTAAACTATTGTAAGTATGCTGATTACATTTATTTATTTGATAATGGCTAAATAGTTGAAAAAGGCGTATATTCGGATATACAGTAGAGTAGAAGATTTCAAAATATAGCTGAAAAGTGTAATATGGTTGAAGAGGTTAATGAAAACAATGTATAGATCTAAAAGACATAAGAAGACACACAATTCACCACAAAAGAAAATAAGATCAATCCAAATGATAATATTATTATGGCAGAAGAAAGACATAAGGGTGAAATTAGACTCAGTGTCTTTAATTAATATTTTGAATACGGAGGAGGTTACTGCAATTTTATTTTAGTTTTGATAATAATGATGTTTTGGATTTTGACTTACTTGGGTTCCAGTCTGTGGTTGTCAGAATGGACTCTTTAGACTTATGATTTAAGTAACTACTTTTATTTACTGATCTACTTTATATTTGGATGTCTACAAGCAATATTAGCATTCATAAGAGCATTGACAATTATTAGATAAAGTATTAAGTCATCATCAAAGATACATGATGAAATGATGAATTGTTTGATGTATGCACCTTAATGTTCATTTTTTGAAAGAGTGCCATTGGGAAGAATTATGAATAGATTAACCAAGGATATCAATTAACTCGATACAGAAATATATATGAATATCAGTTGGTTATATACTAAAGTGAGTTAATTGGCCAGTCATATATTCCTTAATGTTTACGCAAGCACATATCTTATGTTGTTTCCTATCTCAATTTTTTTTGGAATTTGTATGAAAATATAAAGAGTCTACACAAAAGCTAGTAGAGAATTGTAAAGATTGGAATTAATGAGTAAGAGTCCTATTTTAAGTTATTTTTCTGAAACTCTCACTGGGCTGACAACAATCAGATCTTATTAATAAGTTGATAGCTTTATTAAGACTTTTGCATAGAAATTAGATGAGAATAGAAAGATTGTGGAAGCTCAAGTGATTGCAAATGCTTGGTTTACTTAGATATTGGGTTTGACCAGTTTGATTGTTAATATGTCAGCAATAGTTTACTGTATTTTATACACAAATAATCCAGCATTGGCAGGTTTAGTTATGACATATGCAGCAAATATTGACATGAATATTTAGTAGACCATTGAATCTATAAGTTCATTAGAAAATGATATGATATCCTTTGAGAGATGTCAGTCATTCACGACAATTGAAAAAGAAAATAGAAATGAGAAGAAAATAACATTACAGAATTGGCCATGCTCCGGAGCAGTCGAATTCAAAAGCTTAAGTGTTCAATATAGATAAAATTTACCATTTGCTTTGAATAAGATATCTTTCAAAATCAATCCGATGGATAAGATTGGTATTGTAGGTCGTACTGGGGCAGGCAAATCTACTATCACAATGAGCATTCTCAGATTATTAGATAGGGCAGAGGGATAAATCTTAATTGACGATATTGACACATAAAACATATCTTTAAAACAATTAAGAGAGTCAATTACAAGCATTATCTAAGATGCAGTTATTTTTAATGGAACAATTCGTGATAACTTAGATCCATTAAATAAGTGCTCTGATGATGAAATAAGATAAGTGCTATTGGATTGTTGTCTGGATAAATTGGCTGATAATAGGAATGGATTGAATTCAAATTTATATGAAGGTGGTGATAATTTAAGTGCTGGTGAAAAGCAACTCTTATGCATAGCTAGAGCAATACTCAAAAAAAGCAAGATTATTCTTATTGATGAAGCCACAGCCAATATTGATGTAGATACCGAACATAAAATACAAGAAACAATCTCAAAAGCATTTAAGAATTGCACTGTCATTACCATTGCTCACAGAATTAATACTATACTTAATTGTGACAAGTAACTCATTTTTATATATCCTAGAATCATTGTCATAAATAAAGGGCAAGTATAAGAATATGGTTAAACAAAAGATTTGTTGAAAAACGAATAATCAACTTTCTACTCAATTTATTCAGAATCTTAATTAAATAATACAAAAAAATGAATTATTCAGTTTGTGACTTAATTATGTATTCATTCTAACCAATGTGTTATTATATTATATAAAGAATTTAATTATTTCATTGTTTTTACAGTGTAGGAGTATTGCACTCTTTTATTTTTAATGTACTATCTGGTATCCTTATTTGTCTCGTGGAGTTGTATTATCTCACCATTGCTCCTATATTGCAATTTTCAGCTGTAGGATCATCATTACTCTCTTATTTATTGTTAGCCATATGTTTAAGTTGACTGTTAGTAAGGGCAAGTCTATGTAAATCCTTTTGCTTTTTTGGTTCCTGTTTCTACGGTATATCTATATACTAGAGAAGCAATTTACCAGCAATCTCCCTTGAATTTTACTTCGATAATTTAGCACTATATTAACTAAATTTGGATGCTCCTACCACGATAGACGATTTCCTTTAGTCTTGTCTTGTTATAGAGACATTTGAGGATATTGAATCAGAGGAGTTGAAGTTTAAGGGAGATCTCTATTCAATTTCTTAAGTTCCAATCTTGACAGCATTCTTGAATTCTGAATACCCTTGAAGATTCTTCTAATATTTCTCCGTTTATCTGTTGTATTCCTTAGCCAATTCTTTGAAATAAGGATGTTTTAAACACTTATGATATAATGTAACATACTTCTTCTGAACTCAATCTCAAAGACGGTTTCTTCATGAGCATAGATTAGACAAGATCCTGCATTTAGATTGGAGCCAGTTTGAATTGTTGATCCTTAAAGTCCACTTCACATTATTTATTATTCTTTAGGATGGATTTCTAATCTATCCCTGCAAATGGAGTATTGCCAGTCTAATGATATAATGTTATATTATACAATCAAAAGATACAAGATTATCCCTGCACTAAAGACATCACATTTATCGCAATAGAAATCCAATCCATCTATGTATTCAAGGATTTCAGGAGCAACAAAACCAGGTGTACCACATCTTTTGAATAAGGGTTCTTCATTGAGACTGGTGGCCAATCCAAAGTCAGCCAAAACGATTTCATAATTATTCTCTCTTGACTTCAACAGTAGGTTTTCAGGCTTCAAATCTCTATGAATCAGATTGTTCTCATGCATGTGTCTCAATGCACTTATCAAATTGAAGGCCAGTTTCTACATAGTCTCAGCAGGCAGGAAACCTTATGGATTATAAATTCTTACCTGTTTCACGCACTCGTTGTAATAATTCTCCTCCTTATATCATGTCCAAAACAAAGTAAATCGAATTAGTTGTTTCATGAACTTCATGCAATTTTACAATGTTTGGATGATTCAATTTCCTCATTACTTTTATCTCATTCAATAGACTCTCGATTCCCTTTGATTACTGAGACATATAGCTTTTGCTAAATGCCTTTATTGCATATTAGTTATTATTTTCTTTTTTTGTTGCTGAATATACTTTTGCAAAACTGCCTTTGCCAATCATCTTTGATACTGAAAAAGCATCATGAAAATTATTCATAATGCACTTCAATCGAAAGTGAGACTTCCAAACTTCATAGTTCGTTTTATCCGATGTAAAAATCTCGAGACTCTTACCTTAATAGGAAAGTCTGAATCCATACAGAGTCTCATCTGAATTCAGTTAGACAAAATGATCTGAAGATGGATCTATAAATTAAACATGCATAGTAAGAAGCGGTGCTATTTTGAGTTACATTACAGAAACTTTAAACAACGAGCTTTCACTCATCAGAAGAAATTTTTTTTTGATTCTTTATTTAGAACCAACAAGAAACTCAGACTCTATTAGATCAGGTTGTTCCTTTTATAGTTTATAACAAGCAATACATCAAGCAAACATTTATCACAAAGATGCCAAAAACTTGAAGTTGTCTTACCAAAATCAAAAATGGATTATTACATTAACTCAATTATATAATTAATACACCTTATTGAAATTTGACAACTTTTAAATTCTTTTTAGTTATCATTTAGATATTGTGGATTTACATTCAAATTTCATTTGCATCTGGATATTGCACTGCGATAAAATGGCATTTGTTATTGAGGAGACAAGGGTTATCTTAGAAGTTTTAATATATATTATTGTAAGTTTATCCATTAGAGATGAAAATATAATATATAATAAATGTAAAATTTATAATTCTTATAATTCATTCAAATTCAAACTAATAATGAGTCTAAGGAATTTAACTATCCTGGTATTAGTGAACCATTGATTTTTCTTATGGATATCTAGTATGAGACATGAGAATTTTATATTATATAAAAATTATCGTTTTAATGAATAATAGCTTTTCAGCGGAAGGGCAAACTTATTAAGTTAGGACGGTAACAACATCATAGAATGTTTAAAGAACTAGTAATGGGGAATTCCAAGATGCTGTTTAAAGATATGAGTTACGAAGATCATCGAGACCCAGATAAACTTAAAATAATCAATAAACGACAGTAATTACTTCTAAATACGTTTAATTGGATAATGAGGGGAAGAATAATAACTATGACTTGGAAGCTTCAAGATAATCTTAGAGGGTGTTGGAAAAGTATCAGGTGAATAGCTAGAATAGTCATTACGAAGTGAATAGATAGAGTGTTAAGGAAGTTATGGACAAATACAGGAGAGGAAGAGGTAAATCTGAGTGAGTCTATGTAGGAACAACGACATCCTAATTATAAACGACAGAGGTGAAGTACTCTGCTGTTCCCCAACCTTAGTATGAGCAGTTGCAGTAGAAAGAAACAATTTTTGAAGGCAGAAATAGCAGGTATGTGGAGGAGTAGGAGTATTCACAAGAAAAACAAGTGACACTAAATTATAATACTATTTAAAGTATTTTATTTTAAATATTGAAGCAAAATAATAGGTGTATGAGATAGATTATGAGTAAATAAAGGAAGATTGTCAAATCAGCGACATTTACAGGAGACCTGAGAGAGAAGACGATGAATAAGTGGATTTATTGGACAGTGATTATGTTTCTTGCAATATGTTTTGAAATATTATTATTAATAATGAACGATTAAACAATTAAAATACTTTAAATTACAGCTTGTTCATTGTCCTTGATAGGGTCTCTCTTTATCATTGTGGTTTATTTTAAAATGGGAATGAGAAACAACTTTGCATTAAAATTGATCATGTGCTTGACAATTAGTGATATCATATTTTCTCTCTCCAATTTGATGTACATTGATCCAGGTAAAAGTATTTTACTATAAGGATGCACACCCAATTATCAGAACCTTTGCATTACTCAAGGATTCCTCATTCAATATTCTTCAATTGCCTGCTTTATGTTTTGCTTCTTATTATGTTTATGCATCTTTTGGACGGTGATTAAAAATAGGGCAAATCTGAGTGAATACCAAAGACTCTTTTAAATATTAGGATTCTGCACTCCCATTCTATTTGCTGCAATTCCTGCTATAACAAATTCATATAATACTCAAATATATGTTTGTGGAATATCAAACGATGATGTTGATTTATGTTTTCATGATTCAGACAGGTCCACATAAATTGTGATGATAGAATCGATATCATTATTTTATGTGCCCTTGTGGTTGATGAATATTGTGGGGATATCATTTATCATTAGAGTAAGTGTGTTTATGACAAAATTAAGAACGTAGTCAGAATAAATTAATAGATCACGAAGTTCAGATTAATAAGAAATTCAATTATACACACAACAAGAATATGAATTGAAACTCTCCTAACGAATCACTTAGAATATGTTATTATATCCAATAATAATGTTGATTTGCTACAGTGGAATGACTGTGTATGCAATAGGCAAATTATGTAATTCAGAGATCCACGTGTTGAGAGGGCTAAGATTTATAATGGCTGATTGTCTGGGGTTGTGTAATTCTATAGCATACGGATACAATGCCATCATAATATTGAGACTGCAGAAAATGATGTCTCAATAATAAACCTTGCCCATGATGCAATTTCGCTAAGGTTCTAATGATTCTGATGTTAATAGAAAATAATTTGAATCATTTCTTTCCATAGCAACTATTTATAATGATTAATGAATAATTAATGATATTCTCAGAAAGGATTAAATTTTTGATGATGTGATCTGCATTGCGATGGAGATCGAGTTCTAATCACGAGAGACATCTATTTAAAAATCTTCTCTTGTTTCTTCATGTCTGATTTCATCATAATATCCTTGTTTGTTTCTATAAATTACAAATATAAACGATGTTCCTTTTGGGTCCAATGACCTTACATAAGATTATCTCATTACCATTATTGTATGTTTTCCTTGCAGTCTTGCGTCTTGTTTTCTTGATCGGCCTCTAAGGTTTTAGATCGCCAGCAAGTTCTTTAACAGACTCGATGGTTGACTTAGATTCAATAGGTTATTCACTAGGATTGGAATAAATATAATACTCTAAACCTTCCTCGATTTTTATCTGGTTGAACCGATTTGCCATTATGTGTTGATAACGCAAATTCTCAAGAATTAGATATTGGATATAAGAATTATAGGCATTGTAAAGTTATTCAATCTAATAAGTTCAAATTTTACCCACTTATAAGCGTTGATTTGGCATCATGGATTCAAAAGATTTCAGAATTACCTTCTGGAGGAAAAAAAAGAAAAAATAAATGTTTTTCAATTATTTACACTACAAAAGTAATAAATTAAATATACATAAAGATACATTTATTGATCATTTCCTACAAACTTTATTTATTACAATTTAAGAGTTGGTAAAGCTGGACTTTTTCATATGATAATGCATCAAATAATTCGACACACTCTCGATCATCGGAGGATCTATAGAATTGATATTACTCTCAACCCACTTCTGAGTTAGAGTTCCCAATATACCCTTGAGTTTCTCTGGCTATTTCACCTTCTCCATCTTAACATATGTTATATTTATTAGGCTAATCACTTTCGAAAATGAACATTGAATTCGCACTGGGTTTAATTTTTGAATATACTTCATCTTTTATATTATAACTAAATTCATACCTTCTTGGCCAATTAAACGAACTCATTCTAAAATTTTAGATTGCCATTGCTACCACACCACAGAACTTATTTATTCTCCAACAGAATCATAGTCGATGTTCTACCACAACAAATCTATTGGCTCTCATACTTTAATTACACTAAATTCTATCTATCTTAAAAATCCCCCAATCCCAATTGACCCTACTGATTCCAACCGCACACAAACGCCTTTCCATTATAACATTAAATGCTTAGATGTTTCAAACCACAACTAATTAAATTTGCTTTGTAAGGAATTTTAATTTAAATTAATTACTCCCGAAATACAGTATCTCCCAAACCCAGTTGACCATGTTCATTGGTTCCCTTCACCAAGACTTACCCTTGATTATTGAGCAAGGCAATAAAATTGAATCCAATCGATACTTATGAAATGGGACAATTAGTTGTTATGTTCTGTATCACATGATCACTCTCCCAATATTACACCTATCCAGAATTAGTAATAATGTAAGTTCTATCGAATCTGCACTATAATTATTTTATTGGCTATATGTCAACATAACTGATGGTATCGCATTGAGCCCCCCAAATAATCAGTTTGCCATCTTGACATTTTACATAGCTATTGAAATCAGTGCACTCTATTTAATCCATAACTACATTGAGACTTAGTTACTAGGGTTATTGTGGAGTATCGCTCAATCTCCCCTATCCTAATTGACCTTCGTTGTTCAATCCCCACGTATATAACTTATTTGTACTTGTCGATGCAATACTATGGAAACTACCCACCCTTACACTCTAAATGATATTTTCATTTTTATAGCATTGTTAAAATAATTGTTTATAATTCGACGAGAAGGATGGCTAATAACAACCAACATCAGACAATATTTCCAAATCCACTATGATGTCAAATAATTATCCTTTGTCTCGAAATTAATCATCCTCCTAATTTAATATTTAATCAAAACTCATTGAATTCATATTATTTCCATACAAATCATTTTCTTCAATCCTCAAAGTTTCATTTAGTTATTCCTCCAAGGGCTTCAAAAATTATTCTTTTTTTATATTCTTTGCCCTTTATTTAATCAAATATCTTCGAATTAGTTTTTATATCTTATTTGTACTTATCCTTATTTATTTAAATGTCTATGACAACCATTTCATCTTCACAAACCCTTGAATCTTAAATGCAGCCTTATTCAATTTTCTTATGTGTTCCCTTACAAGCACTCCTTTAATCCACTTTTAAATTCTGATTGCTGCCAATTCATTCCTCTTGTTTATTCTAGCCTATTTGGATCTAACAACCACATTCTTATGAATCCTTCTAACCCTTGCTCCTCTAAAGAAACTCTATATTACCAATACTTTCTTCAATCTAATCAATTACCAACTGTTCTCTATTATTAAATTAATATTGAATTTGACTAACACCAACTTTCTTATTCTCTTAAAAAATAGCCATTTCCTTATCTATCTTTGTATGAAAACAATTTATTTCATTATTACATCGAAATTAGTAATTGCCTGTAATCTGTACACATATTACAATATCTTGTCCAATTAATTCTAGTACAACTTCATCTTGGATTGTCTTAATTGATAGTAATAGAGATTCTGAAATGCCTTTAGAGCTTTACTCCAATTGCATAACTTAATCTTTTGATAATGACCGTGTATTCTCTTCAAATTCTTTTTGATCAAGTACTTATGCCAATTATACTGAATTTTTAAAGCAATTTTGCTCTTCTTTGCCATGATCTCTGCGAATACCTATTAGATTATGTCCATTCCTTCAATTCTGATGAATATTCTCTTCTATCCAAAAAGAACCAATTCAGGTCCAAGTTTTGGATAGTATTATTGGAACATCTGCAAATTTAGTTCTCTAAAATCAACATTTTATTATTCCAGGATATTAAATAAAGGATTAGAAGTCATTTCACCAAATTATTTATAAAATTATTTGTGTAATCTTCTAAATGGATAGTTCTATTTTCTAACTTTTAGACTATCCAAAACACCTAAATATCTTATTTATTATAATGCATAATCATCTTCCAATAATTGTGGTTTCTTAAGATCATTTGGTTTAATACATCTAACAAAGTGAACATCACAATTATTGGTTAACTCTTTCATTAGATCATTCATCTAAGTTCTAATTTTCTTAGATAAACTTTTGTCTTTCTTAGTCACTGTTTATGTTTATTTTTCTTCAACAGCGAACAATTTTGAAATCAAGGGATTACCACTCTATTAACTATAAAATGCTGTTAAGACACTGATCTCATCTACATTTTTTTCTCTAAATCCAGAAATCAAATATTCTACATTTCTGGCAGTGTGAACAATAATGAAAGATTAAGTAGATGGCATTTTAGGTTATAGGACATATTTTGGATCCTTTTGCTTTTTTCTGATATTGCTTATCAATAAATCATCATCTCCACCTACCTAACATACTTCATCCAGGATATCAAAAATGCCCAAGGGAGCTTTGTCCATACAATCTATCAATGCTTAATTATCTTTATATTTGATATGCTGACAAAATTTATCAAGTCCTTCCTCTTTAAATACAATTTCCTCTCCTTTAAATACATATTGAATATATAACTGATGCAATCTCTCATTCGTATAGTTGATTATCAACTACTCAAATCCATTTTTGTCAAAGACTTCAAATCCATAGATATCTAACAAACCTATGTAGGTATTATTGTTATTTGCATCGATTTCTTCTTCTGGTAGGATATTTTGATTCAATTTTTAAACTAGCCAATTGAATAATCGTTCAAATAACTCTTTAGCCCACGAGTCTCTATTTTAGATACACTAATTATAGGAAACAGGAGAAATAATCTTCTATTTATTTATTATTCTTTGTTTAAGTATGAGGGCTTCACTTATTTCTTTGATAGTCAATTATAATAGCTTTGACAAGTATTCCAACTTATTTTCAGTGACAATTTAACAAGGAACATCATCAGTCAGAGTGGCCTCATTGAATTGCAGATCTCCTAAATGCAATACGGCAGCTACTATTTAATGAATGTTCGACTTATCAGATTCCAAACCTAATAAATTATAGGACTGAATGACTTCATCGTAGAGTTTCTTATCATCGATTCCATCAACATCCTAGATGGTATTAATATATGAGATCTTGTTCAATTGGATGGGTTAATCATTTTCGCTTAAGAACAATTACTATAATTCATTGACAGGCATTCCCTTCAAAATATGATAGAAGATATGGAAGTTTCTCTCACCCTTTCCTTGCAAACAGATTCTACTCTTCTCCAATAAATAATTGTATATCTGAGCTCCTTTTATTTTCTTGTCTTTCTTCGAGATATATATTTTAGTATATTTGCCGAATCGACTTGAGTTATTGTTTCTTAATGTCTTGGCATTGCCGTATGCTTCCAAGATTGGATTGCATGATAGGATCTATGATAGGGTTGAATAGAGATACTCGATCTTCAATGGCGAATTTATTGATACTTTTCTTTTTCTCTTATGATTGCCTTGGAGTATCGAATTTGACACTGGTGATTAGATTCATGCATGATTTTGCATTTTCTGTTTTGCCTGCTCCACTCTCTCCAGATATGATGATTGCTTAATTTTTTTAATTTTCAAATAAACTCTTAATTGCTTCAGCACCTATTGCATACATATGTGGAGGTTGAGTGCTCCTATTTTCCTTATTGATGGCCTATTAAATATATTTGTTCTTAATTTCCAGATTGATAAGGTGAGGACATGCCTCAAATGGATTAATGACCAATAATGTGGGTCCGACGTATGTGAATATTTTTTTTTATTAATATCTCTTTTTCAGATTAACCAATAACTCTTGATCATTAATGACTTCCATATCAACCATATCATCAAAACTCTCCATTTTTGAAAATAATATATAATAAACACATTATTAATCACTAGTCTGTAACAATTGAATTAAGAGCCTGTCCAATATGATCAATAATCTTAGGAGTAGTCAATGAATATTACTCCTAGTTAGATGCCATGTTAGCAGCTCTTCTAGTCACTACACAACCTAAAATGCACCCCTCTATCTTGTCTACCTTTTATTCCTAAGCCCAATAAGAGTAGAGTCCAATCAACCCACTCAAAATGTCCCCCTGACCTCCACATCTCTTTTTGGAACCTTAAAGTTCAACTGCATATCCCACCTTTCCGTTAGTTATAATATCGTTCTGTCCCTTAGATACAATTATAACATTATTTAATTTCCTACTCAATTCAGCCATTAACCCTGCATATCCATTCTCAATCCCAATTTATTTGTAGTTTACATCTACATTTATTACATTAAGCGAATCATAATCAGGCTTTATGTATTGAATATCAAAATATTCTAATAATCTCTTTATTTCCATAGCATTTGGAGTCAATATAAATTGATGACTCTTCTCTTAGATGATTGCAATCAATTTGTTCGGCTTTTAAGAGATGTGCCACAATGCATCTGCATCCAATATTTTGATGCTATTGTTTTATTTGAATAGACTTTCCAAAGTCCTGCCTGTTATTTGTTCCCTTCCCAATCCTGGACCAATTACTAATGAATGCATTATCTAAGTAGAAGACACCAATTTATTAATAGCATTTTCTAGCAATACATATTCTCCCTCCTCTAATAAATAAGGGTAGACAATGCATTCAGGACTATAGCTCTTTATTGGAATGGCTGCTGATTTAGTGCAAAATATATATGCTAAATCTCCTCCTCCTTTCAATGAGGAAATGGCTGCATAATAGGGAGCACCTGTGTATTCAAACGACCCCCCTATACTGGCTATCTTGCCATTCTAACCTTTATGACGTGTCTTATCTAAGAGAGGGATTATCTAAGAGAAAGATTTTGATTTAAACATATTTTAAAATGTGGATGATTAAAACTTATTGTACTATTTCATAGATAATTATATCAATCTCCACTAGCACAACCTCTGCATCCACATTATTTACATTGTACCAATTTACCTTCCTCTAATTTGGCTTTAGGAACTCTACAAATACAGGTTCCACCAAAGTTATGCTGCGATTTCGATATACAATGCAAACAACACAGCTTTTCATACCCGGTCTTCTTCCATTTGGCTATTAATGTTGCGTCCCCATATTGCTCTTATAAGCAGAATTCATATAATTCTCTGGTTATCTCCTTTTTATAATAGTACATTTCATAAATATAACGAGATCTTTATATTTGAATGATTAATATACCTCTAATGATGCAATTTGTAAATCTCCCAAAATTATTCAGGTTTCTTCTTATCACTGTATGCTTGATTCTCTACATCTCGTATTTGATTTCCAATTTCTGTTATTGTTGGTTCAATCAATTCCCATCCCTCAGGGGCCTTCTTAGTTCGAATAGTTTTAATTTTAGGCATATTTATATATATTAATATATTTAAATATATGAACGTGTAAATTCAAAAGTAGTTGTGAGTTTAGTCACCCAAGGCTTCATATAACATTTCAGTCATATTCTATGTGGGACTATTGAAATCAATTTATAATTTTGGTTATTTCTTAATAGTGGTTGAATTCCTAAAACTTGGATAGTCACTTGTCTATTTATCCATATCAATCGATTATGATAATGCTGATGAGCAATTTCTCTATCTGGAGTATTCATGACAAGATTGATTTAGATCTCTTTGATTATAATTTCGAATCTTCTCCATTAATTCTAAATTAACAGAAACTTATAAAATATCCTTATTCAAAGTACTCTATACTCTCTTAGAACGATCTAAAGGATCAAATTAATTTAATACCATTAATCTTTGGTTTGAAAGAGGGCGTTGCATCAGTCTTGAGTCTCTTGATTCTCTCCTTCTTCTTATCCTCATTCTTATTCATCCTCTAGAAGAAATCTGTTTGATTAGTTGTTTTGATTATTTTTTATGATACTTTATTGACCATTGGCTTAAACAAATTCTCTTGGCTTATTTGAATCATAGATGACTCCTTCAATTTATCAATGTGATCAGCCTTAATCTATTAATAATTAATACTTTTTATTACATCCATTTCATTCCTTATTAATACAAGTCGTTCTTCTAAGTATTCTAACTTTTAGGCTTAAGGATTTTTGGATGAAATGTTGCTTCTTGAATCTCTTCTTATAACTTCTTTTGAATCTACTTCTCCTTCGATTGTTACAATCGCTCATTTTTTAATTTTAATTAGGATTATTATCTCTCATAAAATTAAATGTGATCTGATTAACTATGTGTTCTCATTAATTATGGTGATGGACTATGTTATTTTTATCTAGCTCTTCTTTAATCTTCATCAATCTGAAATCTTGTCAACTATTCCTAAAATTTCACTTTTGTAGTATTTTCAGTCATTATTGATTTCAACTGTTTCTCCAACATTTAGAGTAATACCTTCCTTGTATTTCTATTTCTCAAATCCATTACTATAATTTTATTATTAATTTTTATTACTAAATTTTATATCGTATTTTTAAGTAGACATACTAATTTCATTTGTTATAAATATATACACAAAAATATAAAAATCATACAGTTTAGGTTATAGTAATTTCTGGGTTTGGTTAATCATTAAAAAGCATTCTACAAATTGATCTTATTGATTAATCATCAATTCTTGTAAACTTTAACTACTTTTTAGGAGCTTAAGGACACAACAATTTCTTTGTTTTTGGAGTTAACAAACAATTATTCATTTATTTTAATTCTGAAGAAGAATTATAAAAAAATATAATTTATAAATTAGTGGCGCATCAATTTAACCGCCTTATAAATATCACAATTTAGGTACACTCTTTACTTTTTATTAGTTTCTGAGTTCAAAGAGATTATCTATTTATTTGAAAAAATTTGATTCGTAATTATGAATGACTCCAACCAAATCTTATAGAAATTACGCTAACATTATAAGATTCTAATAAATAATGCGTTTTTCTTTAGCTTGTGTTTAAGTCAAAATAAACATTATAGTTTTACTGACATACTTGTACTCATCCAAACTTATAGATTAATCCTTCTTAATGAATCCTTAGCCATTAATTAAATTCTGCGACTCTAAGTAAACTATTTAATTGGTATTCGGAGATTGGTCATCCAAAGTTACATTTGCTAGAAGTTCATAATAATTAATGTATACATTTCTTCATTTTCCATGAATGAGTATCAATATTACTTGGGATAAACTTGTCATTTTTTATTTGATACATAAGACAACTACTATTTGTATCAATAGATGCCAAATTGATATCGAAATGTTTGGCTAATACTTTTACGCTTTCAGAAAATTAGTTTATACTCTACAGACATTCCTAATTCCCTGTATCATACAAAGATCTTAGATTCTAACATATTCTCATATTTGTCAATTAAAACAATTCTTCAGAGTGATCCCAAGGTCCAGCATCCAATTTTTGAAAACTTATTTATCCATCGTCTATACTTATGGCATACCATTTATTATTAATTTAATGAATCATTTTAAAAAAGGAAGAATCCTAGAGTAATTAGTAAGTGAAATAATTCTCGATTAAGTATAAAATTTAAAAGTAATACTTTACATTAGGTTTAGGGAATTTCAAGATGCCCATTAATGAAAATATGATTTTACTCTCAACTTTAAACTTATTCTAAAATTTCAATTCCTTAATTCTCTCAAATTTCTTCCCGAATGACATTTTAAAAAATCTATCTTCTTATTATTTAATGTAAACTTCGGAAGCATCTCTCAATACTGCACTCTAAATAAGTAAGTGATGATTAGATATGTTAACATTCTTCTTTTGAAATATCTCATCCTTCTTTATTTCGTTTCTCAAATGAATCATGTAATCATTAGCCACCTAATTCATGTCCAAACCATCCCCTTATTATTTTACGACCCATTCTTAATAATCAATGAAATGCTATTCATAATGCTCTACAATATTGGTTCCTATTTTATGATCAAATTGTGTATTATGGAATCCAACTGGTTTACGACTTGAATTATAATTGGGTAAAAGTTGATTTCTTGATCCTGGTTGACTTATTACTAGATCAGGTTTCTCATCTTTTATCAAATGTTCAGATATACTCCTTTAAGGATTATAAACCTTTGTAAGTGATTTGCTCTTTTTGTCCGATCTTAATTTCCTCTAAAATTTAATTACATCAGGATTATCATCATTTAAAATAAGAGTCTTCTTTTTCAGTTGATTAGCTGCTGTTTCAGGAGTATATTTAGAATCTACTTGAGTTCCAGAAAAGGCACAAATATCTTAATCCTAAGAGACTTCATTCTCTTAAGGAATTTGCTCTTCTGCTTAACGAAGTTGCATTGACACTACTGAAAATACTTCCCACACTAAACCACCTATCAAAGCCAATAGAAAAATCGACAAAAATTCGAAGGAACCAACAAATATCATTGCTGATAACATGTCATCTGTATCATATGTCAATTCAAATACAACTTGATTCCATTCTGCCGCAATAAACATCTGTAACATCATCAAATAAGATCCAGAGAACGATGTAAAGTCTGCATATTTACAATTACCCCATTGATATTCAAATAAATTAGCATCACATTGAGAATTAGCATAAGGATTCTCTGGGTTCCTTTAGATCTTACCAAATAGATACATCCCAACACAAGAATATATGAAGAATATCATTTAAACGGGCAACATCAATCGAAATATCAATGGGACACATATTATAATTTTATAAAGCAGGTTTCTAACAATATCCAAAAATTCTAATCCAGATAAAAAGAAATTTAATATTTTAATTGATCTAAATGCTCTAAATAATCGAAAGACCTTCTATATTTTGGCCAATCTCAACAATCGATTTGCTTTAATTGATTGAACTATGTTTCCAGATACAATATTGAATAGTATGTAATCAAATATAATCTGCAAAATTACTAATGAGATGTCAAACACATTCCTATTTTAATTACATTATATACCATCCTTCTTAGAAATAAGGTTTAATTCCCAATGCAATTATTTTTACTATGCATTCAAGAGCGTAAAACACCAAGTACACTGTATCAAGTAATGTAAAGATATCCAAGATATTCATATCATCAATAAAAAAGGCTGTCACAATAAGAACACAATTAGATATGGTTATCATCAACATACCTATACTAAAAACCTAAAGTCATAAGCAATTTGTACATTTCCTTCTACAAATTTCAACAAACCCTTGGAATTAAAATAGTCTCTAAAGGATTCCCAACATTCTAATGGTTTTCTTTCCGGCAATTTAAAAATGGAGCCATCCTAAATTAAATGAAGAAATTTGTAGAACTCATCAAATTGAACCTTATCACTATTTCTTATTGAATTTTTACTTAAAATCCTAATCAATTAAAGAAAACAAGGTAGCCATATCCACTTTATTTATGCTATTTGCATAAAACTATTCAATAAATTCTTGAAACTATGTATGCGACAAAAATCCTTGATCTGTCAAATCCAAAGAGATGAAACTGGCCATCATAGCTGATTTCTATTTTATTATATCATTGATTGCTATTTCCATCCTATGTCTTCTAAATCCTTCGTATACAACTGCAAGTGGAATAGGTGCAAATAGGAAGATGAATAGTAACAAATAAATTATAAAGAATAGACTATAAAAAGTACCTTGTAACATAGGTGGAATTAGAATATCAGGATAAAAGTCTAGAGTTGCCACCATAAACAACATCGAAAAAAATTTAAAAAAGTCTCCATAATCCTGAGTCCTCAAATCTACATTTTCCAAACGACCAATCAAATTGATGCCTACAAATGAAAATATTGAAATAATGATTAGATAAAGCAAAATTAAAAGGAACAAATCTCGACTTGCCTTCATTATGCCTTTTAAATTTCTTCTTAAGTCTTTTGAATACATAGGCATTAGTAAAGTCCTAAATATTCTACTGAATCTCATGATATTAGGTTCTTTACTATGTATAATAAAATCGATTAGGCACACATAGTAGACAATCAATTTAAATTACCTTTTTGGATTAAATGCAAATCTATTTTCCTTTTTAGTCACCAATAAAACTATTGTAATTAGTGAGTCAATTCCTAAAAATGCTAAAATTATGCTCTCTAATATCAATAAATTATGATTATCCTCCATGTCCTATTCTGGAAATGGCAATTCAAAGAATGTCATTACCTAATAGATAATTGATAACAAAAAGAGAAAAGCAATCCAAAATTGATTGTTCTCTAAATACCAAAAGAATTTTAGGTATTTTTTGTTGGTTAAATCGATATCATTTCGAATAGTTCTTAAATAATATGCATCATAAATATGTCGAATTGCTTTCTTCATTCTTTGTTTTACTGATAATTTCTTTACTATTTTCTAAATTTCGGAGGCTAATTAATCATTCTTCTCTAGCAATTTTTGTGAGAATTCTTATAAAGCCATTGATTATCTATAAATAGTAGACTATCTTCTTTTTTTTAAAGGTTTATTCATTTAATTTAATTATTAGACATAAACATATAATATAAAAATTTCATAAAATTCAGTCTCATATTCTAAAAAGACTATATTTTTATCAATTATCATATGTAAAATTACCATCCCAAAGTTGAATAGTTTAACAACATTTTTAATATATTGGTGAAATTCAAGGCTGAAAGTGCACTTAAATTATATAATGATATTTGATATACATTTACTTAGCAGATTAGCTGTTTAGATATTCTTATTCAATTGTTCTTTTTCTGATTTAATTTTTTCTTTAAATGGCATAATTTTGATTCAATATTTCATAATTGTATTCTGTTAAAATAAATTAAGAAAATAATTTAAAATCGAAAATTGATGAAACCATTTCAAACACCAAACTCATGTCATTCAAGAAAGGGAAGTGCTAAAGTAAACAGACAGCCATTTGCCATCATTAGCAATTGTCCAGAGTTCTAATAATGCGCCAATTATTTGTAAAGTAAAGTACACGGATTAGAGATGAGAGTGAAAAACCTTAATAGTCATCATGCAAGTGAAAACAGATCTACTACAGCTTCTAAAACTACAACCAATTTATCTCCTTTTAATACTCATAAATAATGCAAAAAATATGGATCTAATAAACAAATTGACACTCAAAGTTATTACGAAACAATCATCAACAAAAGATTAGAAAATATTAGTAAAATTGAATAGTCACCAATAAAAACAGAGCAATCTGTTAATTAAGACAAGTATTCAGTGCATAGTCTAGTCAGTCATTAAACAAGATTAAATTATAATTGTATTTAGAAAATATAAACATTAACCAAAAGACTCAGATAATTTAAGTTAGTCAAAGATCAAAATCAGGATGAGTGTGCTCCATCTTTGGCAAAAATTAAATGCTTTTGTCAAGAATTCTCAAATGAGTGTTTCGATTTCTATAGATGCACCGATCTAATTACCTTGAAATACTTTATTTATTTGCTTCTATAGGAATTAAACAATAATTCGGAAACATATAGAGGTAATGACAATCAACATTATGTATAATAAATCGAATATTTGAAATCCCAGTTGGAAAATCAAAATACTGATTAAAATACATTTAAAGGTTAGATAAAGTTATAAAAGATGGTGTATGACACATAAAATCTAATTTAAGAGATTGTTAATCAATTGCAATCTCAAAATAATTAAAATGTCTTAACTAATTAAGTTGACATCTTGAATAGGTAGATAAAATCATTAAAGGATAATATGGATCAATAGCAATTCTTAAAAAGTTCTTTTGGTGTTAATTTAGCTAATTATGAGACCAATGAAAACAATAATTCTCTAATTAATTAATCTAATTATAAGACGAATGAAGATAGATTTATGACGTAAATGAGTTCTAAATCAAAGTCTCCATATTGTCGAAATAATCGAAAAATATTTGTGGATGGAGATTCATAAAATAACCTTAGATTATTGGAAGAGCAAACAATTATCAACAGACAATTGATGGAAAAGATTTTTGAATTGCAATCATCAGATAAATAGAAGTATGCCGTTTAGGAATTGCAAGATTAATTAAATGAGAAAAACAAATAAATTATCGAACTCCAAAAAAACATTAAGAATTAAGAATGCTATTCTGAATTAAATTAAAGAATTTTAGACATAAGCAGAAATTTAGATAATGTTATTTAATAAAATTCTTCATTGCTTTAAGAAAATGAATAACACAAAAATAAAATCGATTCAATGAAGTAATTAGAGCAAAAGTATTATGATTTACTTTAGGAGAATAACAAGTAATGTTAATAAATAAATTCAATTATTAATGATAATTGTTAACTGAAAAAGATTTAATAGCAATATGAGGCAGAATGTAAGGGATATCAATAACAAATTTTAAAATTATAGGAGAAGTGTGAAGTGCTATAAGCTTCTTTATAGGATTAAAATGATTCAAAAATTTTATAATAATAAATTAATGAGTTATTATAATAATAATAAGAGTAAAATAATATTATTGTAATTAAAATTTATAATAAATTAGAGTTTGATTACAGATGAAGCCTTGTATTTGGGACAAATGACCTTGTATACCAATGATTTATTGTAGAAGCAGTAGGGTGACATCCCTACGTCAATAAGGGTGTTATAAAAGGATTTAAATAACAAGAAAAGTGCCATTCAGCAGAAAATGAAAATTTTATAGCAATTTGGAAATAACATGAAGATAAAGCAATGCGTCTCGCATAATAGTTCCTTCAAAACAAACTCTGATGTGGATCTGTTGGAGAATTTGGAAAACGACGTAATGCCAGTGAAATTTTAACAATAATCGAATTAACATAGTGATTTGATGACGATGTTGGTGGTGTAATGCCATACAATAGAAAAGATGATTGACTTTTGATAAATAGATATCTATATTTAAAGCTATTTATATAACAATATAGATATTTAACGATTAAGCGGTGAAGATGAATGAAATATTGATTAAAATAGTAATGTATTAATAAATAGCACTAATAAATATTCATTCCATTATTTTGCATAAAAATAAGATTTAATATTTAAAATATTAATATGAAACCTAATTCTGAGATTCTTTTATGTTAGATGTACTAGCTGGGACCAGATAAATGGAATTATGTAGATATTGGTTATACTCATATCAATTCGAAGGTAAGAGGTTTAGAGTAGACAATAATAGAACGAATTGATTTTACTGCAGAAGGACACGAGTCAGGAAGTGATAGTTGTTCCAATAAAGTAGGAGAATGAGTTTTGCTTTGATTAAGGTATGGATAAAATTTAAAGTGTAATAGAAGAAGCAATCTAATTCCATTGTGGTTAGGATTATGCCTTGAGTTTTCAGAGTAGAGAAGGAGCAATGGGAGTTTGGGCTCGTATTCAAAACATTTTGGTGGAGAATGAGGCTGAAGATTAAGATTCAATATCATTGACACCCGTTTCTGAAACAAATTTGGAGTCCATTTTGGATACAATGAATACCATGATAGCATACGGTTCTCAATCAAAGTAAATGTTGTTGAGTTATTTGATCAATAAGAAAGTAAAAAGTGATATTGAGTGTGATAGGAATATTTCGATAAGCTTATAAAATTGTTCCAATAGTTGGAGAAGGACAGCAATATCAATTTGTTATAAACAATGTGTTAGATTGTGAAGAATGTATGAATATATATTGATTGTGATTAGATAGTAACAGTGGCAGAACATGAATTATTTTAAATAATCTTGAACGATTAGAATTATTTATTCATTTTTGGTGCATTAGAATGTATGTTATTTGTAGATTAAATGTTATTAGATGATACTGAGATGAACAAGAAGAATTTCGTGCCCCACCGTTAGTATTTAGAGAAACATGCGTAATTCTTGCAAGTAGTCCAAATAAAGAGTAAAGAGCGACTTAAAACCATTCATTTCATATATCGGCTGCAGTACTTGCGCGATTGTGGTTTGGCCTACTACATCGACGAGTGCCAGTTGATGTTCATAAAGATAGTTTTAACGTAATCAAAATCATGATAGATTATAAAGAGTTGTTATGTTGACCTCTTTAAGTACATCGAAAATTCGAAGGATTTTTTGATAGAAGTCATAGACAAATTGAGAAATTTCAATTTCTTAGCTTTGAGATTCCTTTGCGAGATTTGTTCAGTCTTTAAAGAATTTCCAGATGTATAACATAGATTCATTATTACTAGTTGAATAAAGTAGTCATCTATTAGAAACTCAGTGAATACGGATTGTATGAGATAATTGAAGATTACATGAACGATTCTCTAAAGGGATTTGAGAAGTACAAAGCCAAATTAAAGAAACTCAAATTGAAGATATCTGTAATATATATTCACAATATCATTAAAGGATGATGTGTTTACTAAGATACCAAATATGATATTAGAATTGTTAATAGTGTGTTTACAGCATTGTCCCAACTATTTCAGATAATATGTTATCAGTGAACATCAATAGGTTCTGAAATATCCATTGTTCAACATTATTGTGGAGAATGCTTTCTAAAATGAATTATATATGGAGGCATTGAAGTTGATGATCGACAATAACTCAGAAGAGTAGAATGAAACTATGGATTTATTTTTACTGCAATTCTATCCAAAAATCACAGCTTAAATCTCACATACAGCCAATAAAGAATACAAATAGCAATTTTTAGAGATCACCTTAGGGTTGGTCAGAGCCATGAAACCATAGGTGAAGGAGGCAGTGATATTAAATTAAGTGGCATTGAAAGTGGGCTTTATTTTGTAAGAAAACTAAAAGCTATTGTAAACTAAGTGTTTGCAGATAATTAAACTGATATGTCTGTCTAGAGATGATGACATCAACAATGAGATTATAATGATAATCCCTAATTTAATTAATGTTATTTTAGCATATAAGGGGTTGAGGGAAAACCTGATATTTTCTTAATAATTAGAAATAATAAAAATAATATATGAAGGGATAAGTTAAAAATTGATTACATCATTAGTAAGATTTTTATTAATAACTAATAGGAAGATGAATTAAAGAGAAGAGAAAATCAACCAAATTATCAAAGAATACATGAGATTTTCAAGAATCTAAAAAATAATTGCATGAAATAATAATTCAGTTCATAACCGTAATCATAAAGCCAAATGTAATCGAGATACAATGTGGTAGTAGATGATGAGATGGATCTATTCATATCAGTTCAGGGACACAGCAGCCCTCATCTTGTTAAACAATAAAAGAGGACTTAGGATCATGAGGAGGAGGTAGATTTAATAACTAAGAAAATTAAGATTGATTGAATTGAACAATATAACATAGAACAACATAAAATAATCTATATATATATATATTTATGCACTATTTTATGCAATCATTAAATTGAACATTTTCCGCTTGCATCAGCATTTTCATTCGAATTACTCTTTCTTTGATTTCCAGATTAAGTTTTAGCTGGTCCTGAAGTTTGAGATGTTTATTGTGGGAATTTCTTTTTCATGGCTTGTTTAATGGCCTCTAAAAATATTTATTTTATATTGGTTCCATTGAGTGCACTGCATTCAATGTACTTGCATCCTAGATCTGAAACCACTTTTTAGGCTATGTTAAATGTAACAAAGTTATTCTCATTAACATTTTCTGTTGGTCTCATATCAATTTTATTTCCTATAAATATCTTGGGAGCATTAGGTTGATCTGCTTGCAATTCAGGATACCACTAATACAATTGATCAAATTCGGTTACTTTTTTAATCGCATTTTAAAATGAACTCGGCTCATCTACTGAAAATGTAATTAAAAACACATCGCTTTAAGGGTAACTGATAGATCTCAATTATTTATATTCCTCCTGTCCTGCTGTATCCCTTCGTTATTAATATAAATTTAGAATACCATAAATTAAGGTTTACCATTTTGTTCTCATATAACACTTAAGCACAATAATTCTCAAAAATAGTTGGCACATAATCAGTCGGAAATTTGTCCTCAGTGTATCTATTATTAGTCTCCTCCTATTTACCTTATCAAAATGCATGTCTTCCCAACACTACCATCCCCCACAACGACTAATTTGATAGAAATTGCTGAATTGGCTTAATTATTATTCATTTAATATTATTTATATTACACAAATAAATTTTTTCATACCCAAGTCTAAATTGTCTATCTTAAGTTAACTTTACTCTCTCACTGCACTACCCTTGTTCACTCAATCTAACCCAAACTCCATTTCTACTACCCATGTCCTCCAAAATCAATCCATCATTTGTGTAACTAAATTAGGCATGAACACCAGACAAATGCTAACTCCATACATATCATAATTACCGTATCCATCCTAAATTGATCTAACTACCTCCCAAACTTCAAACAATTCTGATTCTTAACTAATTAGAACGAAAACTTTTGATTCTTCTGCACTCCCTCTACCACTCTCAATACGACATCACATTATTGATTACTGCAATTCATCTACTCTATTTTGTACTGCATGCTTCCCATATGTAAGATCAATCCCAATCTCATCAATGAAGGTTGCATCAACAATACGAAAGTCCCAGAAGTACTACCAGTATCTTTCAAATAAAAATTCTTTGTCTTCTGATCAAATTCAACCAGACAATGATTTCTACTCACATAATCTTCACTCAACACCAAAGTATTCTCTGGGTTTCTTCCAATACTAAGTCCCTTTTCTGACACACTCACCTTCTAATTATCACCTATGCAAACCAGTTCAATAGTATGCATGGATTCAGTCTACTTAATTTAGTTTGGGTAGGATGGAATCTTAGTGGCTTCTAGATTTTGTTTTGGCTACTTTAATATCTGAGGGGCTTCTACTACTTTCATTGATTCTACCAATTCAACCTTGTGATTATCTTGGAAGCTATCTCTTCTTGGTTTGAAATCATTTAATCTTTAGATTGGAGTATAGTCGAGATTTTCCTTGTTCACAATCTGTTTGCTTGCAATTGACCATTCACTTTAACCGACGTTGTTTCTAACAAATTATTTATATTCGATGAATCCATTTTGAATCCATTATAAAATCTTCTTCTTTTTCACATTTGAGCTGATACCCAATTCATTCAAATCGTCATCATTTAACACTTCCAAACAAGCCCCATCAATTGCATTTCTTTCTATCATATAACATTATCAAGCATTACAAAAAACATCTGATAAATCCTGTAATCCAATAAATTCCAACCACGATTCAACATCGCATTGAGTCCATCTACGAGGTTCCTTTGGAATCACACTAAATAATTTCTGATAATCCATTAAATTTAAATTTAAATTATATATTTATAAATTAACAATCACAAGGTTTAATTATTCATCTTTCCCAATGTTAATTTTGCTAAATATAAATATTGTATTGTTATTCTTCCTATTCCTTATGTATTATTCCACTATGATTATCATTATGTTTAGAATCAAAGATACTAATTTTTGTTATTAGAAATAGTATCAAGCAGATTTGTAATTTTCAAAGGGGCTAAACAAATTTTATAGTAATCTAAGAACTTAGTACTTATAAGATGAATGCATCAAATAAAATTAGTTGAAATAATACTTAAAAATTTTTCTTTTCAATAGGTAATCTAATTGGTTAGATTAAATGATGAACCCTTTATTCTTATTTAAATATTTGTTATATTATTATAAAACTATTCTATATTGGAATCCTTTCATATTTGTGAGACAAAAAATGAAATTTTAACTAAATATTGATTTCAGAAAACTAAAGTTCAAGTTCAATTCTTAGATGGAAATAATATGCTGTTATTCTCTTTTTATTAATCTTATATAATTAATAGACTCATTGAATAATAGATCAATTATTATTAGGTATAGGAATCATTAAATAATTTTCTATGAACTAAATTTTATTTAATATGATAATAATATTTTATTTGAAATAGAAGATGATTAGTATTATGAGAGCAGTTTATTAGAATATTTAGTATAATAATCATAATAAATTCGAAATACTTATTCATCATTATCAATATAATTAAAGTTAATGATATTTTCAATTTTCAAATTTCGCTTTGGCACAATATAAACAAATTTCCCAAAGCTTTCATTCAAAGTGTTAGATTTTCAGACAATGAAGGAAAGAAATCCAACCCTTATTTCTGACTCTGATATTCAAACATTATGTAAGATGCATTCATTGAATTCAACATGGAAGATCGTAAATTATTAATACTAAATAGACTCCATAAAAATTATATAGGGAGATCAAATTTAACAATTTCAAGGAAGCCTTTTCCTTTATGAATTAAGTAGCTATTTTTTCAGAGCAAATAGATCGTATTACAATATTCTAATCTTAGATCATCCTGATTGGGAAAATGTATATAACTTAGTTAAGATTAATCTGAATACTCACGATATTGGAGGTATTTCAATTAAAGACATCTTCTTGGCTTATGCAATAGTAATAATAAGTGTTATTATTTAGGATACAATAGCAATGAATGTTAGAGTGAAATCTGCAGAATCAACCAATGACACTCGTATTTTGGAGGTAGCCAAAATTGCAGAATCTTGGAATTTAAATTTTGATCAATTTCATAGAATGATTGAAACAGATTCTAGATAAATATGAATATTTTATATGAATATGATGATTTCATTCTGACAACTTTTGATTGATGTATTCAATTAATCTATCAACGATATCGATTTCAGTTTATCTAAATTAGAATGTGTAGATTACCTACTAACTTTTTGATTACTGTATTCTTGGTCTTCCAACTCATTGATTCTGGTGGCATCTTAAATATTTAATTAGGTGACTTCAACAATAGCATTAGAAATATTGATTAATCCATCTAATTCGTTTAATCTTGATTAGATTTCCTTGAGTCTGTTATTAGCAGTGGCCAAAGAAACTTATAAGGTTTGCTTTTCATTTCTCAAATCATCACCCAATCTAGTAAGATTGTCAACTTGAGTCTTATGGTTGGCTTCTAATTAATCTTGACCTTCTTATAATGCAGTGATCAATCTAGCCACCAAACTCAAGACATTGTTCAAGGTTTCTGGGTTGACTTTTGTTGTCATTTCAGCCAATCCTTCAATGATTGGTTGGAATAAGGTCAAGGAACTTTTCTTTGTGTGAGCTTCTAAGATCTCTTTGATCTTCTAAAAGTTCTCTTTGGTTTAAATCAAATTGCTCTTTGTGTCTTAACTACAAATTTAAAAAACTCTGATACGTTAATTGAATTAATGATGCTCCTTCACCTCTTAAATTTAACAACAATCTTTGAGCTTCTTTACAAGCAAGAATTGCATCGCTATAATCTTAATATTTAGCTGCAAAATCTGTGTTCTCAGCATCTAATCTACCTTAGGCATCACCACTTCCTCTGCCATTTCTGTCTAATGCAGCTTAATCTATGAAATGATATTCTGTGTACAGTACCTTCCTTTACTCTTGTTTACAATGTGCTCAATTCATTGGTTAAACTTGATTGTTCTTATCTTTGATTGTCAAGATCTTATTAAGCTTATTCAAGTGTGGCTTGGAGTTTGGCCAAATCAACTTAGCTTCTTCTTGTGAATGTTGCGCTTTCTTAATCTTGTAATTATGTCAAGGCAATCAATTCATCCTTAATTTATTATAAGAGCTATTTTAATTCATTTAATGATCCTCCTGTTTTCATGTTGACACTCACTAAGTTAATCATAGATGAACCAAAGGGATGGTCTCCATATCCTGAAAGTCTTTCTTTCAATTCAGAAACTGTGGTTGCCTAAATGCAGGCAATCAAAACAACAACCAACAAAGCTGATTTCATATATTATTAATAAAAAATCAAAAAACAGAAAAACGAATATTATCTCAATCACAAATATTACTTCACTCAAATCATTTTTTAAATCCTTAACTCCCCATTTTTCATTTAATCCCTCTTCTTCTTTCATAATTTCATCAAGCTCAATATATTTTTCACATTCCAAGATGTCATCACTTAAAATTTGAAATGATTTTATATCAATATTAAAGATACTGTTAGGTATCATACTTTTGTTATCTTAATATTATATAATAACATCATTCTATCTGAATCCAACAAGTTCTATTTGATCACTATTGTTGTTCAAATTATCAAGAGTGTCTTCTAACTCAAGATTATTATAAATTGAATACTGATTATTATAATGGCTTAATAATAGATAGTGCAGAGATAATGGGAAAAATGAAGTTTAACTAAATGCCGGCTTCTTAGTAGTAGATTTGAATAGAAATAATAAGTTTCATAGAATAATGATAAAAAGGAAGAAGAAGAATGCAAATTATATATTATATGATATTATTTTATTTATTATCAATCATTACGCATAGGTGTTTGATAATTGATGTATGGAGATTGATATCCTCGCATAACTGATTATTGACCACCTTCAAGATCATCCCAAACTCTTGTTGACATGCCTGGAGGATGTATTGGTGTTTTTCCAACTTGAAGATGGGAGTTGGAAGATTCAGATTTAATACATTCTAATGGGACTTTAACAACCATATTTTTAGCTGACAATTGGATTGTGGCAACTCTACTGGTGACCTCTTGGACCATTCCTCTGTAAGATTACCATTGTCCTTTACGAATGGTAACCATCTATCCTCTTAGATTTTTCCAATCTTCATTGGGCATTTGGGATGTGGTGGTTCCGAAACCAGGTACTGTCTTTTAGGAGGAAGAGACTAGACCACAATTGTTGGCTTTTTCAATGATTACTCCTTGGGTGTTGTCAAATTTGCCATTGAATAGGAATAAATAATCTCTATACACATGTAGGACAGTTGCTTTATTATCTAGATGATAGTAGAAATAATAAATTACTTTTATAGAAACCATCCAATATGACTACTAGATCCTATTATCTGATGTCATTGCCATACATATTTTTGACCACATTGTTTTTAGTGATGATGGAGTTTCTGATGGCTAATTTGTTGATATTCTTGATTTGATTGGTTAAATCGAGGACACTGACCTCGTTATTGCTGATATTGAGGATACACCCGATATCGTTATCAATCAGACCGAACTTGACTAGATCGTTTCTCTTGAATCCTGGTTTCTATTGTCCAGCTCCAGCATCTGGATTCTCTTCGATTTCCATTTTTTTAATTACATTTTTTTATGATTGGAGATCTGAAATCAAGGCATCAACAATTCTGCCAGCCTCAGTGGATATTTGAGCAGTCAAATCATCCAATTTGATGATGGTACCACTTAATCCAGTGTTGGGTCCAGAGACAATAGAAACCTACTGATAAAGTTTGAAGGCCAATTTTGCCTAACTGATTTCTAGTTTATATTCATAATTCTTTTTCTCGTTATTGTTTTTATTTTTTACAGATTTAGTAATAATGAGTTTGTTTTCATCCTGGAGGATTTATGCAACCTTATATCTGGAAGGTTTGGCTTGATCTTGAGTGAGAGTGATGTAATCTCCGATTTGGATTTTGGATTTTTGTTCAACCACTTATTTCAAACTGGAATGAAGTTTTTAGAGGATCAACCTATAATCCTGAACATCGGGATAGAAGTATTATAAGTCTTCAACAGTGGGTTTGATGTTGCCAGTCAGAACTTGATGAACTGGAAGTGTGATGATTTCAAATCCATCTTTCTTAGCAGAGGTCCATTCATCTCTAATGGTAGTATAGAAGAATTGGGAGGTAGGTTCGTCATTGTCATCATTAATAGATTTCTTGGTCATTTATATAGGTATTTTGGGGCCACGAATGTATTTTCTTTGTTCTTGAAGATACTTGGCTCTTTTTAGGAACTTGAATTTGCTGCCTCTTTAGAAAGGCTCATTGTCTTCAATGGGTGGTTCACCTTCTTCCTCTTTCATTTGGAAGCGAGATTGATCTGCATTGGCATTATTCTTTTTGGAATTCTTCTTTTTATTTTCTTCTTCCTCTTCAAGGGATTTCATGAGTAATTTTTGTCTGGGCACTACTTTGAGTTTGATAAGCTTTCGCTCTTGATCCACTTACATGACTCTGGCCAGATCTCCAGAGTAGATATTGTGTTGTCTAACTCTGACCCATTGGCCTTCATCAATGTCTATTTATTCGACTTCAGCAGGCTTGAACATGTTTGGACATTGTTCAGATTCGACCAATTCAGGTGGGGATTGTCTCACAATGGTCAGACCTTCGATGGCTCTCATGACATGTTGTTCAAATTAGGCTTCGATGAATATGGCTGCTGGGAACTTTTTGAGTGCGAAGACTGAAACAATTTCAAGTGGGTTGGTGTCTATCAAGTGATTATGCTTAAACATGATTGAGGTCACAGCTTCCTGTTCTTTTCCCTTATTGCATGAAACACGCCAAAACTTTACTATAAATGATTGAATACTTTGGGGTCTTTGAGACCTGGTTTTTCAATTTCGTCTTCAGATTTATCCACATCATCCCCTATTTATATGTCTTGATCTCCATATTGATATTTTTCTTCGATTTGCTTAACCACATCTTTGTGATGTCTTCTCTGGAGGGCCAATTCGTTGTACATCTGTTCTTGTTTTCCCTTAGTAATTTCTCCGCCTGAATTGTCATCTGATTCATTGTCTGATGTTTCAGACGCCTCTGTGTCTATGAACTTCTGCTTATTCAATCTTGTCTTCTTCAAGTTCTTTTGTTTCTTGAGTTACTTCTTGTTCTTTGACTACTTGAATTGTTCTGACTGTGAAGAATCTTCGAATGATTCAATGGAAGACTGACTTTTGTCATCCTAATCACTTCGATAATCGTCATTTTTTTAGCTCATTAATTAAATTAATTAATCAAAAATATATTTACGACCTTTGAAGTCTCATTATTTGGAGGTTTTTAACAATCCCTAATGTATTTAAAAGTTTCGGAAATCTCATTATTTCAAGGTATTTACCAACATCTAATGTCCTTAAAAATTTAGAATTCTCTTTATTTGGAGGTTTTTAGCATTCTCTATTGCGTTTAAATTTTTGAAGTCCCATTATTTTCAGGTTTTTATCAATTATACTGTAATATCAATTAGATGGAGTCTCACTATTTCAAGGTCTTTAACAACATCTATCACTCTAGTAGATCTAGATGCAGTCAGAATTAAGAAACCATTGACATTTATCACATATATCAAATAAATATTAATAATCTCACATCCCTTTTTCCAATCCTTAATAACATGTATTTATCATGCAACAATTGAGCCTACTCCAACGACTCCACCTTCTAATCATTAATTAGAATTCCTCCTTATTGTAATAATCTCCGAATTTCTGACTTCGATGATCTCAATCTCAATAACACCTCCATCAATTAATTCTCCTTCGGTACTCTTATCACTACATCCTTATCTATCTCCTCTGCCAACCTATCAAACTCTTATGCACTCATATTCAATAAGCGATCCCTCCTTAACCCATATAGTATCTAGTTCTTGTCAGCAGAATTCTCCTCTCCGTATATCATCTTCATTAATTCATCACTCAAACACTTCTAAGCCACTCTCTTCTCTGGACTCTGCTTGTGCTGTTCCATTACACTATCAATGTGCTCCTCCTTTAAGAAGGTCAACATCAGTAAGAAATCCCTCATTGAATCATCTGCTAAATTCAACAAATACTATTTCATATTGTGTTTCGAACTCGCATCCAAAAACAATGCATTCCCTTCACTCTTCCCAAACTTCTACCCATTCTTGTCTGTCAACAAAGGAGTGGTTATCCCATACACCTACTTCTTGTATTATTTCTTTACGAAATCGCAGCCATTAGTAATATTACCCCACTAATCACTCCCTCCTATTTACAAAGTGCAATCGTATTTCTCATTCAAGTATGCGAAGTCGTAACTTTGTAAAATTGTATAGAAGAACTCAGTCAATGACAAACCATCATCACCACTGTTCAATCTCTTGTTTATGTGATCTTTATTTAATAGACTATTCATTCTGAATTATCTTCCCACTTTAGAAACAAAATCGATCAACTTGGTCTCCCTATAAAAATCCATATTGTCCAGGATTTGCAGTGGTTGTCCTATCTTCGCATGATTAGCAATATTCCCATAAACACTTTCCAACTATTTTCTAATTTTCTCTAAATTATCGTGGATCACAACCAAATCTGGCTCCTTTCGTTCTTCCATCTTAAAACTGGGGTCACCCAATTACACAGTGGCTCCTCCTACTATTGCTATGGGTTTGAAGCCTAATTAGGCTAGACGTGCCAAATTCAGGATAGACACCAAGTTGCCCAAATGCAATGAATGAGCTGTAGGGTCGAATCCACAATAGACACTCCCTGAGACTGGGATGCTGGGGGCTGTGGCTTAATAGAGTAGTTTGCGAGCTGTTAGAGCACTCAGAACTGAACATTAATAGTATTAAGGCCTGATTCTTGATAGCATGTTAAAATATCAATTTGGTTAGAAAATTGGAGAGGGCACTTTTGCATAAGTCTATATTGGGGCTTGCAATGACGAATAAGTATGCACATTGTAACATAGCTTTAGGTGGCCATTAAGGTGCTCCAGAAGGAATCTCTTAAGACTGATCGAGACAAATTTAGGGTCAATAAGGAAATCGAATTACTAAACAAGGTCAATCACCCAAACATCGTTAAGATGAAGGAAGTAAGGAATCGTACTTAGAATGTAGATTGTAGAGGATGAAGAGTCCATATATTTGATAACCGAGTATGTTTCTGGCGGGGAGTTGTTCGATTACATTGTGGAGTAGTAGAGGTAAATACGATATTAAGGTAGACTTTCAAATGGAGAGGCAAGACATGTGATTAAGTAATTGGTAAACGCAATTGAATATTTGCATGGTTTGGGTATCATTCACAGAGACCTTAAGCCAGAAAATATTCTAATGAGAGATAATGGAGATATTTGTTTGATAGATTTTGGACTCTCAATGGAAGTCACAAGAGGATAGTTGTTAGTAACTCCATGTGGAAGTCCTTGCTATGCTGCTCCTGAAATGTTAGAAGGCAAGAATTATGATGGCACAAAAACAGACATTTGGAGTTGTGGTGTCATTCTTTATGCTATGCTATGTGGCTACTTGCCTTTTGATGAAGAGAACACTCAAGTAATATCTCATAGATTACATTTCAGGATCTGTATGACAAGATTAAACTGTGTCAATACACAATTCCCAATTCTTTGCACAAAGATGCCAAGGATCTCATCAGCAGGATCCTCACCTATGAGGATTAGAGAATCAACATTGAATAGATCAAGGTCCATCCATTCTTTTTGGATGACAATGAGGAGGAGAATATCAATGAATTGTCCATCGAACAAATTGAATAGCCTATTCAGGACTAAGAGGATCTTGAAGACCAAATTTAATAAGCCTCGTTTATACAGTCACAACATTAGGAAGAAGAGACTATCGAATACATCCAGCCTATACTGGAAGTGTAAAATAGACCGAGAGGACATACATTAAAAAGGGAATCCATAATGAATGAATTGGAAGTGAACATTAATACAATATAGCCTAAGAATAAGTTTGAGCTGCCTCTTCAAAGTAAGGAGAAGAAGAATCTTAAGACTATTGAAGAAGCATTCTAGATAATTCAAGAATCGTCAAGACAAAAAGATAGAAAAGTTACAGAGGAATAGCAACAATCACAAATTTCATTGGCTTATAAACCAGCGATGAAAATCAACACAAATAAACCATATACTAAAATTAAGTATGTACAAACTATTAGATATCGTTATTGATGTGTTTGTTATTAATATCAATTCAATTTTAGAACAAGAATTGTTACTAATACTCCTACAAGAATGATTGCACAGACAGCTAAAACAATCCATTTCTTAGTTGTCGACTTCTAAGAGTCTTAGGCTTTGTCTAGTTCAACATTGGCTCCAACTATGTTCACCAATGCAGTCCCTTGGTTTACATCAATGATATCAAGAACTTCGTCTGCCTTGTTGACTTCTAAAGCCAATTCTCCAACTAATTTATTAAGCATTTGGGCTTCACGATCCTACTTAATTTAAAGATGGATACAATTTTTTGAATCTCTTCTTCTCTCTCTCTAATCATTTAATTATCAACATCATATTAATCATGCATCAATTACTCTTACAATTCATCAGCAGGTTTTGGTTTAGGGTCATTCCACTTGGCTTACGAGTTCATGGCTATAGTCTTTCTTTTCATCTGCAATTTTTGTTCCACTTGCTTGCACACTTAGGTAAATTTGTCGATTTCCTTTTTGTAGAATTACTTTATTTGTTTCATTCTTTAATAGCTTAAATCGAGTGATACTTCTGTTAACGACCCGAAAGATGTCCTGTGTTATTATCAAGTCTTTGCATGTTGTTTTGGAGTTGTTTAAGTAGGTTTTGAATCTGATCTTGCAAATCAATGACGTCTTGGCCAATACTAGAATTATTAACATCTTTATGATCTTGATCGAATTATTCCACATTATCGTGCAATTCAGTCAATTATGATTAAACTTGCTAATATTTTGAATTATATTACTTCAACGAGCTTATTAAATGTGCTATCCTCCATTTATTAATAATAAATTAAATGAATAATTTTTAGAACTAACCTCCCACAATGTCAAGAGTTGTCCCTCCCTTTCCAAATTAATAGTAGGCCCTCCAGATTGAGAACGCCTCACTCAAGGCCCAAGTTTAAAAGCTATCAGATGAATTGAAAGAGTCCCAAATGAAGAAAACTAAACTCTAACAAGAAAAGCAAGAGCTAGAAAGCAAAAACCAAGTCTTGTAATCCTAATTAAATCAAAGAAATTAGAATTCCAACAATCCTTAGTTACATTTTATTTTATATTTTAATAGAAATTCCAATGAAGACTAATAATTAAAAGATAAATGTATAGAACTACAATTACATAACCAAGATTTGCTGTAGAAAATAACCCACTTATCTAAAGACAAAGAGGACAAGCAGTTAGTTGAGATGAAGGTAGCATTTACAATTTAAGCCTAAGTCCTATTTACAGTACTCGCAAAATGTTTAGGAAGAGACTATTTATTTGAAGTGGATCCAGAAAATAGTTAACTTATAAATCTAATACCAAAGACAAGAGAAAATTGTTGAGATTAAAGGATGTGGAGAGATTTAAAATAAAAACGTTATTTTCTAATTGTAATGTGAATTGTCCAAGATCCCTATAGGGGATTCGGAACCACGGATAATATTCAATGGGCGTGAGTTACATTTAATATACCAAATTTGAAATTTAATTAAAAAAAATTAATTTTTTAATTCTGGATGAATAGAATCATTAGATTTGGATTTGCTACTTACGAGTCATTGATACAGAAATTAAGCAGTGCTGATAGTCCCGCAACTATCTTACAAATATTCTAACAAAACAAAGATTTGTTCAAGCAAGAGCATGTGGTGCTCTCATTGAGAATGTTGGGTAGATACAGCAGATAATTGAGACATGATAATAACTACTCTGAATTAACCGGTAAGTTAAATGAGATTGTGGATCAATTGACTGAATATGGTATATAATTGAGTATTGATTATTTTAAGACATTATCGATGTGTTGTTTTGGTTGAGGAAATTCAGATAAAATAAAATACCCACCAATTTCCAATAACAGGCCTAGATCAAATTATTCGAGAGAATTCAATAGATGTCAGAGAATCAAATGTTCTCATTTAGAAATATGTGTAATGTCTATTTCGACTTATCACTCCTTAATCATTCAAATGACCAATTAGCAAAATCTATATCTGAATAACTGCTCACTACTAAATAGCTATCGCCATTCTTGATCATCCAACTCTTCAGTTCCCTTGTGGTTAAGGTAAACAGTTGCTCGATCTCAAGAAATGATATTTTAATCCTTAACAATGCAGTTAAAGTAGTTGAAGGTCTCTTGGAAGAACTAGACGTTGAGTAGGTATGATTCTCTTTGTATTTAGAAATCTTTACTCTTCAAAAGTCTTGCTGAAATACAATTTCAAAATCTAGGACCCAAATTTGCAATGCCCAATTTAGTTAAGCAAGTCAAGGAACTCTTATTATAAAAGATCGAATTATTACAGGAGGACTCTGTCCTTAATATCTTCAAGGCCTATGCAAGTCTACCAAGATACTTTGAAAATGATCTAATCAAAGAATTGAAAGATATGATAGTAACAACGATTGAATAGAACCCTAATAATTTATCATCAAAATTCTTAGTCCATCTTATTGAAAGAATTATAAACAATCACTCTTCCAGATTCCCTTAAGAAATGGTGAATAAAATCATTGGAGAATTGACAGAAAGAATTCAAAAGAAGGAAGTTGAACCTCAACTCATAAGTTAATTGTGCATCAATCTTTTGAATTCCAAGAAACATGATGATTTGACAGCAGCTATTAAAGAAAGTGGAGAAACAAATGTTAAAATTCTCAATTACTTATATGTAAGTGGAGTTAACATGAAGGAGTACGTTGACTAATTTGTTTAGAACTAAGAATCAAAGAGAATCAACACCTACAATGCTTTGCATTATTTAATCTTTGCTCAAAGAGATGCATAAGAACACGTACAAACATTCATGAACGTCTGCAAATAAGTAATTCAATAAAATCCTCATTCTCTTTTAAAAACAATACTTGAAATCAAGATCAATTCTTCAATCAAGTATTAAGTACAAGAGGAAGCATTTATGTAGATTGTCGAGGATGTCAAATCCAAAAAAACTGAAATCTTCAAGGTGCTCAAGGAATTGTTGAACTCTTGCATCAATCATAAATGCAAATAAGCCTTAATTCAGTTATGTGAATAACCAGAAGGCAAAAGCTATGGAAAATTAATCTTAAGCAAAGTTGTTGGCGATGCAGAAGAATTTGATTCTGACAAATTATCCATCATTTTATAATTGCTACAAAAAGATCCAAGTAACATTCCACTTTACAAATTTGTTGATTATTTAACTTTGAATATCCAAAACTTACAAGGATTAATAAGAAGCGATCAAATTAATTGGGTTTGTTAGGTTATATTAAGTGCCTACTAAAATTAATCATCAGCCAGATTAAATGCAATTGTCAACTTTGTCTAAAGATTTGAAAATGCAGGGTATTCAAGTAAATCTATTGCCTAATTGGTTAAAAAAATATCTGAGATATACAGAGCAGCTAATCCTAATACTCCATATCCAGATTCAACCTTTGTTTAACTTTTGATTAATTTGAATGTTCTTACACCTGAAGATGCTGTCATTTAGTTGAATAATGAAAGATCTTATCAATTTTTGAAAGTTCAGTTATGTGGTATTGCATTGACCTTAGAGAATCCTCCAGAGAATGTAATTTAATTAAGAGATAAAATTAAAGCTGAATGCTAATTAGATGCTGAGGAAATGAAAATAAAATAAATATAAGAAGTCTCATCTTTATGCAAGTTGACTCAAAATGAAACCGATAAAATCAAAAGTCAAATAAAGGCTTAAGCATCAAAAATGACATCTAGATAATACTTTGATTTGGTAATGTATTCCAAAGAAGTTACCATCATTAAGGAATTAGCATTCCAATTCCCATCAATTGGTGCCAAATTAGGTTTAATTAAAACTTTAAAAGTTGTTGAAAAGTTCTAAAAATATCACCTCTCAAATCAAATGATATATAATATACTTTTAGAGCAATATGGGTAATCCTTCAATAGCATTTTCAATGAATTGAGAATCCAAGTCCTCTCTTTATTGTCAATTGGCAAACTTAAACAAGTCGATGTATTCTTGAAAACTCTTGAAAAGATTAATAAATCCCCCCAATCATACAAAACCTTCTTTAATGATATTTTAGAATGTATCATCTAATTGGGCATGACTGAAAATGAAATCGTAACACAAGTGAAAATTTTGAGTGAAAAACTCAACCTAGGTACTTCTTAAAATTTGAAGTTGATTCACTATTATGTTATGGCTGAATAGCCTCTCGAGGAAATTGAGAAAATAGCATAGGGCTTGGAAGCCTTCAAAACTAGGGAAACAAATAGAATTAATTAAATCTATGAAATTCTGAGAAGAGTATACCCAGATTCGAAAGTAACTTAAGTTCATGATGCCTTAATCAAGGATGATAAAACAACAATTTCTTTCAAAAAAAGCCAATACTCTATTGATTATATTCAACTTCTCTTGCAGGCAGTAGGAGTATAAGTTGAGGTTAACCATTAAATAGAAAACATTCTAATTGAAATTTATCTACCTTAAACGTACTATATTTATTCTATTTCTAATTAGTCAATAATCAGTCTTAACCCTTACAGGATACAACTTAAATTATGACAGAAGTTCATTGACAGGCTTGGGTGTGTTGCAAAAGAAGATATTATCACTTGTTACAAAGCAAGTTTGTGTTGTCAATTTTAAAGAATTAATTGATATTACAAATTACGAAGACAAAGTTAAATATTTATAAAACCAAGGTATTTAATGTATTAAACTTTAGGAATTCAAATCACTGTAGATCCAGCAAAAGCTGATTTCAATGCTCTAAAGCAATTTGAAAAGAAGGAGAGCCAAAAAAAATAAAATAATAATAGAAAATCGCAAAATCAACAACATGAATTAGATGAATCTTTGGAACAATTAGAAGTCCCTTGATGAGTTCTTTAATATTTCTGTTAAATATTAATAAAATAAAATCGAATAAAGAAATTCTATGAAAGTCTCCTAAGTCAAGTTTGGATGTAAATTTTGAATGGCAATCAATTTCGGAATAATTATATTTCTTTGTAACAATTCGACCTCTTTTCTATAATGTACAATATTTTGATTCGCAATGATACATTCTAAGTGCATATCATGAGTATTTCTTAGCAGGTTCGTTTACAATTATATTTTGGCTATTCACTTGTCTTATCAATTTAATAATATTAATTAATTCACAGAAATGAATTAAAGTTTGACTGTAATGGAAAAGGTTGAACAAGATAAGATGGAGAATCCGCAAGCGTGGATTAAAGACAACATAGTGAATTCACTTTCTGGGAAATAGTGGAGATAGAATTACTTGCAAAGGTTGGGAATAAAGCAAGTTTAAGAGAAGGAGAATTCAACTAAGGAATTTCAATTAAACTATGTAATAAGAACGAATGAGGATGTTCGTAACAACTACATCCAGAAACTTATGAATAATAAATTGATGTAATAATAAAAGAAGCATCAAACTTGTAATACTTTAATATCAATTAGTGACCATATTTGATTGGGATGACACTTTGTTGTGCACCACCTTTTTAGGAGGATATGGCTTTGTTGATTTACCCATTGATGTATTGGAATAGTTGACTGCATTGAATGAAAGCGCTGTAATTTAAATAAACATATAAAGAGTAGATTGTTAGAAAAAGCTTCTTAAGTAGGGGATGTATTTATAATTACAAATGCTGCTTAGGGTTGGGTTGAATACAGTAGCAAATTGTAGATATTTTAATTTAAGTAGGTATATGAATAAGGTGTTTTAAGTCATCTTTGACAAAAAAATTGTTGTTATCTCTGCAAGACATGGATATGAAGAAATGTTTCCAGGGGATTGTGGGAAATGGAAGATCGAGGCCTTTAAAGATATTAGATCTAAGTATGAAAATGATGTGTTCACCAATCTAATCTGTTTGGGGGATTCAAACATTGAAATTGATGCAGCCCACGTGTTAGCCAAGTTTAAATCTAAAATATCTTAGGGAATTCACTGTTGCATTAATAAAGACCATCAAATTCAGGGAGTGTCCAAAACCTGAGGAGTTGGTCAGGTAGTTAGATTTAGTATCAGATAAATTCGAGTAAATTTATACTACTTTCAAGAGTTTAACCATACGGTTAGAGAAGTAAATATGTATTTAAATTGTAGGAAATCTTCTGGTAGTTGATGGATTTTATTTTATTAAATATAAATATCTGACATTTAACCTTTATCATCTTATCTTTTCTAAGATTTTGTATCCAATAGAAATTAAATTGTGTTTATTAAATATCCATATATTAATATATATATAGACATTCAAATTTGTTACTTAATGGGGACATTGTTATTTAATCAACATTCATAAGAACTTGAATGTTGTACAGGATCTGTATCTTAAATAACCTTAGTCAATGGTTCAATGAACTCTGGTGATAATTATGAAACAGTAGGGTGCTTAAACACCTCAGTCAACAATTATCTTAGAGTCTCATTTTCATTTTCAATCACTTTAACCTTATTATAGAATTGAATAGATACTTTCTTCTGTAATTCTTCATAGGCATCCTGGAGTGGTCCTATCTTTTCAAGAGCTTCTCTTTTCTTTCTTTAGGATTCTTTGGCCGAATTCCTATTTCTTCTGATGCATTGACACTTTTTGCAATTGCATTCTTCTTCTCCATTATAAACACATTTATTTTTCAATTTCTCAATCATCTTAAGATAATAATTGGAACTATTCTTGACCTAAGTGTTCTCATTATATCTATCTTATTGGATCATATCAATCATGTGACTCTCGATTTGTAATAACATAGGTAGAATGTATAGAATTGAACAATTCATCTATTTGTGAATTTTTTAAGTTCTTATATTGAATTCGTTCAAATCAATTTCATCATTATTTTCCTCAAAATACACACTAGTGGCCTTTCTAAGAAAGTCTTGTGTAGTAGCTTTGAAACTTCCCATGATTAAAAGATACTAATGATTAATGGATTTAAATACTTCTTGGAAAATTGAATCGTTGTGCATCTAGGCAGTTTGTTTGACAGTGTTTTCAACGACATCAAAAATCAAATTGGACTTTTTGAAGAAATTGTTCATATTGACAGTGTATTGATTGAATTGTACTAAGAATTGATCTTTGTTCAATTTCTATTGTTATTAGCTAAGCATCTTGAAAATGAATGTGCCCCAAACATCTTCGGGTACCTTCTTGATCATAGAATTAAGTTGATTGAAACTCAATTATTGACTCACTTATTGGTTGGATGATATCGAATACTAATAAAGAGTGTTAAAGAAAATGTCACAAAAGTCATCTCTAAATATTAGGAATTTGGAAAGGTAAGGGGTACCTAATATTCATATATAAATCTAGATTACCTTTGTCATATTATACAAGTTAAGATCTCAATAATAGAGAGAGGGTTTAAAACAAAGAACTACTCATTGTAATTTTGGTTGGCTAGGCAATGAATTAAGTCTTAAGCAAGACTATTTGTTCTGTTTCCCCCTATATTTGATCCAATCCATGAATGATCAAATTACCCAATACATTCAAAAAGTAGGGCAGGTGATATTCAATACAGTTTTTAATTGTTACAACTTACTTTCTCAACACTTATTATTAAAAGTATTAGGTAACTCTATTTTGAATGTCAATTAGAGACCAAGCTTTTCTAAAAAATAAATATTTATTATTACTTTTCAATAAGGTTGTTAGGCGAGTAGGACATTAGCGATAGCAGTTGCTGCTATTTAAGAATCTAATGTATTTATTATAATAATGTACCTCGTTACTTTACTTCTAGACTTGTTCTTCTTACTTCACCTTTTCTTGCTCTTAGTGCTTGATGATTGCCTACAGGTAAAGCTATTGTAAAGGATTCATAGCTATTTAAATTTATTTTTGAATCTTGATTTGAGCAATTGCTTTAATTTACAAATCATACGTAATATTTCTCATATATAGTTATTTACATTCAAACAAAAAATTGGAGTTAATTAATGAAAAATACACCGTCATCTTTGCATTACCTAATTTAGCAAACATCAAAATAAATATGAACTATTTACTTAATGACTTAATATTTCCTGATGTTGTACAAATTATATTAAATTTGAAAAATAAGAAATATCTTTATCAAATATCATAATCATAATCAAATTATTTCGTTGTTTAATTGCAACACGAATAAGTTCCATCACGTATAAAATGACCGCGAAAATATTTCTTCTGCTTTACCTTCTTTTTCGTTTCTATGAACTCCATCGGAACCTTCTGACTCTTTATTTTGTTCTCTTCCTTCAATTCAACTAGATTCATCACAAACGTCTCCTATTCATTCGATGGCTCTTTCGCTTTTGAAGGCTTTAACAACACACTAAATTGATTCTAATCTAAATCATTTGACTCATTAAATAATTTAAATTTAACAGTATAGTCATGTTCCTGAAATAGCAATTTGTATAAAGAGGATTCCTGATTCTTCTTTATTGTCCTAGCCAACATAGGATGCTAAGTAAGTTATTCATCTTTACAAATCTTAGTAACATTTATTTTCCTAAGTTCCTCAAAATAATGTGCATAACAATGAATCTTCTTGTACATTCTTCGCGTTATCATTTGACTAAATAAACCATATACCTCTGTCCGGCTTTTTACATCAAAATTCAAAGCATACAAGTACAGTAATTACTAAAATACACTGGCACATTTATAAAAATCCATTATTATAAAATCATCTTAGTAGTCCTTTAAATCACAATCTAAAATCTTAAGCATATAGAACGCTGATCTAGGTGGTATGTATTAGCATTTTGAATAGAATTCAGTCTACGCCCAAGACTTGTTTCTAGATGGCAAAAATACATCTCTCATATATTTCAACCCTTATCTTAACCATCCTTTAATATATGATGTATATCTCGAAATATAGATATGTATCCCTGTTCTTTATTCAAATTACTTACTACCTGCTCTGGAATTACCTCTACTTTATATTGCAGATTCAAATAACTCCACCAATTATTCTCTTGTAAATTGTTCATCGTATTAAGTAAACGAAATGTAGAGTCTCTTTAATTCATAAGCTTTTCTCACTCTTACTCCCACTTAACTTTCATAGATTCTAGCCACTTAACTCCAACTGGTACAATTGATACCTCCATGTAAGTTCACAATTTCTATTAGTTGTTTATCTGATGGCTTTAATTTTCCTTATATTTTTAAACCTACCTGTGGTCTCATACTTATTAATAATATACATTTTATGGTGGATTTCTCCAAGCTTTAATTATTTATCCTTTGAAAATTTATCAAATTGGATGGTAATTTTTATAAATTTTCAGATTGTTTGATTATATAATACAAAAAATGGTCTTTTTTTAATAAACTACAAAATAGTATATTATGTATTGAAAATCAAAGTATTTCTTAGAACTCTTTGAAAATTTAAAAAATCTAAATGAAATACAAATTCCTTATCATTAAAACTGTTTATACCTCATAAATCCTTTTATATTATATATATATTATTAGTTCAATTTATAAAGTAAAATTTAGTAATTGCTTAACTTGAATCAATATATAAATAGATTAATTGACAACATTTTAGGTATGAAAAAAAGAAAAATAACACAATAAAAAAAGCACTAGTTTTCAAACTATTTATTGAACAATATAAATTAAAATTTATCAAACTTAACTATTGATTTTAATTATATATATGTATAACGATCATTTTCAATAATTTTATCAGCTTCATTGATTTACCATATTCCTTATAGTATTAGATATCTTCCTTTATATAATTGGAATATTATTAACTGTTTTCATGATAAATCCGTTTTGATAGAATTTAATTAGAGCAATTCAATAGAATTCCATATCCAACTTATTAACAATTAATTAATGCTCTATTTGATAATTAATATATATATTTCATTAAATTCGAAAAGACTTAAGAATATTTGAATAATAATAATATTTTGTACCTTTTAATTTAAAAATCAATTTTTGATAATTTAAGGAAGCATAATTAATAATCTTCTGTGCTTATTTCGAATTATTAATAAATTAAAAGATATGAATAAATAATAAACATATATTATATTTCATTTATCATTCTTTGAAGGAATAAGAATAAATAATTCTACCTTTTTATAATCTTTGATAATATTCTTCTATTTGAATATTTTTATTGTTGATTTTAATTTTACTATTATTTCTCTTAATTGGATGTTTTCTTGAAGTTTCAGATGTTTTAGATTTAGCAATTTCACTCTAATAAAGAATAGAATGAAAAAGAATGTAATTTTATTGAGATTCTATTGGGATATATAGTGATTTTTTTTCAATTTAAAGAATCTCTTAGATTTGTTGGTCGTTTTTTAAACCAAAATATTTTTTTTTGACTACACAATTTTATGTAATTCCTTTGATTTGTCCTTCTTATTCTGGAATATCTTACTCAACTGAACTTTATTCTTATTTGATTGAATTACATGATGATCCCATAAATAAAAAAATTATTTAATTTTTCAATTTGTGATGTTATATTTTATAATATACATCTTAATATTGTTTGCTATATATGATATCGTCAATATTATTTCAATAATTTAAGCATAGAATTATGATAAAAAATTTGAATAGTGANTTATATAATACAAAAAATGGTCTTTTTTTAATAAACTACAAAATAGTATATTATGTATTGAAAATCAAAGTATTTCTTAGAACTCTTTGAAAATTTAAAAAATCTAAATGAAATACAAATTCCTTATCATTAAAACTGTTTATACCTCATAAATCCTTTTATATTATATATATATTATTAGTTCAATTTATAAAGTAAAATTTAGTAATTGCTTAACTTGAATCAATATATAAATAGATTAATTGACAACATTTTAGGTATGAAAAAAAGAAAAATAACACAATAAAAAAAGCACTAGTTTTCAAACTATTTATTGAACAATATAAATTAAAATTTATCAAACTTAACTATTGATTTTAATTATATATATGTATAACGATCATTTTCAATAATTTTATCAGCTTCATTGATTTACCATATTCCTTATAGTATTAGATATCTTCCTTTATATAATTGGAATATTATTAACTGTTTTCATGATAAATCCGTTTTGATAGAATTTAATTAGAGCAATTCAATAGAATTCCATATCCAACTTATTAACAATTAATTAATGCTCTATTTGATAATTAATATATATATTTCATTAAATTCGAAAAGACTTAAGAATATTTGAATAATAATAATATTTTGTACCTTTTAATTTAAAAATCAATTTTTGATAATTTAAGGAAGCATAATTAATAATCTTCTGTGCTTATTTCGAATTATTAATAAATTAAAAGATATGAATAAATAATAAACATATATTATATTTCATTTATCATTCTTTGAAGGAATAAGAATAAATAATTCTACCTTTTTATAATCTTTGATAATATTCTTCTATTTGAATATTTTTATTGTTGATTTTAATTTTACTATTATTTCTCTTAATTGGATGTTTTCTTGAAGTTTCAGATGTTTTAGATTTAGCAATTTCACTCTAATAAAGAATAGAATGAAAAAGAATGTAATTTTATTGAGATTCTATTGGGATATATAGTGATTTTTTTTCAATTTAAAGAATCTCTTAGATTTGTTGGTCGTTTTTTAAACCAAAATATTTTTTTTTGACTACACAATTTTATGTAATTCCTTTGATTTGTCCTTCTTATTCTGGAATATCTTACTCAACTGAACTTTATTCTTATTTGATTGAATTACATGATGATCCCATAAATAAAAAAATTATTTAATTTTTCAATTTGTGATGTTATATTTTATAATATACATCTTAATATTGTTTGCTATATATGATATCGTCAATATTATTTCAATAATTTAAGCATAGAATTATGATAAAAAATTTGAATAGTGAATCTTTTCAAATTGAATCCAAATTTCCGACATCGAATTAATTATAATTTTCTTATAAAATCATTTTCATTTTGCAATGTACAAATATCTAAATAACATCAACAAGTATCATTTACAATTGGCTGTTTTAAGTTGTATCTGTGTGAATTGCTTTATATAGGTCGTTTGCTCTACATTCATTTACAATTCTTCAATTATTTTCTTATATTTAGTCATCTCATGTATTTCGTATTAATATTTTCTATTAATTTAATTTTATATTCATTTCTTACCAGAAGAAATTTAAGAAATAAATTTATATTACAGGCGCTGCTTAATTATACCTTAAACATTCACTTTAATAAAGATAATATGATTTTTTAATTTATTCTATAAAAATATATATCATTATTGCTATTTTTGACTATCTTGATTAGGGGCTTCATCGGGGGAAGTGCCTTCTGAATGACTTTTAGAGTTACAATTATTTTATAATCTCATTATCCTCCTGTCTTATGAATATTATTCCTTAATATCATTAATATAGATTGTTAGAAGATCATTTAACCTCTTTTAACCAATTTCATAAATATATTTTCTATTTTCTATCTTTTAGACATTAGCATAATTCTTGAGAATTTCACTTACCACACAAGCAATTTCTTTTTAAGGAATTTCTATTTAAGGAGTTTCTTTTTAAGGCTATTTTTCCTGAGATATCAAATATTGATTATTACTATTGCTTAATATTTATTTATCATGTTCATCTATATCAAATTTATTTACCTCTTAAAAATCTTCAAAATCATGAAAGGTCCTGGAAATAGATTGATAAGTTATTTCAACAATTAGGTTACTACCTTTTTTTTAAATAATAGCATTATTGAAGAAAGTTCGAATGCTTGATTGATCATTTTATTTTACTAAAATTTTAGTGTTATTTTCTAAGTCTTCCAATTATGTTTTGTATTACTGATTATTATTTGGGTTTTTTATGATTTCAAACCATAATTACATAAAATCTCTTTGGAGATTATTAAAATAACAATTGGATAAAAATGGGTTTGCTTTTTTTTCTCCATTTATTATATCAGAAAATCTAAAAAATGCTGCTTCACCTATTTTATCTGATGAGGAGTAATTGGAACAAGCCTATCCCAAATCATTAAAAAATGACTTTATTAGTGCAGAGTAAAGAAATTGAGCAAATCCAATTATTCTATTTGAATTCAATCCGTAGGCAGTTTATGTTCCAGAATATTATGTGAGCAATTTTTGAATTTTTTCTTTCATATCATTTTCACCTAATTTTACACCTAGCAAATCCTTGAATATATCTTATAAGTAATCTTCAATTGAGATTGTATTTTAGGATGAATTATTTTCTGAATTCAAACCCTTTTGATCATGTTAATCTACTTACGGATTAATTTCATCTTCATCTTCATTTGTGGATATTTCCAACATTTAGCTAAAACTTAGACTTAGATCCACTTTACATGCTACCTATTTAATCTCATTGCCTATGTTATTAACAGGAATCGATAATTTAGAATCGTTTACAAGAATTAATTTCAAAATTGCGCATAATATCTGAAAAATTTGTTCGAGTTTTACTAGATAACTGTCTGGAAATAGCACCATCATAGCTTCAATGAAAGCATTCGTACTGCCTTCATCTTCCCAGCGGCCTGCATAAACTAGCTCTTAACTATTCCAACACTTTATTACATCCTAATTCTATTATTCAAGTTTTCTAATGAGTTTTGTTATTAACTTATTCTTATGATTTTCACTTTTAAAGAGATTTATCATGGAGTAAAAGATTTTGAATGTTTTAAATTGAGAAGGCGATTTTTATTTACAATTTGGGATGACAAAGATCCCCTCTAATCCAAACGATTAAATGCTAATTTTATTTAGATCAAATAGCTAAATGTAATAACCTAAACAGAAGTCATCAATTTTTTTGTCGATGCTGTTAAACTTTCTTATAGTTACAAAAGGCATTATCAGATGGGGTATGTTTTTAAAGACAGTTTCTAATGGCCTTTAATATATACACATTTAATACATTTTCAATTCTCCAAAAACCTACTTTGATTATGAATTATTGGGAGCAAATCCTTACTCCTCTTTCATAGGCCCATTTAAATTCATTTATTATTTATTTTTGAAAGCATCAAACGAATATTTCATCATCCAGTAATTCTATTAATATTTTGAGTTAATAGAATAATAAACAAAAAATACGTCAATTATATCAAAATACTTGTGTTTTTAGAATTTTGGATAGATTGTAATGACTGATATCTATTTATGATTCCACCATCGAACTATGTATATAATAAGAGAAGGGATTTTATTTAAAATAATTTTATAGTTTTCACGACAATTCTAAATTTTATAAAATATATTTAATCAAAATTAATATTACTAATCATTACTATTCAGACTATTAGTTGATTAGCAAGTATGTCTCTTCAATTTTTTTGATGTAGTGGTTATGTTTGTTTTAGATTTCTTGTAATTTGCGATTGTATTTGGTTATGTTGTCCAGTGAATCTACTAAATAATAATCTAATTATGATTTTTAAGTTCATATAGTCTACCTATCAGTGTTTAATTGGACCTAGGGTTTAGATAGTTAAAAAAAGTTATCAGTTTGTTCTTAGTCCTTAGGGTTGATTTAAGGTAATTTTAAGTTATATATGTCTTTATTTGGGGATTATGGAATGCGTTTAATGGCTTAATTATCAAGCACTATTTTTCAGTTTCTAATTTGATGGAAGATAAAAATATGAGATGTTCTGAAGATTTGGATATTTATGGTAATTAAATAAAATCTCCGGGTGGAGATCTTGCTTTTGGAGTGGCCAATATTTCATAATTTTTATAATTAATAATAAAACATTTTAATTAGTCATATCATTGAGAGTTTTATGTTTGAGTTTGATAAAATTAATTTTAATTTGATTAATAATATGATATTCAAGAACAAAGTGTACCTGACCATGTTTTTCCTTACAGTCTACATTAGATTTTATTTTTGTCTGCAGTAGCTCCTAATCCTGTAGTGATATAATAATTAATTCCTGTGTTAGCAGGTGTTACAGTGATAGTACTTGAGGTACAGTATTTAGCAGCCATATTGCAAGTAAAGGTGACTCCAGTTTCTTAAGCGATTCCTGATTCAAGGGCATTATTAAAAGGAAATTTAAATAATTTAAGATTGGCAGCAACAACAGTTAATAATGGGTCTGTCCAAGTCCATGTGATTATTAATGGTTTGAAACCAGTATCAAAAGTATTTTCACCGGTATTATAAACTGGGGGATTTCCAATCATTGGTCTTAAACAGATGACATCTGAATATGCATTTCTAATTCCAAACATTTCAGGAGGAAATGAATACACCATTACATATCCATTTTGAGAATAAGCATATCCTGACCAATCGATTTTGGTTGTGTGTTGTTGTCCATTGATTGTGATTGAGTTTCTTGAATAAGGAATGGTGGCAAAGTTGATGAAATAGTAATTTGTTTGATAATAATTGGGTTGAAAGTTGACCATTCTAAATAAAGCAATGAGGGTAACTGACCATATTTTTTGGATTAAGTTATCTCTCATAGTATTTTATGAAGTGGTTTGTAAAACAATGAAATCCTAAGATTGATTTATTCATATACTCTCAGCATTTGCAATGATTAGTAGACAGTTCGTTCTAAATAGAAAGGATGAGAATCTGGCTAAGTTTGTAATGCAGTTGCCAAAGTTTTATACTAAGTTAAGATGGCTCCTAAATATGATTCAAAATTGGCAACAGTGGGCAAACTAGTAAATGATGGCATGATTTTCCAAGGGTTTACTGTGTACAATTAAAAAATGGTTGCTGAATTTTATGTAGTCAGAGATGTTAATGTTGTTGTACCATCACTTGCTTTATCATAATAGCCATCGGTGGTTTTGGAAAATCTTACAAAAGCATAATTCAGTTTGCCTTCAGATTTGTCACAACAAACATTATCATATTATAAACTGAATGTTTCCAAAGAGTCACATAGAGTGGATGCACCTCCAGTAGGCAATCCTGAGCCTGTTCTACAGGCAGCAACTTCATCAATCATATAACATGGAAGGGTTTAACAAGTGCTAGAATGAGAATTATTTTTATAAATTACGTTTCCCAATAACAATATCCAATTCCAGAAATTACACTTAAAGTGCAATCAGTGCTTGATAATCCTGTGCAAGGAGTTTCTGCAACATATGTATAAGCAGTGGATGATGTAATCAAATTTACGATTAATAAAATAGGAATTATCATAATAATATTATAGAAATATAAAATAATATTTTTCTGATATTAATATTTATGTTCTTCATCAACATTTTGCTAGTCTATAATATGGTGAATTTGTAGATGTAATTGTTGGACAGTCCTTAATAGTATCATGATGAAATATCATCAATTTATCTATAGATGCAGCTGGAACAGGAAAAGTTGGGCATGTAGTGACTGAAGTAACAACATATGCACAAGTGACAGGAACTGCTGTATTTGCAGCTGGTGCAAAAGCTGTTGCAAATAATTTGTCAAATGTTTATGTATAGACAGCTGTGTAAGTAGCAGTATTGACCCAAGTGTATTTAATACTTACGGGAACATCTGTAGTTGTTTGGTCTGTACCGTCATCTTTAACTATTTTGATCCATATTAAATCAGACAACTATTTTACACTGATTATTCCAAATTATTCTGGTGCCAATGTCATCACATATATGTACCCATTGTTAGCATATGTTCCCCATGTGAGTTCAATTTCGTAGGTCTTTGTAGTTATTACAAGTTTTTATCTATTTAAATCTGAAAATCCAAAATTTATGAAATCATAGTTCTAAACATAATATGCTTTATAGCTCCAATATCTCTAGAAGAGAATGTTCACTAAATCCCAAGCCTTAGATAACTAAGCAGATCTTGTAGCCAGTGTGTACGTGATATCATCCTATATTTAATAACAAATATTACTCTGATATTCTAAAAGGTCTCAATCACAGCCTTTTCCAGGAACTTTGGTTATACTGCATCTGTAATCAGTTAGTTGAATCCGTGATTGAAGGCATCTAATATAGCAGACAACTAAGTCGGTGATGCTAAAAGAATGTCTAATGTAAATAATTAATAAGTGTATTTTTATGGTGTGGTTGTTGTTGTCAAAACTGAAACAGGAGTCTCTGATAAAGTGATATCTGGTGATCTCGTTATGTTTGCTTACCTTCTAAATCGTAAAAGTCCATTTGGAACACTGGTTTCTGCTGTCTTCACACAAATATTTTCATATTTATAGTCTATGTTGAAAGCTATACAACCAGATATTGTATTGGCTGCTGGGGTTAATAAACATGCTTAGACTTCGCTAACTCTATAACAATCTGTAATGGTTTGGCAAGTGACTGGACTATAATTACTGACTTCGCAATTTCCTGCCATCTTGCAAAGAGTTGCATTTGTAATTGTATTGCAAGTCTATAGAGTGAAGGCAGCCTTTATTATTTCTACTAAAGACAAACTTAATATAATGAATTGCATCATCTAATTAATTATATAAATTATATTTAATAATAAATTTCTTTTCTAGCTCATGAACAACTATCCATAGAATCATTCCAAATACACCCACCAAGTCTACATGCTGACTAAGATCTTCCAGCACAATTATTTATGGTTACATCACCGAATATATAAGCGTTTTTTCCACATCCACTTAATGATATTTTACACTCAACTAATGGTACACAAACTGCGCCAGTGCTTGATAAACCCATATTCCTTAAGTCTACTCGTTAGAGATGCTTTCCTGAAAATTATTATTGGTTTCTATGATAAAATGCTAAAGTTCTTGGATTTTTTATTGTATAACCATTTAGATCTGATGCCCTAATCACTATCATATCAGAATGTATTGAATAAAATCCAAATTATTCTGCAGGCATAACCAATACCTCAAGATATCCAGGCTATGTGTAATTCCAAGTGATCTCAAATACTGAAAATTGAGTTTCCAATACTATCTTCTCCTAATTCAGATTAGCAAATCCAAAATTTATCAAATATTTATAGGAAATGTAATAATTGACTTTTTATTTTCTTAGTTTTTAAAAGAAGGCATCAGTCATTCCCCATAAAGCAGAATAAAATTGTGTCTTATTAAATGTACTTGAAGTGTATGAGATAGTTGTATCATCCCTTATTTATTGCATGCTCTCATATATGGCCTTCTCCAAGAATTGTATAGGTATGTCGTCATCATTGCATAATTCATATGTTTGTTATAGATATCCATACATGATGTTTAAGAGATCACTATTTTGGGCTTTCAAAATATTTAATGTTAAGATTTCTGATTTAACCTATATTGGATATCTGCTTGTGGATATTTTGGATATTTAAAAACCACTTGCTGTGGCGTATTTAGAATTTTGAGTATTGTCTTATGGGTAGACCAAGTATCCCCACATCAAAGTATCCTATTGATACTCAATGCATATATTCTTGAATTTGGGATCCAGATTTGGACTTATTTTACAGCGTTACTACTAATATAAGTACCCTGATAGTTTTCCTAAACATGCTCTTGGTTCTGTCACTTTATGACATTCAATTGGTTCACACCTATTAGACATCCAATCACAATAGCCTGAAGCCAAACAATTATTTTGAAAATAGGTACTACAAGATACTTAAAACCCATCAACCCCAATTCTGAAGATGGCAATTAGTGCTAAGATTATTTTCATTTAATTTAGAAATCATTAATATAAAATTAATATGAATACATTCTTTAATTAACCATAAAATCTTAATCCTCAATATTGCGTATTTGATAACAATTGCATTGCTATATAAATTGTTGTATTTGTGTAAATTTACATTATTATAATTATTCTTATGATCTATTCAATTGCAAGAAACTCATTCTCAGCAATCTATTCGACAATTAAAGATGTAGTAGACTATTCAAGCACTACAATTTATGATATGTTTATTTCTCATCCCATAACCTCATTGACATACGAGAAACTATGCGAAAGACTAACAGGATAATAATAAAGAATCCTGGACGTAGGAGTAGGCACTGGAGTTCCTTTGAATCAAGCTCTCAATAGATTCCCAATAAATTGTGAGATCACTGCCATCGACATCAATCATAATTATTTAAGAAAGGCAAGCCAATTATTTAAAGACAAACCTTAAGTAAAATTATACGAGCTAGATTTCTACCAAATGAACTCAGAAACATATGGAACATTTGATGCTATTGTATTCTCTTCCTCATTTCTATTACTTAATTAACCAAAAGAGGCTCTTTAATTAGCCATATCACTACTTAAACCAGGTGGTAATATATATTTTATGGTTACATTATCTGACTCCCATTTTGGTGATACACTAAAGTATATTACAAGTATAGATTTGCATTTGCAATCTGAATAAGAATTTGAAAAGATGATATAATAATCTCAGCTCAAAATCAATTACAAGTAACGATTACAAAAGGTAACAAACATAGCCACTCTGCTTTTTAAAGTTTTTATTTATGAAACTAAAATATGATTTATTTTTTAATTATTTACTATTATATATAATAATAAATTATTACTAATATAATTTCTATTTTAATAAAGTTATGATAATTAGGCTTCATATTATAAACTGATATAATTAAATTATCATATTTGGGATGATTGCTCTAAATTTTATAAAATTATAAACTGCCATGCTTTTCTTGTGTTAATTACAGAAGATTTAAGCATATCAGGAAACACACGAATGTCAAAATATTATCTTAAAACAAAATGAAAAGCTTTGTGAATTAAGAGAAATAAGTACTTTTTTTATTGGTTAAAAAAGCGATAACTTAACCAATATTAATACATTATAATAACATGAAGACTTAATCTAAGTCTCAAGTGGACCAATTATATACTCAAAAGATGATAAAATTATATCTATATATTATAGGGAACTTATTGATGCTAATGAAATTTGTTCATTAATTTATAATCCAAAAATAAATGAGTATTCAATAAAACTTATTTCAACAGAAACAACTTATATTATCGATAGTAAGATGACATTAAAAATTAAAAGTCAGATTAATATTCTCATACAAACAGAATCAAATTTTAATTGCACCTACTTTTATTATAACACTAAAGGATTTATTGTATTTTGCCATTCAATTGATTCGCTTATATTTTACTAACTATAAAAAGAAGAGTAAGAATACAAATAAAGTATTATACACAAATCAGAAATACTTAATTTGTCCTGTAGTGTAAAATTTCAATAATTATCTAATCAATTTCTTATTATATACTGTTAATGTTAAGAATGGATAATTTACATCTATGATGACAACTCTATCAAGCTTTATTTAGATCAAAATATATTGCGTGAAAAATATAATGTAGAAGGCATTCTTCTTGATGTTATAACATGTTAAAGTAATATTGTCCTTCTACTTTCCACAGGCGGATATTCAATTTTTCAAGGATTTTTTACATGTCTATTTTATAAAGAAAATCTAAATTTGAATGAAATTCTAATTTATTATAATATGAGTTGTTAAATAAGATTCGCATTAAAAAGTTCCTCCTAAAACGAATCTAGATCAACATTTCCTTTTCATTTTAATGATTTAATTCTCAATACAACATCAATTCCAAAATCAGCGTTTTTATTTAACAATCCAATAAGTATCCTTCTTTGGTATCATGATTAACTACTTTTTTAGGTAAATTCACTTGTAAATCAAGCTATTAAAATCAAAATTTAACGTCTAATATAGCTTTCAAATAATAAACTTTATATAGGCATGGATGAAGAAAATTAAATAACTTTATTTTAGATTACATATTCAAAACCATGCATGCCATATTATGGAGGAAATTAAAATATCACTAAATATTACCTTCAATTTCTTTATACAGCAAATCCAAATGTGATGATAAAGGAGTTTTTTCATTGTTATAAACCAATCATCATCGAAAATGAAGAATAGAAAAAGGAATATGCAGTTCTTTTTACTACAGTAAATAATAAATTTTATATTGAAAGATAGAGTTATGAGGAATCCTTCATAGTTCAAATTTCGACATCTTCTATTTAATCAATCTATCCTTATAAAATGAACTTTCGATCTTAATTAACAGAAACTAATATTTAGTTAAAAAATAATTAAATATAATGTAGATTCAATCAATATTTAAAGAATTATAAAGGGAGATTTATTATTAAAACTAAAAATTAGGAATTTTATTCTATAATCGTTTAAGGATTGAAAAATTAAATTAAAGAATATAGTTGTTTTAGCTCATAAGATTTTATTTATCATAATATGCATGGCTTAGATGAATAAATATTACATAGATTCTAAAATTTGAATGTTTTGATATTCTTAGATAAACAGAGATAGTGTCTATATAGAATTCATCTAGATGAAGATTTAAAAAATGATATAATTAATAAAATAGTGTGTTTGGATTCAAAAGTTGAAAAGATGTTTGGGGTTAGTTCTTAAATTGTCCTAAAATTGAAGGATTAAGAAGTATTCTACAATTTGTTTTCAAATATAGGTTTAATACAAGTTGAAAAAAACTTAGTTCTAAGCTAATTAAAAAATAAAAACGTTTAAGATATTTTTTAAATAAATGCAGACTTTTATGGAGTGCTGTATGAAAATTAGCTACATCTCGTATATAAATAAGTAACTGTATAAAGTATAATTTATTTATATATTAGTTATAAATATTACTGCTATTATTCTTGGCTTCCTTGTTAATTCTCAAACTAATTTACTATCAAGCTTAGTGTTAATAGATCTAAAGAAGAATGAACTGCAATTTTATGTGGTTTAATTAAATGAATTTATACAAATTAGAAATTATAATTTAGAGAATTATGTTCCTGTTCAACCTCCTTCATTTAAAATATTTGAATCTAAGATAATAATTTCATGTTATCATAAAATTAATAAAAGATTATATCTTTTGATTTTCAACAGTGCCTTTCAGTCTAGTCTACATTTCTTATAGAAAGTTATTGAAATAAGCAATTAAAATTTTTGGGTATACAAATTTTATGTTTATTATTATGATGATAAAAATTAATTAGCTGTTTACGATACGTTACACATCATTTTGGAAATTCAGAATTTAGGATTAAATAACTAAATTAGCTAAAAATTAACTTTTTAAGTTGAATTAGATTCAGAAAACATAGAAACTGCTCAATTTAAAAAGGATATCACTATATCATTGATTAATCCAAGGTTTCTTAAATTAAGGACAGTAAATTATACTTTATCTATTAAAAATGATAATTAAGTAGTTAATTTTAGAAACTTTATTCTTGGATAAATTGACGATATTATTTTACCCTCTACTAAAAATTTTATATTAAGATATCCTTTAGAAAAAGAAGTGCTTTATTCTTGTTCATATTATTGTAGTAAGTTATGCTTTTAAGGTAATAATTCTGATGATCTAACATTTTTTTAAATTGATAAATTCTAGTAGAATTAATTAGTTTATAATTTACAGAAGTATCTTTATAATCCTTTATTTGTGGAGGCTATGAAAGAAGATTTATTTTTGTTTATAAATTAAATATCTAATTTAAATATTATGATATAAGTGGTGTTACTGAAAGACAATCTCTTTAGAATTAAAAAGTAATTAGATGTAATAATTTTCGCATCGATATCAAATATATAATTAAAGTAGAATATTTTAATAATTGAAACTTCTTAATATGAGACCAGATTCTTAATTAATGATCATGGCATAACTTAGGTAGAGTCACAGGGCTAAATTTATCATATAAATTAGAACATGTATATAGAAATAATGGCAAATGTCTATGGAAAAGTTATTATAATTAACTTGCTCGAGATATCTAATTCAGAGCCCAGAATTTAAGGAACTTTTGAAATATTAGTCTTGAATACTTCAATGAAGAACCTATTCTTAGAATAAGGATTTCCCATATTATTAGAATCCATTAAATTAATAAAAAAAGACTATAATTAAAACGAGGATTAACTTAATTTAATGTTATTTATAATCAGTAGATAAACATATGATGTGTAATTCTAAGTTCGTCTTTATCTAAAAGAATAAAAATATGAGTTTATCAACCACAAGATTTTAAGATGTCCCAAAACGATTAAATCCTGCATCTATGTTATGTTAACTGAAGAAGAAATCATTTTAGATTGTGGATTGAAAAGATATTTTTATGATATGTAAAACTCTGACTATCTTTTTGATCCAATATATACATCGAAATCACTTGATTAAATCGATATATTAAATAGTACACATTATTTATTTGTTAATTATTGTTCTAGCAATCAATCATATGTATTATCTGTAGGAAAAAGAGGAGGATATAGATTATAAAAGTTAACGTAAAATTATAACAAATCTATGTCACTTGAACTCTAATTTATCAATGATGATATAATAGAGAAAAGTAAATTAATTTTGATCTATTATTAGATAATATTACCTTCAACCTTCAAGTGATTTAAACAAATATTGAATTAAATGAATTTTCTTAATTAACCTTTGTGATTTTAATTATGATTTTTATGATATTTCTGGTAACTATAGGAATTCTGTATAGATAATGTACACAAAGATAGTTAAGGAATGTAATCAAAACTGAAATTTCATTAGTTGAAATTAATATGAGATATAATTCAAAAATTTGATTTATTGTATAATAATTATATTGTTTGAAAATTATTGTTGTAGTAATATATTTATCTTAAGAAAACTTGTGCTTGATATAATGAAAGTCTACAAATCATAAATTTCAAAATGAGCTAAATTGGTTGATGAAAAATTCATAATTATAAATAAATGAAAAGAATTCTAATTATTTATTTTCATTTTTAACGTTATCTAAAGTTACTAGTTATTGACTATACTAGAATGTATTAAATAATTTAATACTCATTTGAGAAATTCTAATCATATTTAGATCATATAAATTCAAGAATCCATATTTATTTCAATCAACTCAAATATTATTAGTTTAAGTTTGAGATTAATAATAATTCCATTTTATAATCCATTAATAATTATTATTGTTAAAATTTGAAAAAATGGCATCTAAATATTTATTATAGAAATAATAATATAAGTATAATTATAATCTCATATAATCAAATAATTAATAGCAGAATTCATATTCCACTTCTAAATATATTAAGGGGCAATTTATTAATATGATAAAATAATAAAATTTTTTTTATGAATGAGAAGGAAGTGTGTTATTATAGGGAATTATAAATTTAAAGGACAGAGAAGATGTCACCATAATTAGAATTTTTAATAAATGGAATAGGAGAAAATGAGATATTTAGGTAAAGGCATTGGAATAATTCTATATCTGATTCTTAAATGTAAGTCATTAATTTGGAATTAAGAAAATAAGGAATGATTAGAAGGTTAAGGAAAAATAAGTTAAGAATTTAAAGTAAATATTTTTTGGTGCTATATTCTCATTTATTTTCATCAATAGATTTAGTTATTATTATATAAAAACAAAAGAATAATATTCTATAAAGTAATATTAATGAAATGTATTATCAATTCAATTATTATTATATACAATCATTAACTGAATGTTCAACATTGAAATAGTATTCAATTTCTTTATTAAGTCATTTTGAATTTATAATCATTAATGACTTTTGAATTATAATTATAATTTTTATTCTATTTATTTTTATTATACCATTCCTCTATGGTTAATGACAAAAACTTATTCTTCTTCATCCAAACATTCAAAATGGATAATTAGTTTGTCCGTTGACCATAAAAAGTTTAATTACTTTTTATTAAAATCAACTCATTAAAATATTCTCCTTACATTACAATTATTGTTTATCAATATAATCTATTATTTTTCAAAGTCAAACTCAAATTGTAGCTCTTCATTTTTAAATCAGTATTTTTTGCAGGTATAACAATATTATATTCTTGTTTTTCGTCAGCTAACATACCTTATTTATTAATCTGTTCCTCAAATTAAATTCATCTCTATAATTCTAAAGCTCGATTCTACATTTATGCATCTGAGATTTATAAAGAAATTTTTAATTGTAAATTCAATTGTTAAAACACATATTTTTTTCTCAATTATCTTATATATTAATATATGAGCAAAAAAACTTTCATACAATTTACAAATACCTATAGAGGATAAACTCCAATACGAGGCTCTAGATGCTTATACAATGATGAGAATAACAACATCATCTACAAATTAGAAATAAATAGATCTCAATAACCATAACTCTAAGCATCAATAGAAAAAGAGATTCAACTTTAAAATGAATTAGCTGGAAAAATCAAATAGTACCTAAAAATTATCGAATATGCCATAGAAGAAAAAGAATAGAGTAATATAGTTCATATGGTCGTATAAGTGAACGATTATAAATATTCTACTTTATGTTCCTTTGAAGAAATCAATGACTAATCCATTAAACTAATGTAATTCAAAAATATTTTGTTACTTATGATGGATTTAGAGTAAAGAAAACCAAAAATATTTTATTTTCGACAAAAAAATATATTATATTATGGAAATTCAATTTATTTAACCATTTTTGGATGGACCTAGGAGTTTTAAATCTCAAATACTTCAAATCAATCTTTAGCGAAATTAGAAGACTTAACTTTCAAAATTTCTAAAATTACCTACTTGAATGAGCAAGGTTAAGAATAATAGCATAATCTTACAAAACATAAAGAGGACCTTGGACTTTTTTTTTAGAGAAGCATCTTGAATCTTCATAATTCAAAGATATCTATATAAGATATAAATACGAAATGCTAAGATGAGGAATTAAAAAATATTGCTAAAATTATAAAATGCTTTATAATAAATAATGGTTCACTTTAGGAGATGAATATATAACTTTAGTAAAGCAATTAGAGGCAAAAAAATTTAGATGAATTAATTGAAGAATTTGAAAAATATCATAAGTCAATGTAATTAAAAGCCATGGATCAAGAACTTTTAAAAATGGGACTTGATTTATAAGATCTCAAGGAATTATCAGCGGATTAATTAGCTAGATATATTGAAATCTAAAAAAATGAATAACAAAGTGGTAATAATTTGAAGAAAAAAAGAGCAAAAATACTTATTTTTTAAGCTGAAAAAAGATAATAAGCTCTCAGTATATTCGAACAACAAAGTCAGGATTTTCATCCAAATTTGATTTATTTCCTTAAGCAGAATGAATTAGAAAAGTTAAAAAAAGACTTAACTCTATTGAAATAAATATAAGTAGATTAGAATAAAATTATCAAATATATTGAATTACTGTAGAAAATGTCACTTAGTTAGTTGGATTAAGTTGTTTTGGACAATGAATAATTAAGTTTGATTCCTGTTAAAAAGTTGAAATCAATTAAAAATAGTACAATTTAAGAGTTCTGTCGTAAAAAAGAATTGGAGATATAAAAGAGTGGTCAAATAGAGCGTTTTGATTTCGAAAAGGCTTTGGAGGCTAAGGATAAATATAATAAATTTTAACATGAAATTAAATTTAATAGATCTATTAATGTTCTAAATGAGAATTAATTAACATTTTAAGAATTTGAATTATTAGATTAAAACACACAAAAAACCTATCAAGATTCAATTATAAAAATAATTGAATCTAAGAGAAATTCAACTAATTAAGACGATAAAAATTTGTTGAAAACTTTAATAGATGCTTTAAACAAAAGTTTTCAAAGATTAACACACTAAACAACAACAAATACATTGAATTTTAAGAATTAATTGTATATGGACAATTTAGAAGGAGGGGAATATGTTAAGAATTAAATTTTTAATGAAAGGAACATTCTTAAGTTCTCTAAAAAAGTGGATTATTTTTTTTAGTATCGCTTTACAGGGGATATATTATGTAATGGAATATTTCGTTTATTTTTGAGAAAATTTTAAAAATACGTTTAGAATTCAAATTATTAAGGCTATCAAATAAATGATAAGAAACACGGTTTGGGATTGAGTAAAATAAATGAAAACCATCTGAAACTTGGAATATTCTAATTTGGCTAATAATTATGGGGCTGGGAGATTGTCCTTCGATCTAAAGAAATCAGTTTTTATAAAGGGCCTTTTTTAAACGATCAAAAGGATGGATTAGGAATATTATAAAAATATGATGTTAAGGAAGATTAAAAGGAAGATTAAAAGGAAGATTAAAAGGAAGATTAAAAGGAAGATTAAAAGGAAGTGTTAATTGAACAATATGTGGGTCGATTTTAGAAGGATAAGATGCATGGCTAAGGTGAGTTAAAAATGTTTTAAAAGTAACAAGAAATCACAGGAGGTTCAAATAATGTTCAAGTAATAACAGTTACTTAAGGAGAATTTAAAAATGATCAATTGAATGGTTATGCCACAATATCTTAAAATGATAAAATAATTTTGAAAGGTTCATTTAAAAATGGGAAAAAAAATGGAAATGTAATAGAAATCTAAGAGTAAACCACAATAACAGGGTGTTATTCGGATGGAAATAGAACTGGTATTCATATTACGAAACATCCAGATGGTAAAACGACACCTATAGATTATGGCTCAACTACATGTTCTGTTTTCTGAGTTTTTTAGTAGTATTAATAAATATAATATTTATAATAATTATCTGATGAACATTGATCACGTTTTGAATTAGAATAGGGATATAGATAATATTGATTAAAATAAGTTCTAGTATTTGTGAAATAAAATATTAATTAATATATCAAAAAAAGATAACCGATGAATGTTTAGTAAGAAGTAGTTTAATTTATTTAGTGATTGCGTAGCGTTTACTGGAGACAAATGGGAGTTGCTAGAATAAGACACGATTGGCTTTTTGGCAGGAAGTAATTAAATTAATAAAATTACTTAGATACTTTATGTAAGTGGAATCTAGAGAATAATAGCAAGAGCTTCGTGCATTCTTAGAGACAAGGGTTCTAGTGTTTTACAGTTCATTATAGGAAAAACATTTTGGTCGTGGCAGAATATGGGCTTAATCCAATAGTTCATGTTTATGATAATGAAAATGAATATGATTTGGTTGGTGTGAGTCCATTGGAAATCCTTTAAATGGAAGTGTCTAATTGTGGACGTTATTTGTTGGTGATTTTGGGAGTACCAAAATTTGAAATTTGTTTATGGGATTTGAGGGAGAAGTGCAGAATTAAAGGAAAGTTTAGTTAATTGCCATTGAAGTTGAATTTTATAGAGGCCAAATTCACAATATTAGGTGAACGAATTCTAATTCGATATGCAAACTAGTTGCAATTATATTAAATTACACCTCATTATGATAATTAAATTCAGAAGCAGGTCTAATTGGAATTGGTAGCATCGATTGATCTATCAGCTCCAACCTTAATGGTGTAAGATTACAATCTAATTGATGATTCGAAAAACCAATTTGAATAAAACAACATATATTTAATCTAAGGAAATGTATTGATCTATCTGGATGGAACAAATTTAACTGAAATTGTTAGACATGAGTGTCATTCGGAGATTAAACACGTGATTCCAACCTAAATCCATTTAATCGTCGTATATGCTCATGCTAAAATTGAATGGCTGTACAAATATATAACTAACAATCTGGAAGATAAAGTAGCTGTACCATTTAAAGTGAATAAGAAATATAATTTTCATGATCGCATAGAAGTCAAAAAAATAATGTACAACCAATAATGCACTAAATTGATTTGTTCATAAGACAATGCTACTCTCTTTATAATCCCTGTCCCTGCAGAAGGTTTTTTAGGAGAAGATGAAGCCTAAGTCGATTAACAAGAAGAGGATAAAGTCATAGACTTGACTCATGAGATTGAGCCAGTTAAGTTAGGTCCCTTTTAAAAAGGAGTCATAACATTTATCAGAGAATACAAATAACATAATGTGATTGTTTGTGGATCAGATCAAGGAGTAGTCTTATTTATGGATGTAATATCAAGTAAAATTTTGTTGTATTTTTAGAATAACCCTTGAGTAGCTTTAACATTGAAGGCAAAATCATCTCAGGAGAATTGATAGAGCCTAACTTGATAATAGGTACATCAGCAGGAGTATTAAGATTTTATAATGTTGCTGACATTCGTTAGCCAGTACTCTTCAAGATGATCAAACTCTATATTGATAAAGCTATATCGAGTATAAGTATTATTGATAACAATTTGGCTGTTTGCAGTAGTGATTCCCCAACAGTATTTTTCTTTTAGAATGAAAATTTGATTGGATTTGTAGATCTTCCATTTAATTGCTAAGCAATCACTTATGGAAAAGGTCAATTGTTTTGTATCTGCTCATTTTTACTGTTGAGCATACCTCAACCGAAATAATAATAGTCTTTGAAATTGGAAGTGTAAATAATGGGAAGAAAGATTGACCCAGATTAAACTCTATTGATAGTTACACCTTAATAAGAAGTAATAACAACTGGAAAGGATAAGATCTTTAAGAAATATAAGTTTCCTGAGGAATTATTATCGAAAATGGATTTAAAAATGAGAGTTGCAAATTAACCTCCAGTTGATGAATAAGATGGTCATCAATTACCAGCTACATGCTTGGCAATTAAAGACTTTCTATACTCTTCAGCAAAGGATGGTACGATAATGTTTAGAAGTTATCAGCAATTAAATTAGGATGTCAGATTATTGAGAGGACATAATTTGAAATCTGGGGGTGTCTCTACTATTTTTGTATCATAGAAGTATAAGATGATATATTCTGGTGGTTTTGAGGGAGACTTATTCTGGTGGACAGGAGAGAAGGTTAGAGGAGATTCAGATGCAGCATAATTGATGAAGAGTAATTACAATGCTCCTATGGAAATTTAGGATATGTCAGATCAGGAAGTCAGATACTATTAATAAGTTTTGGAGAGTGAATTTCTAGAATAATAGGCACCTATTAGAGAATAACAAAAAAGATAAACTAAAGATCTACTGAAATAAATTCAAACTAGATTAAATGCACTCTTATAAGAAAATGCTGAGGCTGATGAATTAGAAAAATTATAAAGAGATGAATTCGTAATTGATCTCTATGCTCGAGATGCTATTCTAGAGGATGGAAAGAAATAATAATAGGCTTTGAGAGATTTGGTCAAGAAAGAAAATGTTAAGCAAGAGATTCTCTATTAGTTGATCAAAGAGAGAACTTGGGATCAAATTGAAATACCATTAAAAGGTGTTAATGGATTAATATAACATATCATTGTTACCAATTACCATATTAGAGTTAGACAATCTGAAGAAATGAGAAAATTAAAATTAATCAGAGAATTAAGAAAATAAGAAATTAGAGAACTCAAAATCAGAAAATAATAAGCAATTAAAGAAGCATGGAGTATCGAAGAGCACATATAAGATCCTAAATATATTATCAATTCTAAACCTGGAGTTTAGACCATGGTCTTAAATGATTATGAGAAAAAGGAGGAAGTGGCTCCTACTAAGGTTGCTGCTAAGCCTGGTGTTGGAGGTGTTTAATAAAAGTAACCACCTGGAAGAGCATAGGCAGGTGCAGCTAGTATCAAAGCAAGATAATAATAATAATAATAACAATAATAGTAAGAGGAGGAGAAAAGATAGGAAGAGGAGAAATAGAAGGAATTGGAGAAATAATAATAATAATAAAAAGTCACTGAGGAGAAGAAGGAGGGGAGTGAAGAATTGACAGAATGGGATTATTTATATGGAGTTAGCGAATTATTTACACTTAATAGAAAGAGAAATCAAATGATATTGATTAATGATGTGATATTTTCAATGAAAAGATAATTTAATGCTGAGTTTGAATTGATCTAAAAATAGAGATAATAATAATTGGATAATATTAATGAAAGAAATAAGAGAATCATTGAAATTAATGGAGAATTGAAAAGAGATCCTCAATTACAACAAATGAAAAAGAATATTTTGGAAGACCCAGAAAAAATATTGACTGTTAAACCAGATGAAATAGGATTCTAATAATATGAGACAAGAGAAATGAGAGAGAAGAAGGAACAAGAGAGATTGAAAGAAGAAGCTCGTTTGAAAGCATTGATGGCAGATGATTCAGGAGTTAGAGCAGTTAAAGATATGATGGGAGGCACTTTGGAAGAGAAGAAGGAAACTCCATTAGATGAAAAATTAGAAGTGGAAGAATGGATGAAGAAGAGTCCAGATGATATGACAGAGGAGGAAAGAATGAAATTAAAAGAATTTGAAGTCAGGAAGTAGAAGTTGGAAGAAGAAAAGGAGAAGATTCGTAAAAATTTAGAAGCTGAACTCAAAAAGTTGAATAATGAAATTACTGATATTTGTTAAAGATTTGATGATAAATTGTTGATTCTATTTAGAAGAAAATTAGAATATGACTATAGAATACTTGAATAAGAATTATCAATCGTAAGATTGGCATTATCCATTATTATCTCATAATAGGCTTAACTGAGAGTTTCAGAGTTGGAGAAATTGCATGATGAGATGACTACTCAATTAAATTAATTGCAATAAATGAAGAATAATCTAGATTAAACTAGAGATTTGACATAATAACAAAGGAAAACTTTGAATGATTAAATTGTCAATTACTTTAATAGAGGTTAGACTGCTGGTATGGATGCTAACAAAGTTAAGATCCTTTGGCAATATGCTTTTGAAGATTAGAAGACCAATGAAAGAGCTAAATAGGAATAAGATGAAAAATTACTTAAAATTCAAAAATATAAGGATGTACTTATTTAAATTGATCCATTGTTTGAAAATCAAAAGAAAATTATATCTGCATAGTTGGATGAATAATTTGAAAACTACTTATTTGATATCTAAGAAAAAGCTAGCAATTTATAAGGAATTGATTTTGAACATGTTCGTGATCAATTATTGCAAGTTCTAAGTTAAAGATTCAGAATGAAATTAGAATATGAAAAAATTGATAAGGATTCCAATGATCTTGAAAATTTCAATAAAAAGTTCGAATAAGATTTTAATTAATTGTCTTCATAACTCTAAAATAGTGAAGAAGACATTTAGAGTCTACATAATATGCTTGAAAAGAGTAGATCTAATATTGAAGTCATGTTCAGATTCAAATAAGGATATGTTGAAATCAGCCAGGACAAACCAGTACCGAATTTACAAGATGCTGCACTGATTCCTAGAGAAACAATTGAGAAAAAGAATGATGAAATCAAAAAGGAAGGAGATACTAAAATTGAATTGATGAAAGATATTATCAAAAGTAAATATTAAGTTGAAAAAAATGAATATGATTTAAAGAAGAGAGATCTCATTATATAAGATTTAGAATGCAAGACTAGGGAAGTCTAATTGTTGAAAGTTAAAAAAGAGATGCAAATTGCTTTAACAAAGGACGACACCAGATTGAATGAGAGAGAACTGGCTAATCTAAAAGATTAGATTGATCTTTTAAAGAGTGCCACTGATAAGAGATTATAGATTATTAACAAGAAGAGAGAAAAGATTGAAAAAGATATTGATTTCATTAAAAAGGAGAATCAATAATTGATTGGATAGGGAGGAGTTTTATCTGTATTTATTTTGTATTATTCTAGGGAAATGTAAAATAATTATAAGATATTTCAGATATGTAGAACAAAAAGAATGTTAGGTAAGGAGAGGAATAATAAGAACCATAAGAAGATAAATTTACGTATTTGCATATTTTATATATTTTAGTTAAATTGCTCGTAATTACAGACTATTTAAGAAGGCCAAGGAATAGGCTGAAGAAATTGAAATTTTAAGAGATGAGCTTACAAAACTTAAAGCTAAGACTTTTGCTAATTTCTAATAAGTCCATCGTTGATATAATCAAATTTATAAAAAATTAATTACAATTTATGAAACTTGTGATAGTATATGTTAAATTTACTATATTGCAAAGAAAAGAAATTCAAAATGACATGGGGTTATTTTATTATCTCACTTCTTTGAGAATGAATTATTATTAGAACTAAAAGCTTAGTATTTAATATTGATATTAGTAGTTAAAAATTATTCCTGATTCTATATCTCATTTTGCCAATTTTTTTTATTTCTAGCCGATTAAATTATTATTTCTTCAAATTATAAGTTTTGAATATAAATTACAGAAATATAATATAATAATTAAAATAATTAATAAATATTATATTATCGAAATTGATACACATTTAAAGGAACTTCATTAATTCCAAGTCGGGTAATAACGAATTGATAATCTATAGGATACCGAATTCTTGTTGATTTATATGAATTTGAAATCTTTTAATTCAGAAAACAATTTGAGCCATTTAAACTATATATTTCTATTCAATTTAATTTGTTATTTTTTTATTAATGCTCATCATTTATTAAAGTGAAATTAATTAGCTTGCAATCCTTCCAATTAAAAATTATGATTATGTTACCCAAAATAGATTAAACTTACATTTCAAGTTAACAGAAATCTATATTTACATTTTTTTATAAGACAATTATATAAAGTTTTTATTTATTCTTTCGCCTTAATAATTAAATCCATGATCCAAATGTTTCTTAGGGGTTTTAGGAACTTAAGAATGAAATTGCAAGTGTTGATAATAATTTTACCAATCCTCGCATTAACTATGTTGTTGGTTGGGTTAACTAGCTATTTATAATCTACAGTAATTTTTAATTTACTTGAAAACTAATCAAACCATCTATTGATGTATTAAGAATATAAAGCACTGTCCCAAGTAGCATTGGAATTGCAAACATATATCGGATATAAGCATAAATTTTGTAAAAATTCTTTTAATTATTAGATATCTCCAGATTAGGTCACTTAAATAAGATATTCAGCTTTATTTAATAAAAAGGGAGAGATTCAAGCATGAATCATTTATAAAGTTGTTTAAAACTAGAGGAAATATAAACTAATTTTATATAGTTTGATGCGCCATAATTTTGTTATTTTGCTTGTGGATCCGATGATAAAATAACATTGCCTTAAGAAAATCAATTGCTAAAGATTTTTAATCAAACAACTTAATTGATTAATTAGTTTACAATTGCTTTGGATGCAACAGAAAACTCATTAATTGCAATGGTAGATTTTTCGGATACTATCTATTTTGCTGCCTATCCTCATATTTATTTAAATTTGTAATACAACCCTATAAAACGACCTTGGTAATTATCATCCTAACAATAGGTATATAAGTCACATGAATGGATTGAAAACTTAACCTGAAAAAAACTACTTTTTCTCCCCAATATTTACGAATTACGTCAAAAATATTTACTAGATGTCTATTACGTATTCTATATCTGGGACTTCGACTTCAAATATTGGCATANAATTATTCCTGATTCTATATCTCATTTTGCCAATTTTTTTTATTTCTAGCCGATTAAATTATTATTTCTTCAAATTATAAGTTTTGAATATAAATTACAGAAATATAATATAATAATTAAAATAATTAATAAATATTATATTATCGAAATTGATACACATTTAAAGGAACTTCATTAATTCCAAGTCGGGTAATAACGAATTGATAATCTATAGGATACCGAATTCTTGTTGATTTATATGAATTTGAAATCTTTTAATTCAGAAAACAATTTGAGCCATTTAAACTATATATTTCTATTCAATTTAATTTGTTATTTTTTTATTAATGCTCATCATTTATTAAAGTGAAATTAATTAGCTTGCAATCCTTCCAATTAAAAATTATGATTATGTTACCCAAAATAGATTAAACTTACATTTCAAGTTAACAGAAATCTATATTTACATTTTTTTATAAGACAATTATATAAAGTTTTTATTTATTCTTTCGCCTTAATAATTAAATCCATGATCCAAATGTTTCTTAGGGGTTTTAGGAACTTAAGAATGAAATTGCAAGTGTTGATAATAATTTTACCAATCCTCGCATTAACTATGTTGTTGGTTGGGTTAACTAGCTATTTATAATCTACAGTAATTTTTAATTTACTTGAAAACTAATCAAACCATCTATTGATGTATTAAGAATATAAAGCACTGTCCCAAGTAGCATTGGAATTGCAAACATATATCGGATATAAGCATAAATTTTGTAAAAATTCTTTTAATTATTAGATATCTCCAGATTAGGTCACTTAAATAAGATATTCAGCTTTATTTAATAAAAAGGGAGAGATTCAAGCATGAATCATTTATAAAGTTGTTTAAAACTAGAGGAAATATAAACTAATTTTATATAGTTTGATGCGCCATAATTTTGTTATTTTGCTTGTGGATCCGATGATAAAATAACATTGCCTTAAGAAAATCAATTGCTAAAGATTTTTAATCAAACAACTTAATTGATTAATTAGTTTACAATTGCTTTGGATGCAACAGAAAACTCATTAATTGCAATGGTAGATTTTTCGGATACTATCTATTTTGCTGCCTATCCTCATATTTATTTAAATTTGTAATACAACCCTATAAAACGACCTTGGTAATTATCATCCTAACAATAGGTATATAAGTCACATGAATGGATTGAAAACTTAACCTGAAAAAAACTACTTTTTCTCCCCAATATTTACGAATTACGTCAAAAATATTTACTAGATGTCTATTACGTATTCTATATCTGGGACTTCGACTTCAAATATTGGCATACTTATGTAAAATATCGAATTAAATGATACAAATATTAAAGAAACCCCTTATAACATTATTGTATCTAATGAGAATGGGGAGGTTGTACTATAAGGAATAGAATCAATCAAAAAAATGGTATATTGATTGCTTTAAGATTTTAGATCTATATTAAGGATGATGTTTTGTTTATCAATGATACAAACCAAACTGGTTTCAATGATTCGGATTGGCAATAAATTAAAAAAGTAGCTTCTGGAGAGGAAATTGAGAATAGATGTAATGCTTATAATGCCAATGCATTCTGTTTATATAACAAATACTTTGAATAATTCGTTTTAGTGAATGTAACTAGAATTAAGGAGGGGAGCTTTTATTTGATAATGTAATAGTAGCTTAAATAATTAGATATTCCAATATCACTTCCCAAACCATATTAAACTAACAGTTAGCAACTATAAATTAGAATTTATAATCGTAACTATAGTAGAGTCAATATATCATTTTCTTTTCAGGAATCTCTTTATTGGTTTTATCTATTTTAATCATCCATTAAATGTTCCTCCCTTTAACAGATCTTATGAGAACACTTTTCTTTTATATTAAGTCCACAGGAAACAATATTAATAAGGAAATTTTTTAATTGTTGAATACTCAAAAGAAGAAAAGAAAGAATAATGTATTTTCAGATTTGATGCAATAATTTTTGAAGTTTGAAGCCAAACTAAATGGCAGTCAATAGAACAAAAATAAAGAGTGTTTATACTTTGAATAAATAGAATATTAAAAATAACCATAAAGTGAGCTTATTAGTCCTTTAAATCTTAGTTTAAATAATATCACAAATGATTATTTGACTATGTGCAAGATTAAAAATATATTTGATTTATTAAAACTTAAATTATTTAATTTCTGAATTTACATTATTCTAAATAACAAAATCATTATAAACTATTATGCTAAGGAGATATTGGAAAAATTTGAAAATTAGATCTTAAATCTCAATATTTTTATTTGTCACCTAAATATTGATTCTTTCATTAATAATAGGACTTCTGTTTGTAAATTTGAGTTTTTTGGAATTTTACTTTGAAAAAACCTAGATAGAAGTATTAGTTTAGTAAGAATTGAATCTCCAAACTAAATTAATGAACTATTCGATTACAGACACTAAACTTTAATTATATAGAAGCTTAAACTAAAATTACAGAGTTAAATATCTCTTTCAAAAAATTGAAATGGAATAAATCAACTTTCTATTTCCACCATTTAATTGTCTACAAAATTTTACAAATCTAGATAATTTTGCATATTAGTATTCGTTCTGCTATGGAGAATTTGGATAGGCAACCACTAAATCCAATTCCATTGAATCCTTTAAGAATTTAACAAGTAGTTTGACAATACTATTGCATTTATTGGATTGGGACTTAGATTTGTCTATATGTACTAATACTTAAGAATAATATTTTGCACTATGGCCAGGCGATAAATTTATAGATTACAAGCCATAGACGAGACCATGGTATTTATCGCATTTAAGGTAAATGTCAACGAATCCAAATCAAGAGGTATTTTTTAGTGATCCATTTGTATTTTGGACTTGGAAGGTTGTAATGATTAGTCAAACTCTTACACTGAAATCTTAAAGTGGTGAATTTTAAGGGATAGCAGCAACAGATTTGAATTTGACTCTTTTCTAAAATTTAAATAATCTCTATAAAGGATCAAACCGACTGTTTACTTTAAGTGATGGTAAGATTTTGATATCAAATACTAATTTCACATTTGGTAATTATATTTACAATGAATCAACTATTGGTTTAAATTACGAGGACTTCATTCACATTTAACACTATCTACAGAATGAAACCTACACTAGCAATTGCCTCAAACTCCATTAATATCACGGATATGATATTTTTTGTAGGTACAATTAGGTCTTCTAGTAAGATTAAGCAATATTTGCTAAAAGATTAGGGATATCAAACTTAAATTTAATAATGTAAATTTAAATATTGATGTAGCATATTTGATATCCTTCAAAATTAAGAGTTTATTTAGAAAAGCTTAGATGAAATTAAAGGAAGGTTTTTAGAAATCTCTGCATACTCATTTTTCTTCATCCTCATAATAATACTGTTATCTTTTCTGATTAATCTGATAGTCATTAAATTCATCACTAAGCCATTGCAGAATGTAGTAACATCAGTATAACAATATATAAGATCAAGTGGATTTATTTATGATAGACATAAAACAAGGAAAATAATTAGAGAGAACAACCAAAATGATATGTGCAGATCATTAAACAATGTCCTTAATCATTTCCAAATTTAAAATAGTGAGTATTAACAGTAATAGTTAATGACCTCATAATATCCCATAAACACCTACAATTTCTCAAAATTTTATAAGACTTCAGATTTTAATGTAAATATTTTACTTAATTTAGCTTATCCCAGATTCTTATCTTTAGTAATAAGAAATAATTGATATGGTTATCAAATTATTATAATAGCAGTCCACCTTATGATCGTAATTTTGATTGATTAAAATAGTTTATATACGTTATTAATTTATATTTATTAATTGTTAATGAAATAAGGGTAGAGTCTGAATTCCCAGAATTAAAAAGCTGTTTGAGATTATGATGATAGACTCATTTTAACTAAATTTTAATGAGAGAAGATATAGATCAGAGAATAACTAAGTAGAATTAATATAGATTAGTGGATTAAAGTAAACTAATAAGTCATCTAGAATGGAAACTGTATGCAATACATATAACATATTGAGTATAAAATTGACATCTAAAATAATTAGGAGCATATGATATCCTTTGTAAAACTCTCAAACTATTACAGTAATATTATATAAAGAAGACTGAATACACTTAAAATATGGTACGAACTTATAAACTAAATTAAGGAAGCAGGTGGGTGATAGAAATCACTTATATTAATGATCAAAATCTGTGAACAATATAATTTCTAATTGATATGAAAGTATATCCAATATTATAATCTAATATTCTATTAAAATTAATAATTTTTAAAGAGTAAAAGGAGGAGTGTCTTACATAACTACAGATTTTAAATAGTTTATGATTATTTTTCAATATTAAATTAATAAAATGTCGAAGGATATCGTTTGCACCATTGATTATCCAGGGGGAGATAAAAAGTTTAGAGTGTACCTGGATAGCCAAAAAACACCATTAGATCTAATGAGGGAGTTCTAACCTCAAATAGTATAGAACTAGAATAAGATAACTTTCTATTTTAAACAGGTCGTATTGAATCCGAATGTCCCATTTCTTGATTAAAATATCAAAGATGAGGACACTATTCTAATGAATGTTGAAGCAGAAGGTGGATGATATTTTTGAAAGATCTTATTAGATAATATAATATTAATTTAAATATGTTCAAGTGTTTGTCTAGAAAATTAGAGATTGCCAATAGACCTTAGATTTATAGATTAAGCAAGGGGAAATACAAAGAAGAAGAACTAATTGATGCAGGTGGGTACTCTCAGATTTGGAAATGTGAAGGGTTTGCAATAAAGAGGATGCTGATTCATTCTTAAGAAACATACTTGATGGCAAAGTAGGAGATTAATGTTATGGTATTGATATAAGAATGAATAAGAAGAAAAGTTTACCCGAACACCCAAACATAGTGAAATTGATTGATTATGGGGAAGTAAAGATTCAAAATAAGCTGTTCTTTTGCATCGTGATGGAGTTGTGTGAAATGAACTTATAAGCAATGCTGACGTAAGAGATGTTAACGGAGAGAAGAATAATAGAAATATTTAAATAGATTCTGGATGGATTAGAAGTATTACATGCAGAATAGATTAGTCATAGAGATTTGAAGTTGGAAAACATAATGATCAGACGAGGTACTTGCAAGATATGCGATTTTGGGTCAGCATCAAATGAGATTATTGATCTGAACCTGTTGGGTTAGACTCAATTGAGTTAGATGGAAGAACAATTCAGTAAAATAACCACCATTACTTGCAGACCTCCTGAAATGATTGATGTGTTTAAACGGCAAATCATAGATTTCAAAGTTGATATTTGGCAATTAGGATGCATCCTATATCGTTTATGTTTTAGAAAGTCTCCATTTTAAGATATCAATAAAGTCTCCATTGCACAAGCTGAGTTTGAAATACCACAATCGTAATTGTCGCAGAAGACTTTGTCTTTGATTTAGAAGATGTTACAATAGGATCCAAAAAAGAGACCCAATCTTAAAGAATTGAAATTATTCCTTTATAGTAGAGAGGCTGATGATGGCGATGGTTTTTAATGAAATAAATAATAATAATTCTCAATATAAAATAAATTAATGAGTGGTCTTTACAATTAGTTTGATCTCAATAACTTCTTGCCGAGCGCATATGTAGTGGAAGCCTTACCGTTGTGTTCCATACAAGAAAATTAAGTTAGATCTGAAAGAGTTGGAGACCAAGATGCTCGCATCTACAGTGTGTACAATCAGAGCAAAGATAGAATCACACAACAAACCAATTTGGTAGACAAGATAGCCAGGTTCGTTAAGGATGATGAAGAGAAAGAAGAAGATCCAGAACAATCAGTTGAAGTGCAGACCAGATACTTTAATCTCGATAGTATTGATGTACTCTCGAAGGGAGTATGTAGAAGATGCAAAAAAGTAATTGGTAGTGATAACCGAAGCCTGGCCATTTTGAAAAATGGTGTGTTGAAGACATTGCTGAATCTAAAGTGACTTGTCGATTTTGCTTGGGAGATCATTATTTTTTGAAATGCCCTAATAGTTTGTGTTTCAAGTGCAACCAAGCTGGACATATGGCAAAGGATTGCGATGTAGAAGGTATCAAATGTCATAGATGCAACAAAAAGGGACATAAATCTAAAGATTGTAATGTTATCATTCTAGATGATGAAAATGTGTTTGAAAAGGACAAATAAAGATTAAAGGATCTTTTGTGTTTGAATTGTCAAGAGAGAGGACATTTGAATTGTTTCTCAAAAGGATATAAAAAATATGATCTACTTTACTGTGAAGGGAAGGAGTAAAGAGAAAGGGAAAAAATGAATAGGACTGACCATTCTTCGAAGGATAAACATAACAATTAACATCATAATAATCAAGATCATCATTAACATCATCATCATCATCATTAGCATAATAATTAACATCATCGTTAACATGATAATCATCACAATCATTAATAACATAATCATTAACATGACAATCATCATTATTAAAATAATTAGCATTCATATAAATAAAAACACTTGAAAGAATAAACCTAAAATCTACCTCATAAAGTCAATAAAACAATTTAAAAATAAAAGTATCATCAATAAGACTCATCCTCACAATATTCCATGTGGTCAGAAGAATCTCCAAATACTAAAAGGATGAATAATAATAAACAAAGAAAAAATAAGATTAAATAGAAAAAGCATTTCAAATAATTTAATTGATTATATATTATATTATTATGTTTAATAAACCTTAAGAATATGCCGCACAAAAAAAAGAAGCCTTTCGATCCGAAATCCGTAGAATAGACAGAGAACGAATATTTAATTAAAAAAGGATTTTAATTCATTAACAGAATGATATGAAAGAAAAAGACGATTTAGAATTAACCAACTTAATACCATAAATTATATTATGCCAATAGAATCACAACATTTAGGAATTAAAACAACTTCATCGATTTGCATTCAATTCCATCTCAACCAACAATCTTAACTAAATTACTTAGAATCAAGAATTCCTAATTAAAAATAACTACTTATAACACAGCCTCCCAAGTTTGTTGATTAAAGAAGTTCAATGTGAAGTCATTAGAACCCTGGCAAATTCTTGTAATCATCCTCTTTTTTTATAATAATAACCTTAAAATTTACTCCAATCTTTAGAAGTTTCATATTAACTACTCCTATCCTTAACAGATACTTAAGATATAAGCGATGTATTGATTATAACTATTTTGTAGATTCTTATATATTTAGGTAATATCTCAAACAAATGGCCGGAGATCTGCTAATATTTAATCAAGTGTTTTGATCGTTTGTTCGAATTAAGTTCTTCAACTGACAGTAATCTGTATAGAAACATATGTTTCTGTATGCATAATATATGTTATGTTATGGATAATCAAAATTTAAGCGTCAAAGATGTAATTGATAGTATTACCTTTAATTAGAGAATCACCTGCTTAAAAGTGATAGACAAAGGAGTTAACAGGAATGATTGCGATTTCTTACAAAATGAAATACTACATCCTTTAACTTTATTATATTTCCAAAATGAAGAGATTGACAAGTACTTAATGAGTTCGAAAATTGTGTAATATGTAATTTCAACTTTAAAGGGGGAATTTGTAGAAACAACTTTACAAGTTTTGAAATAGTTTTCATTAACTGAAACCATAAGTTTTTCGAATGTAAATTTCATATGATATAATAAAAGTTCCTTATTGAATAGGATATTTTGGGTATTGCCTACGAGTATAGCAACAATCGAAAGAAGTAAATTAGAAAATTTTCATTCTTAATTGTGATCAATCTAGCTTACAATGATAGTAAAATCTCAAATAAAATTGTTAAAAGTAAAATCATCAATAGAGTTATTAATGGTTTAAATACATCGGGAATACAAGAAAAGCAAAATTGCATTCAAGTCATCCAAAACCTACAAAAGACAGGAGACAATACAGTATTTTAAACTCTCATAGAATTGGGGACAGTGGAGATCATAGGAAATTTGATTGATGAAGTGGATACAGTAGTTTTAAAAATCTTTGTAGATACTCTTTGTAGATTTCTAAACTATGCAAAAGAAGTTCAATCCAATAAAGTGATTGAGGATATCAAGAAGATTAAACCTAAATTAGAATTAATATATAACGAAAACAAAGATCCGAAATTTTAAGATCTATTTCAATTGTTTTTATAGCTCTTATAATAATGATGTTATATTTTTTAAATAATATAAAAATCACAAATGCTCAATCCGTTCATAAGAAAATACAGGACATTTAGTTTAATACGCCCGGATAGCTCAGCTTGGTAGAGCGAGAGACTCTTAATCTCTAGGTCCAGGGATCGAGACCCTGTTCGGGCGTAAATTTTTATTTTTTTATAATTTAATAAATTAATTAATTATTAAATATTAAATATTACATTACATTACATTCATTTTTAATCATTATGTAACTAATAAATGAAGTTCAATTTTTATTGAATACTACTTAGTAAACATAATATAATGTATAAAATTAAAATGGGAGGAGGGAAGAAATATAAATTATTATTGGTTGGATAATATATGAAAATGATATAATCATTTACTTTGTCTATTCATGTAGGATTATTAATAGGCTTCTGAATTACCCAATGTCGATTGTTCAAACTATGCGGACTATTAAAGAACTGGCAAATCCATAGCAGATTGAACATATTTCTTTGGTTCTTAATGGAACAGTGAAAAGCATTCAGTAGCACATAGGGTTATCAGTTTTCCTGAAATTTCAGAGCATGATTCACATTCTACCATTTCAGTAGGAACCTTTTTACAAACTAGACAAACAAGTTTATTTTGTAATTTTGCAGGAGGATTACATTTTCTTGGGACATGGAAATTGATCTTAGGCAATAGTTCCATGTCTTGAGGATTGAAACTTCCCATAATATCTGTCACAATTCCGATAGTTGAATATCTTGGCTATGCAGTTTAAAGATTGTGATGTGTTTCTGAAACATTTGGAATATTCTTCATTTTAGCTCTGAGTAATTGTTTAGCTAGAGTAAGTCTGAACTCTAAGAAGTTGATTTGAGAATTTACTTTCTAAATACTTTTAAAAGCAATGAAACTGTTCCAAATGACGATCTCTTACATTTCAGTATAGATGGCTCCATTGACAGTGGCAGAAGAGAATAAACACTTATAGGCATCTGAAAGAGCAGGATATTGTTCTACTAATTTAATGTATTCCTAATAGATGACAACTGCATAACTCTTCTTATCTTGACTGGTGTTTCTGTGGAATCCATCAGCAGTTGAAGCAAAGACCTTGAAATCTGCTTAATTAGGTGTAAGCAATTTAAGTAACATTACATGATTGTTTGTTACAAGTCCATCTTTGAAGTCTATCTTCTACGTTTAAGTAGTTGATGCCAGTATACCACATGAGTATATAGCAAAGAACTCCACCAATATTTGCACTTACTCTAGAGTTAGCAATTCCTGCTGGAAATATAATTTGTGATTCTTGTGCTTATATGGATCCAACATATTAAATATGGTGTTGCTTATGTTTTCTCTAAAACAAAATCGAATAGCTATTATATATTGTGTTTGTACATCCATAAGCAATATACATTCGATTGATCTCCCTTATAAATCTTAGGCTTCAAATAAATTGTTCTTAATTACTGCCAAACATTAACCTGCATCGTGAGATATCCTAAATTTCTTATTCAATTTCTTTGTTAAATAACTGTAGACTTCTCCTTCCACTTTGAATTTCTTCTCAACATCCTCTTATTTCAAATTGTGATATTTTGCTTGAATCATCACCTCATCTCTTAAATTAGTATTTTATTCCAAGAACTTAAACCTACCAACTTTGATTAATTCTCCGATCTTATTACGGAAAGGTAATTTATCATTAAAATAGTCTTCTGGATCAGGCATTCTATTGTACCCCATCAGAATTTTCACTCCAAAATATTCATATATCTAATCCAATTTAAACAGTCTCTTTTTAACATCCTTCTCATGTTGCTCTGAAAAGTGATCCTTCATCTAATCATTAATCATTTTCAAGATGCTCTAAACTATTTGTCTATGAAACAAAGAGTAATAAATGTCCTTTGCATCATTTGTTACTTGCGATTTCCAAAAATTATAAGCATTTCTTTCTCCTTAAAATGGTAACTGCTTTGTCGTTGTGCTTGAAGCATTAATTGATTGCCATTTGCTTTTTGAATAAAAATCTGGATTCTCAGCTAGTTTTTTGCCAACTTGCAATCGCAATTGCTCAGATCTTATAGTTTATCCAGGTGCATGCTCATGTTTCAAAGGTTCTTATTTATCTAATTTGATTGGTGCTGCTGGTATCTAAACTTCACAATCAATTACACTTTAGCTTATCTGATTTTTTTAGTTATTCACTTCCACTACTGCTTGCTATTCATTATTATTATTATTAATTTATTCTTGTTGATTCTAATCTTCAGCGTTCTCTCTATCGTTTTCTTATTCAATATCCATTTATTTTTTAATTATCATTCATTATTATTTTCCATCTCTTTTAAAGATATTATTTTCCAGGAATTTTTAATTATTGTATACAAAATTTTGCTATTTTATTTCCTTAAGCTATTTTCATTTTAAGACCTCAAGACTAAATTCTTCCTATAAACATTACTTAACCAAACCACCTTAACGAATTTTGACAATTATTGAATATTCCAATTATAAGGCATATGATATATATTGATTAAAGCAATCAAATAATTGATTTTTCTGATATTATGAAATCAAATAGACTTCTTTATGCGGATATTTTATTGTATTTGACCATTTCAGAAGTATCACAGTAAAGACAGCCTATAACTTCAGTTGAATTATATTTTATCAGGAATAGATAAAATTTCCATTTTATAATAATTTGAATTAAATATAAAATCAAATAGTAATCTAAAACTTTTGTTCTACACTTTTTTACATTTAAATTAGAACAAATAATTTGATAATGTTATAAACCTTTAAGATATAATAATAGAGGAACATGTTATTGGTTTATTATAACAATTATATTACATTTTAATCTAACCTAATAATATTTCTTATTTATATTTTAATATGAAGCTAATAAAAATAACTTAGATATAAATACAAAAAATAAAATTTTTGTAATAATCCTCCAATTAAATTAATAATCATTAATTCATCTACGATTTAATTTTCTAAAAATCGTTTAACCTCCATTTTCTTCCTTTTCAAATTCTTTAATGATTCCTCTGTTAAATTAACTGCCATTTTAAAACTCACCTTTGTAGACTAAAATTTTTTTGTCCTTCTTGACAATCTCCCACCCCCATATCAACTATCCATATTTAAATATTCCAAATTATAATTTTTCTTAGTTTATTCTCTTAAAACCTTGTCCATGATGCTTACCATTTACTAAGTATCCAATATAGCTTTTTTAATTTTAAATAGTGCCAAATACTTTTAGATATTATAAGTACTTATATTCTACTTTCATGGTTACACTATATTTTTATTAGAAAAAGATTTATATTTCCTTACATAATTCTGATGGTAACATTTCATATCTCAATTTTATTACAGCATATTTGTCCTTACATTTGAATATGAGTGGTGGATATACATAATTGACTCCTCTGATAAATATTTAGACATCTTATTTTCTACTTATTCCAGTATCTATACAGCTGAACAATGTAGTTAAATATTCATTTTTAAGTTTTTCAGATATGGATTCGTATTCTTTAAGCTCTAATAAATATTCTTTTTCCTTTTTCTTAATGAAATTTTGAACCTTCAATCTGGTTCTTAATGCTAAATTAAAGGGGAATTCTTCAGCGCCATATATTTCTTTTTGCTATTTCTTCTTTTCAAGAATATTTTGATATTATGGTAAAGTTTTTAAATAATGAAATGAAATTATCTTTAATTACTCATTTTTCAACATAACAGGGACATTAGCTTCTATTTTAAGTTCTTTTTTTCTTAATTTGATCAAATCAGCTATTTTTTCAGGTGAGAAGTATGGCTTTGCTTAATTATTTGTATTTTATTTAGTTTATTCTTAAGGAATTTAAAATTGTTTCTTCCATTAAATTATAGTAGCTTCTTTTAGATTATAATAATAAATTATATCTTCTTCTGGCGGTTCCATTTCATAATTATAAAAATATAATAGAGCACACTCCCTATTTTATACTGGAAATATATTTTCTTTAAGCTTCTCAATGTTATTATTATGACTTTGTTGTATGGTTTCATTTTCACTTGGTGCTCTCGAAGAGAATTCCTTCAGCAAATTATTTAGATCATTCAAATAGGATTAAACTTCTTTAAGATCAAGTTGAATTAAAATATGAAAATCCAAAACATACTTAAGTTTTTCTTCATTTGTTGATTCTTAAAATTTTTTTAATTCAGGATGTATTTATTTTTGTACTACTTGGAGAAATTTATCCATTGCTTAACCAGTCTCATATTTAGCGACCTTTGCTTAACAAGTCACAGAGTATGAGGGAAGTCCATTCGGTTATGGATTTACTACTGGATTATTCGTTTATGGATCTAAATTTTCGGGTAATATTACAGAAATTAGCTAAGAAGACAGATAATTTTGTTGGAATATTTAAGAAATATTTAACCGCACATTTAATTTATTTTTTGTTTATTCTATTATTTCTTGTTATTATACTTCAGGATAAAACAGCATCTCTAATCTTTTACCTAATAATTGATCTATTTTAGTTATTCCCTGAATTTTTTATTTTAATTCATTTGTATCGAAAGCATAATATGTATTAATATCTGGATTCATAAAATCTTTAGGATAAAATATTTGAATAATAATGACTCCAATGGCCCAAGAATCTAAATTAAAGGAATTTTAAGGAACATTCAGAACATCTTCAAATTATTTTTATCTTTCAATCGCACTTTTTAGTTCATCAAACTCATACCTTCTCATATCATAATCTGAATAATTTTTAATTAATTCTAATATTATTTTAGGATTATAAAAATAATATTCTTTCTGCCAATTTTATTCTTTCTTACTATTAAATTATTAAATATAATTCTAATGAAATGTTCTATTACTCCCAAAATCTGAAAGCAAAATTTAACCATCATAATAGAATACATTATTAGGTTTTATATTTTGATGCCAAACCTTATTTTTTCTCAATTGTTGATAAATGTCGAATAGTTTATTACTCAGATCTATTCTATTTATTTCACACCCCCGATTCTGCTAATTTTTGATATATTTGAATATTTGAGCACATTGTTAATCATTGTAATATGCAATCATTACAGTTTCTCTGTTCTTTCCTTAACTTGTGAATATAGTAAAATTTTTGATTCTTAAAACCCACTCGGGATTATTATTATAAAGGGTTTTTTGGATTTGAATTTCTTTTCTAATTTCTTTTATAAAATAATCTTTGTATTCTCCTTAAATCCTTCTTTTCTTAATCCAAACTGTTTCATTTCTTTTTTCGCTTATATATTATTTGGTAAATGGTTAATCATTCAAGTTTAGCTTTTGGAAAGGCTTATATTAGGAATAGAATTAATCTTTAGTCAATTCAAAATCCATAAAAATATTATTAAATTATTCTATTAATAGAGATACATAATTGATATTCAATTAAAGATATCTAATTAATTATATCATCATTATGATAGGTTTATACGTTCGTATACAAGAAAACCTAAATTATTATAATAAAATAATCATGAGCTTAAAAACAAATGAATTCAATTTCTAATTTAATAAAATTAATGTTAAGCATAACTAAATTAATCAAAATAATTCTAATTTTAATGAGCAACTCTTGAACTTAATTAAAAATAATTAAGAATCATATTCTATATCAATTCATTTAGAAAAGAGCCTTGTTGGCTGCTATAAAGGAATAGGAATAGGATATAGTTAAATAAATTGTAATACTTAAATTAATAAACTTTTAAGATTTTAGAGGTTGATAATTTGAGTAATTCATTTAATCATGCAACCTACATATAGAAATTGATTGAGAATAATCTCATCATTATTATTTTTTAGTTTTAGATATACCATAATTCCTTTCCAGGTAATCTATAGTGGGAGTTGTAAGAAGAGCTTGGCAAAAGTAAGCTATAATTCTAGCTTGCCATCCTGCATATAAACCTGCAAGACCGTAATTTTGATACACAATCTTAAAAGACTAATACAAAGAAATTTTTCTATAATTTTGGTTTTCTTCCATTTACACTAAGGTTTTGATTGTATCGAAAGGATGCACTGAATTAATTCAAGAATCATACCTGCTAAGATGTTCAGAATGCTACTCAATGTTGAAGCAATCAGTGAATTAACTATTGAGAGAGGTTGTCCAGGATCTGCTTTTAATGCATAACGGACTTTGTGATCCCAATACAAATAGTTTGTCCATGAGACTACTTGTCTTGTTGTTTGAATTCTAAATCCTACATAAATAGATTCGAATGTTATGTATTTAAGATAACCAAACCCTGTAGCCATGGAGGTCATCTTCAATGTTTTCAATCTCTCAAAGGGTGTAATAATGCAACTTTCAAATAGACCAATGCTTGCTCCTGTGATTATTTTGTTTATTGATTGGTTGTGGATGTGATCATTCAACATGGAAGGAATGAAAATCATCATAGGCCATCTATAGTATTGTTTAACCATATTTCTAAGAAAGCTCGGGTAGAAGCCGTCATACAAACCAATCAACCCTCTTGCTCCTTTGATGTCCAAGTAACTCTAAAGTTTAAGATCTATTATTATACTTATATATAAGTTATTCCTTATTTGGATTGCTTATAGGTCTTGATTCTGTCCAACACATGTTCCAAGGGCATTGTTAATGCAACTCTAAACGCTCCAATGACTTAGGTTTCAATTAAGGCTTTAATGTAATCTCCCATTAATGAGAAAAAGGTAAATTCTTTAAATAAAAATTTAACTATGGATCAGATTAATTTAGCTTTTATATGAAACAACTTTATTGCAAAAAAGAGAGAGTTTCTGAAAGTGATTAATATCAATTTACACTTATAACACCATTCTATAACTACACTTCATATAATAATTTAATAAATTATAAATATGTTCCTACTCATTTATATTTAATTTGCATTTGCTCTTTAAGATTGCTAATAATAATATTAAGATTGTTTTAATCAAGATAATTGTATCATAAAAGATTGTGAAGCTCAACTATTTGTATAAACTACATGGAACTTTTAAAATATTACTATGAAAAATGTTGTTTTCAACATAGAAAATCATTAATCTTCTGTTGAAGAATACTCTATAACAGCCTAAATTATGACTATAGAATCTTCGACATTTTAATAAAACATGGGAGAATACTTTGTAGATTTAGCATTTCAGGGATAAGACATCATACTTTAAGATATAGACTTTGTAATATTCGAGAAAGTTTAATTTACAGCAAAAACTCTATTATTATAGGATGTTGTAATGAATACCAATTTTCTAATGATGTATTCTGATTATGTTGAATTGGAAAACTCCTTAATATAATGCCATTTTTTAAAGTGTCTTGGTGCCGATTGTCTGTGTAATTAAGGCTACTGTAATAAAAATTCGATTGGAGAAATAAAACCATTTAAGAGAATTCCAATTAACTTAGAAGAGAATTTCACTCTTGGCATTGCTGCAGATGAAGTACTGTTACAAAACACATAAATATTTGGAAGTAGTATTGGTATTTATGCGAATAAATCTAATATAACCGTTGATTCTAAATCTATTGTTTATGCATCTGGTTTAGGATGCAAGGAATAATAAGGATACGGGTGTGGATTTTATGATTGGATGTTATCCTACACTCTGAAATGTGGATCTTCTGGAGGGAGCCATGGTGGCTTTGGTGGAAGACCCAAGTCATAAGTGATTGATTTTTATGAATAATGCAAAAAGTTAGTCCCTAGAGAAGCATATGGAAATCCTTTTAATCCATTATTTGAGGGATCTGGAGGAGGAGGAAACTACTTTGGAGGATATGGGGGAGGAGTTATATATTTTTAGAGTGTCAATATTATAATAGATGGAACAATTGAAACTAATGGGGAATCTTCTTAAAGAGATGATTCTATTATCTATGGTGGGGGGTCTGGTGGATCAATTTAGTTTAGAGGCAAACTTTTTGGAAGAGGACTTGTATCAGCTGAAGGCGGTGAAGGATCAACAATTAGTGGCAAAGGAAGTGGAGGCAGAATATTTTTTGATGACCCAATGAATCATAATCTGAAAATAACTACAGGGTCTAATTCTTCATAGGGATCTATATATTATAATGAGTGTCCTTAAGGATTTGGAATAATTAGATAAAATTCAAGGTGTACTTAATGTCCGTCAGGGTTTTATACTTATTTGTCTAGTGTTGGAGAATGTAAAAGATGTATTAATTATGATGATGATGTTCATATTTATGAATAATCAATTAGTCCAATATGTAAAATATAGTCATGTAAATCTGGGAAAATACTTGATAAACAATAATGTGTTGTATATAATTTTGTTAGGTAATCTGGAGGTGAAAATGTTTTATTTGGCATCACTTTTTTTATTGGATTGTTGGTCGTAAACTTTATTATATTCCTGTGTTTATAAAAGCGAATCTCGAATCATAAGGTTAACTAAACTACTATTATATCCTTCTCTGACCTCTAAGAAAATCCCAATTTATACGAAGCAGCATCAGAAGATCCAAGATTTCTCCCTGAAGATCTTCCTTACTACGTTAGAAGGCTATATATTTAAGGCAACAACACTCCTAATACTCCATGGCATCTATCTCTACATACTCAACTTGATCAATAGGATATCAATAATATAGTTTGGAATATTAACTCCATTGGATAATACACAAAATGGCAATAAATTTCGTTAGTATTCTTAAAGATTTGGTACTTCCCCTTTTACTTTATATTATTAAAGTATTATCAAAAGAAAAAATCTAAGCAGATCTTCAGCTTTATGCAAAAGAATAATAGATTTAGTATTTATTGTCTGAAACTATCTTGTAGTTCAGATTACACTTTAGCCTACATAGATGTTTTAAATTACAATAATAACATCTTAGATTGGAACAAGTCCACTCAATTTCCAATTTCCTTAGTATTGCAAGGAGATGGAGATTTCTTATTTCCTTGGTAAATCAATTTAAAGGATCCCTTGGTAAAATCCATGAAGATGTCATTTGAGAAGTAGAAGATTTTTATGCCAATAGATGACGGTGATTCAGATGGATTATTATCTGAAAATGATGAAGAGGAAATACATACCTTTGATGAATTCATAACAAAATTCAACTTATTAATGTTGCAAATAGATATTAGAAAGGGAAATGCAGAATTCATTAAAAACTGTTTTTCTTTATTCGAATTTATCGATGAAAGCAATAGTGAGATTTTCAACAAAAAGCAAATCTTATTGGATATATGTTTTCACATTTTAGGATTTCAATAATCTTCCTTAATCATATTGACTACTTAAAAGCTTCTCGATTTCCAATAGACTTTGAGAGAACTCCATTATATAGTGAATTACAAATCAGAATATTAGATTAAAGTATCAGTTAATTTTGAAAAATAAGATTTTAATGTCAAGAGATATTATGATAACCAAATTGTAATTAATACGATCAATGATATAAACAAACAAATAACAACCTATTAAAGGTATGAGGAAGACAAAGAGGAATTGAACAATCTCAAAATGTAAATGCAAAGAAAAATAGAGGCTGATGGAATACTCACTCCATTAATAGCTTAAAAGTAGGACGCAGAGGAAGAAGAAGATAATCATTTATAAAAGAATAATAAGTGTACTATATTGTGGGTTAGAATTATAAGATTCATAACAATCACATTTTCTTATTTTCTACGTTACAGAGACTTTAAAAATGAGAGAATGTTGACATCACTTTTGGTTGTGCTATGCATAGTTCAAATTACACTTTATGTGATATATGTATTAGAGTTGATAGTTGATGTTTTTGATACAACATATTTAGATTAACAATACTTTTATACCTTTTACGTTGTCGAAGCAATAGTGCAAATAAGCTTGTTCCCCTTCTCATAACTAATTACTGAAATAGTATTGGTAATTTGGGTAAGAGTATTAATTTTATGTGTAGTTATTGAATCCGTAGAAGAAGCATTTTGGAAAGAACTTTTTAATATTTAACTTCTGTTCCACCATCAACAATCTGATTTTATCAATATTTGCCATCATAGAATTTGCTATAATTACCATATAGAATTTAGAATCAGACTATTACTTCTTTGCATCGATTAAGCTAATTCTATTTTTGATCCAAAGTGTACAAGGGTATTTGGGAACTAAGTATTTAACTCTCTGAATGCATTACTTAATGAAATGAATAATAATTAAATATTATACAATTTATTATAATTCTAGACAATATTATTCAGGCTATTCTATTTTCAATAATTTAAATTAAAAATTATGCAAGTAGAACCTTATATAAATTCTGTGGTGAAGTCACTAGATAACAGCGCTCTCATAAATGCAAAGCTAAAGAGAAGGAAATAGCAGAATATCTATTATGACAATGATGGACTCACTGTGAAGTATACTCCGAACTAAGAAACTCACGAACTTGCTTGTTTGTAAACAGATTAAGTTATCACTTCTTCATTCTATTATTTCGAAGTTAAAATCCTGAAAAAAATGAACAACAAGAAGTAATTTTGATGCTTAAATTCAGTGTGATATCCATAGGGTTGGCATTTGATAATTATCTAGTAAATATGCCTTTGGGAGTCTTTAGTGGGAGCATAGGGTATTAATCAGATGGAAAAGTAATTGTTCAAAAAAAAGAGATTGATTTAAAAATGAATCCATACAAATAAGATGATGTTGTAGGGTGTGGAATTTATAAATCGGTAGTCTTCTTTACTCACAATGGAATTCGAAGTTTGCAAACAGTCAAAATCGATATTAAAGAACCCTTATACCCAACTGTAGTTTGTGGAGATCTTGTGGTTTTGCAATTCAACTTAGGAGCAAGTCCTATGATTTATGACTATAAGAAAATGTAAGTGAAGGAATAGCAGGATATCATCCAGTAAATAGATAAACAAGATGTTTCCCCTTACAGTCTTCATCTCATCATATAAGAATATCTGTGGAGCCAAGGTTACATGAATTCTTTGAAGCAATTTGAGAGAGAGAGTTCTCTTGAAGAAAACCAGAGTATGAGATTTGAAAAACAACCAGAGGAAATGACATATGAGGAAGAATAGTAATTAGAAGGGGAGTTAAAGAGAAAGCAAAGTCTGCAAATGACGCCGATGTCTGCTTTACAAAGAAAATTAAGTGGATTGCAGAGTCCTAATCTTTAATAGATCTCATCGATTGAGAGGAAGGTCAGTGGATTTTAGTTAGATGAGTAGGAAAACAACAATGAATTTAATTAAATAGCAGAATAGGCTTTTTTGAAAGATCAGCTAGTTAATTAAGAAAGAATAAGTATGTAAGTTATTTAAACCAGAAATCCAGAAACTCATTCGAGAAGGCATGATAGGCGATGTTATTGTAATACTAAATGAAATGATGCCTGAATTTTTAAAAAAGGAAGGAATCAGACAAACTCTCTATGCCTAATAGTTTATTGAATTAAGTATTCTCATGTATCAATTTTTTAGTGAAAAGGGACAGAGTCTAAGAAGCTATAGAGTTGGGACAATTGCATTTGAGCCAGCATCTACATTTCCAAATAGAAAGTGTTGATGAGAAGTTGAACCCCATTGAAATCAAAATAGAAAACATATTGGGATTGATATGTTATGATGACATAGGAAGCAGTGCTCTGAGAGGACTTACTAGTTAATAATAAAGAGAAAGGGTTTGTGAGTACATCAACAGATGCTTGTTAAGTAATTATAGGAAATTCTAATTAATTTTAGTTGAATTGGGATATGAAGATGAATCAGCATTGGAGATATGTCTTAAGTAATTGAGTTAGGTTTGTGATGAAATTTAGACAAGAGGTTTGCTTGGTGGTCAGAGTGTCTAGTTTTTATGATGAAATTATTATTTTATTTTTTAGAATTTCAATACTAATTTTCAAGTATTAAAGTATAATATTTAATTGAGTGATGGTTAATTGTCCATTCTTGATTTTGGATTGCTAATTAAAAACTTGTTAAAATAAATATTATTATTTAATATAACAAAAATTCTTGATGGGGGCTAATTGCTAATCTTGCTGTGCAAATAAGGAGAATGACATTACAGAAATAAAATTGACTTAAGACAAAGCAAAGCCCAAGTCCAATAAATAAGATAATGACTAAAAAAAAGAGGAAGTTAAGGTTTAAGTAAAAGAACATGAAAGATTTACGATTGATTAAGAATAATAAAAATAAAAGAAAGATACGAAAAAAGAACAAAAAAAAGAATCAGCTAAGGAAGTTACACCCAAGAATGCTGATGAAAATTCAAAAAAATCATAAGAATAAGATAAATAATTAAATATTTCAGCAAACCATTCAGTTAGTATGAATGTAGCAAGCAACCAAGAGGGAAATGATCTAATCAAAAGTACTATGAATTGCACTGAGAGAAAGAAGTTACCTCCGATACAACTAGAGTCAGGAGCAGTCTATGAAGGGGAGTGGAAAAATGGCATGAGAGATGGATATGGAAAATAAAGATGGCCAGATGGTTCAGTTTATGAGGGAGAATGGGTTGAGGACAAGTCTTCAGGAAGAGTATCTATTAAACTACTACATTTAGGGTAAATTGACACATGCAGATGGAGATGTTTATGATGGAGAGTGGAAAAATGATAAGGCTAATGGAAAAGGAACATATATTCATGTGAATGGTGCTAAATATGAAGGAGAGGTAAATTTAAGTTCTATCTCTAGTGGGAAAATGACAAACAACATGGTCGAGGAGTAGAAAATTGGCCAGATGGAGCTAAATATGAAGGTCAATATTTCGAAGGGAAGAAACATGGAAATGGTATCTTGAATTTTGCTGATGGTTCACGATATGATGGTATCAATTTGTACTATTCTTTAAGGCGAGTTTCTATAAAATGACATCCATGGAGAGGGAACCTACATATGGCCAGATAAAAGAGTCTATAAAGGGTAGTGGAAGAAGAACAAAATGCATGGAAAAGGACAGATCATCTGGTAGGATGGTCGTAAATATACTGGTGTAATGAATTTCATCTATTTTAGGAATATGAAGAAGATAAGAAACATGGTAAGGGTGTCTTTGAATGGGCTGATGGCAGAAAATACATAGGAACTTGGATATAGGGTAAGAGGATTATGCAATTGTTTTAGGAAGATAACATGGAATTGGAATCTATTACTTATAAAATAAGGAAGTCAAAGTTGGAGAATGGAACGAAGGAAAAAGAATCAAATGGTTTGAAAAGAATGAAATTGATTAGTTAATTCAAGAATAAAAAATCAAGAGAGAGGACTTGCATTAATAGGATTGATTTACATAACTATAATTTTATCTTAATCTTTTAGTTTTTATAAATAACATTATATTATATTGCTTGTCACAATAGACTTGATTATGATTTCTTATCTATTTTATTATAATTCACATAATTTCAAATCCAAATATTCTGATATATTATTATATTAAAATTAGTTTAAATGGCTAACAGAGAATATGATTATTTGTTCAAATTAGTTATTATAGGCAACAGTGGAGTCGGAAAGTCTGCTCTTTTATTACGATTTGCAGATGATACCTTTAGTGAAAACTACATTACAACCATTGGAGTTGATTTTAGATTCAAAACATTAAAAGTAGATAATAAAGGCTTAAAATTGCAAATATGGGATACTGCTGGATAAGAGAGATTTAGAACAATTACTAATGCTTATTATAAAGGAGCTGATGCGTAATTTGTATATAAATCAAAATTAGAATTGTTATTGTCTATGACACAACATGTTAACAGTCCTTTGATGACATTGAAAAGTTTTGGTTGAATGAAATCGAGAGTTATGCTGAAAAAAATGCAGAACTCTTGTTATTGGGAAACAAATCAGATTTAAGTACAAAATAGGTTTCAAGTGAAAGAGTTCAAGAATATGCTCAAAAAAGAAACATGATGTTCTTTGAAACTAGTGCTAAGACTGCTGATGGAGTAGAAGAAGCCTTCAAAAAAATGGCTATCAAATTAATGGCTAAAAGAGATTAACAAGTTTAAGAAAAAAAAAATAAAAGAAAATAATAAAGAGTAAATAATCAATTTGAATTATTAGTAATCCTCGTCATCATCACAAAGAACAGAAGATCTTTCAAACTCTAGTGAAAGGAAATAAGAAGAAGAACCAAAAAATGTTAACTTGTGGTCAAAACAGACTACAGAAAAGGCCAAATAAGATTAGTAATGCTAATGTTGAATATAAAAATCAATCTGTTAAATTAAAATATTTTTATGTATATTAATGCACAGATTCAAATATATTGAACAGTAACTTAGAGTGCTTTATTGGGGAAGCCTAAAATTTGTAGGTTCAAACTCACCCCTAGAATCATGAATATTGATAAAATCTCAGGAGGTGATTGCCATTGATAAAAAGATTCTTTAATTAATTTAATTTCATTAGTGGTTGTATCATTAAATTGATTTAATTAATGCTTTAATTCTAACTTAAATAAGCTCAATGAATAAGATTCTTTAATTATATAATGTCTTACAAAAAGAATAAACAATCTAATTTTAGCCTCCTTTTTGTAACAAGTTATTAAAAAACGGCATAAAAAATTTGGAAAGTTATCAAAAATTTCTTAGAGTTTGCATTACAAATATTCTTTTTTGAATCAGAATTATAAAGAAAAGTATAAATGTGAAATTTAGAATCATTATATCTTTGAGATCTGTGGATTTACCCATTCTAAATTAGGTTTCTAATTTATCAACTTTTAAACTAGTTTTCCAATGGCAATCGCAGGCTCTTTCTGATTGAATTGACAGTGTACAATATTTAGATTAAATTTCACCTTTTTCTTATCATCTTTTCTTTAGTCATTTCTCTCATTCTTATTATATGGAGTTTCTTGTAGAGAGTTATTGGTTTATGATAAAAATTTATTATTAAAGTCATCAGTACATTGAGTGTCGTCAATATCATGATTTTGATAAGATTCTAGAGGTTACATAAAGATCGGTTTAGGTCCAATCAGAGGACTTGAATTTAATTAGATCATATAATTATTTTTTCTTATAAAAAGAACTAAATATATATTCAAATCAGCACTAAATAATTGATGGGTTAACCCATTTCATAGAAGACTAAATTTTGAGTGATTGCAAAGACTTGGAGATTGATTTAACAGGATCTGATTAAGAAAAATATAACACTGCGATATCTTCATTAAATCTAATAGTTTTTTTTATGTGATTGATAATTTATTATGATTGATATTGGGTAGTGTAATTTTAAGATTATTCCATTTCATCTTCAACCAAAGTTCTGGTCAATAGCGATAGAGGTACAAAATCAGTTAAATGTGGCCCTATCACATCACCCATATTTTTTTAATAATTTTATTTTAACTAATAAAAAAGGAATGTGAAAATTCAAAAATGTAACAATTAAATAAGTTTGTTTAAAGTTTCCTGATATGTATTCCAGTCCCCACTTAAATGATGACCTTTCAACAAGTATAAGTTATCACAATTCTAAATCTATCTAATAGAAATTTCAAATTTAATATTGAGATTAAATTAGCATATTATATCATAAGGATCATTGTGCTATTGAATATGAACAAATACACTACTTGTAAGATCTTGATCTGCATTTAATTCATGGATTTCTTCAAATCTTCAACCAACCTATCCGGATCTCTATTGGTAGTACACTTCAAATTGAAGGCTCCCTTATGTATTTTTAAAACAGGAGGTTTAGGCTTCACTGAAATAGTATAGTCAGAAATAGCACTGATAGCACGATCTCTTCCTGAAAACTACTTTCATTCTGAAACATTACTTTGATTTTATTTTTATCTAAAGAGAAGGAGTCTTCAGTTTATTTTCTGTTAGTGGATATGGGAGTATTGCCATTGGTACCAACACTGGATATTGAATTATTGACAACTTGGGTAATGACTTTCATTTAAGGTGGAATTAATGGTTTAGTTTAAGGTCTTCTTACAATCTCTCTTTTTAATAATACCACATGCTATTTAGGGGAATCAGGTTTAGTATTTTATTTTAATGGTTAAGGCGAAGGAGATTGTTGTCGAGTATTATTGATGGAAGTGATAATTCTATGTTAAGGAGATTACCCATTGCTAGTATGTTACCTCTGTTTTGATGTAGTATTGGAATCAGGGATGGATGTATTCAGTCCATAAGACAACGCAAGGGGATCATCTGATTCCTTTTTAAAGTAATTAAATGTTCTATTTCTTTTATTTTTTTGAATCTGTAAATAATAAAGAGTTGTTATATTGTCATGTCTATTCTTTTTAACTTTTTTCCTGCATTCAGTAGGATCAACACCATACAATGTTTTTAATTACTCTACTACTATTTCATCAACAGCAATATTATCATTTCCTATCAGATTGTATTATTCGTCAATTCTCACTTATTTAGCCCATTTGTGACCTTTGATTTGAGGGATCGTAAATCTTTATTTGGGATTGGTATTTAGAATGCTTTTGAGCAAATCTTTAGCATCAGTCGATAACCATTTAGGGAATGTCAATTCACAAGCAATAATCTTTTTGTATAACTAATTAGTGTTTTAATCCTCGAATGGTAAGTAACCACAAAGCATTGCATACAAAACTATGCCACAACTCCAAATGTCTATCAAATAACCTGAATATTTCAAGCCTTGTATCATTTCAGGTGCAGCATAACAAGGACTTCCGCATGCTGTCTTTAATAATTCATTGGGCTTATAAGTGTTAGATAACCCAAAATCCACTATTTTAATATTCTAATTTTAGTCGAATAAGAGATTTTCAGGTTTCAAATCTCGATGAACAATCCCAATCCTATGTATGTATTCTACTCCTGAGAGGATTTCTAATAAAAATTTGCATGCTTTTTTCTCTTGGATTCTTTGATTCTTGGTTATATATTCAAACAATTCTCCTCCACTTGCATATTCCATTATTAGATAGATTTCTTTATCTGTATCTATGATTTCATAAATTTATATTATATGTGGATGTCTTAATTTTTTTAGGATCTCAATCTCCTTAGCTATACGATAGACATCACTATCATCCTAAAATTTTGCTTTTTCTAAGATTTTCACAGCCACCTAATTGTATGAAATATGAAAAAAACTTTTTCACCAGTCTACAAATGAGTACCAATTTTCACTTTTCCAAATGTACCTTCTCCTATTGTATTTCCAAGAGTATAATTACCGAGAGTGGATTCTTACATATTTATATACTGTTATAATTAATATAATAAATTATTATGGGCAATATAGAGAGTGAAGAAGAAGAAACACTCCCAGAATTAAAATCGATGAAATTTATTGTGAACCAAGGGACTTACAAGGTTTATCAAAATCTTCAAAATAATAAATTTTACGATTTCTGGTTCTTAAAATCAAGTGATCAGACTTTTGAAGTAGAAATAGAAATAGCAAATCGAATTAAAAAAGAAAATCTATCAGGAGTTGCTTAAGTACATACTATCCAACGAAACACAAAACAAACACTTTTTACAAAGTATTACTGTTTGAATCTTCTAACAGAGCATCCTGCCTATACACTTAAAGAGTATTTATAAAAAAAAGCTAAAAATTAATGCTTAACTCCTGAACAAATCACTGATCTCTTCGTAGCCATCACTAATGCATAATACATGCTAGGTTCAAAGAAACAATATGTGGGATTTGAAAATATCTATACTGATGATGGAAGAATTTGGAAAATCAAACCCTTTCTTAAAACTACTTCATTCTATTAAGAGTTATTACAATATAAGTCTAAAAATATAGTCTCATTTGAGATGTCTGGATTCCCTTCACCTGAAGAATTCCACTAAATCAACTGCGATATAGATAGAGTTTAAATTTTTGGCCTAGGCATGCTCTTATTAGAACTAATCACAAGTATTATTCATATCTTATCTATAGAAAAGAAAAGCAAGGACATTTATTAGAAATATACAATTGATGAAGCACTCTTGTAGGAAAGAATAAACAGTTTACAAGCAGAAAAAAAAAAATATCGTGGAAGATTGATTGAAATTATGATTGACACTCTAGACCTTGATTTGGTGAGAAGACCCAACTATCGCTAATTATCGACCTTTTTGAACTCGCCAGAGTCGAAAATTCATTCTGAATTTATTAGTTCTGAAATTCAACCCATAGATCAAAAGATGCCTGTAAATTATAACTCATTCAATCCCCCAGAGAGTCAAATTTCGGAAGCAAACATTGCTCTTCAATATTCCAGGGTTGAACAGTTATTAAACAGTAAAATTACTGATCATAGAATAAGAAAAAGTTTGCAACCAAAACAGAATTAATCTACTTTAATTACTCAGAATTACAATTATTATGGTCCTTTACTCAATGGCTAATATCATGGACAAGGTAATTAGATATTTTAAAATAATTTAGGTAAACTTTTTACAAAGTCAAATATGCTAGTCTATGAAGGAGAGTTCTGTGAAGGAAATTACCATAATTTTGGAACATTAAAATACTTAGATACAGTTTCTTTGAAAGAAAATTTCAATTACAAGGACTGCACTAATATAGAGAAATATGCTCTTAGCTATGAAGGGTGCTTTAATCATAACGCGTAACATTATCATATTTAATATAGAAAACATGGAGAAGGTAGATTAACCTTAACAAATGGAGAAGTCTTTGCCGGTTCTTTTGTCAATAATGTTATTGATGGTTATGGTGCATTTCAACCTAATAATCATTAAAAAGTAATAGGAATCTGGAAGGATGGCATATTTTAATCTAATCCCTCATAACTTCAATCCTTCCATAATTTAAATGTTGGGGCCTCTGAGAATTTCAGCTAATCAGAACAAAAGGGAAGATAAGAATTAGAATCTTAAGACTTATTCAACTATTAAGATCAAAAAAATCCCTCAGACATCTATGACAATAATTTACCGAAATTATATTATGATGATTAGAAAACAATGATTAAATATGTAGGTGAATTGAATCAAGGTAAAATGGATGGTTAAGGCAAATTATTTTTTATGAATGGGGATACTAAATATGTTGGAGACTTTGAAAACGATTTATTTAATGGCTTTGGGACTTTGTATAATGAAAACCCAGTTTTTTAGTATGAAATTAACTACTAATAATTTGGAGAGGTATAATCTAAAGGTTACTGGAGATATTATTAGGGCACATTTTCAAATGGACTGTAATTTATCTAATTTTATTCTTAGTAAAAGTGGTATAGGAACTTGGTATTTTACTAATAACAGTGAGTTTGAAGGTCTTTTTGAGAATGATCTTCCTCATGGTTAAGGAGTTTTAAGAAGAGGAGACAATCATGAAGTTTTAAATGCGGAGTGGAAACATGGGCAACTATAGGGAAAGTTATGAAATAATAGTATATCAATTATGAGTGAGTTTATATAAAGTTTTATTTTTCTAAAATGTATCAGTCCTTTATTGAAGATTGCACATTAATTAATCATTTATTCATTTTCCATATTGAAATTGTTTTCAGCTTTAATCAATTTTCATTAGAATAATTTTTCATTGCAAATACAATAACTAATTAAGGTTTATGTTTATTAATTTCTAAATTTAAATTTTCCAATAGTTTGGAATGTATCTGGCAATAAAATTCTAGTAATTTCTATTTGATAATGAAACACTCTATACTAATTTATCAAAGATTATCCACTTAACTCAAAATTCATTGAATAAATTCATAAAGTCATAAAACTATATCATTAGGTGATGATATCTTATTTATTCATATTATTATGATTGTCCCTATTAAATTTTCTTCTAAAAGTGTTGATATATGTTAAAAGAAAATCTCAAACCTAATCAAAATTTAAGATATGAATTAGTAAAATCAGCTATTTCTTATAGGATCCTCCACTTCAAGGTTTTCTAAATACCCAAACACTTTAGTATTAAAATACTTGACTTCTATAAGAGCTTGGTTAATTTCAAATATTACTTTTGACTAAAATAACAATTCTCTTGGTGATTCATGTTATATTAATCTACATTTAGTTTGTTTTCATATTTATAAATTTTATTAATAATTATTAAACCCACAAATGTCATTAATAGATTATATAGAGGATGATTAGACTTACTAATTTACTAAATATCTAAACCTGGTAAAGGTATGCTGATGACTAATCCTATTAGACTGAATAAGATAAGCAACTTTTTGATAGATTTGCATATGGAGTTTGTGATCCGTCAATTAAGTATCCAAATGAGAAATAAAAAAAGAAAATGATTATACTTACCATTCTATAATTGTGTTAGAGGTTATCAATAATAATATTATAGAAATAAATGTGTGACTTTTGATAGTATTTAGCAAGCTTGTTTTTTAAATTCTCAAGCTGAGATTGAATAGTTATTAATTGATCTCATTCAAAAAGAATTGATTATTGGCACTATAGATGATCAGAAAGGATGCTTAAATATCTAAAGATGCATCAGCAGAGATGTTAGAAAGTCTGATATTCCAGCTATGAAGAAGTAGATTGAAACCATGTACGAGAGAGTAAAACATTTGAAACAATAGTTAAAATAATAATGAACGGAATTTATTTTAATAATTAAAGAAATTGTGAATGTGCCAGATTACTTTCGATTTATTATTAAATGTACGGTATTATAATCGTAAACAAATCAATTGATGTTAAGCTTAGTTCTTCTCCAGTGTCTACGCTTTGAATTATATCTATAATGAGACTAAGATTCAATCATTACCTGATTGTGTTATCAGTTCTATATCTAAACCAATTTGGAAGAGGTCTATTTTGCTTATTTGCTTTGATCAATCTCTTCTTCATTCTCAATGATTTGTGTGCTCCCTAAAATAAACATAAGTGAAACTCATTACCATTTTAAATCTTTTTTTTAATTTATTTAATATTTTTCTTTTGTATACAATATTCAATTATTATGTTTAGAAATGAGACTTCATGAATTACATCCTAAAACCTAAAGAATTTATGTATATTTTATATCGTAGATAAAGTATTATGAAATAAAGAGAAAATACTAATATTACGGAATATTTTTAGTATTATTTAGTTTATTATGTAGTGAACATTCATAACTTGTGGACTTCCATTTAATTTATATGAAAATCATAAATAATAGAAAGCAATGAAGTTGACTTAATAGATAATTTCAAAAATTAATAGTGTTTTTTTAAATAGATAATACATTTTGATTCAAAGTTCTATTTTTACCCTTTGATTATTTGCTTCAAAAACAATAGAATCCTCATCTTAAAGGGAATTTTATAAAAGTTGAATAATAATTTTTATTCAATCAAAATAATCCTAAGATCATCTGAATTTTCTTCCTCTTTAGAATACTTATTCCAATCTGATTTTATATTAATCCTAACAGAATATGACTTGAATTACTTTAGCTAAACTTTCCTAAATTTGAAAATATATCTGATTAAGGAAAGGTAACATCATGTTATTTTGATAAGCCTAACTTAAGTTACATTATTACCAATATTCTAATTCCTTTAAATATCTAGTAATTCCTTATTCTTTTTCAGGGTTAATCAATTTAATCTTACTCCTTCTTTGACCTTTTAGGATAAACGATTAAAAATGGACTATTTAGATGAATGAGATATTAATTATTTTATATCCGCCATATTCTTGAGCACTTCATATCAATCTATGATTATACTTAATTATTATCATTTATAAATTGTACTTAAGCAGATGATCAGAATATTATTTTTCATATTTAAATAAAACCCGTTTCATCAGAATTAATTATGCAAATCTTAGAAAATTCAGATTCAATAGTGAGTGATGACCAATCCTTGGAATTAGATTGCAGAATAATTGTGCCAAAGTTTAAGTAAGAGGAATATGATACTTTCTAAACTGAAATCTATTCTTCTGTCATTACAAGGGTGATGTAAATGAGATCTAATTCACAAGAATTCAAATTTAAGTAGCCCAATTAAAGTAGCCCACAAGGTTCCTAAAATTCCACTTAAAAACAAATTTAATGCACTCTACTCAATGAAAATGAATACTCAAATAAATTGAGTGTCAAGTTAAACCTCTAACAAGAATACGGAATAAAAAATGGGCGTATATCGAAATAGAAAGACAAAGCTCCTCAAAGTCCTGGAGGTTCAGTAGAAGGTATCAATCATTCTAAGACTCCCTAAAAGGAGGATTGGAATGCAATTAAAATGTCAACCAAATAAATTCAACCTAATAAGAAACAACCTTAAATTAGATAAAATAAACGATAGTTAAGTTAAACTTTTAAAAGTTGTTCTGTAGAAGTATCACCCATTAAAATATCACGATTTTCTTAAAGATAAATTTACGTGACATAATTGGTCAACACTTATTAAGAACCTTTATAAGAGAAACTTAGCCTTGTATAATTAGAAAACAATGAGAAAATAAGTAAAATTTCTCATAGTCCATACACAAGTAAGACTAGGACTGTTAAGAATTGTGTTTAAAATACCTAAATAAAAGGAATACTAAAGAGTAAATCATGTAATAGTGAAGGAGGAAAGAGAAGAAAAAATACATCTTAGGACTCTCATAATTAGAAATCAAAATTTTTTAAAAAGGTTACGTTTAATTCTGGCAAATAATCTAAAAATGAATCATCTTAAAGCAGGAAAGAAGTATCTTCTAAACAGCTAATAATAATTTAATGAAATTGTAGTAATATATTTCTCTTTCTTAAAATAATATACATTATATTTATTTATTTTATTCGAATGTAATCGTTATTAATAAATTATGAATTTAAGACTCAAAAACTCTAACTTTGTGACTAGCAATAATGATATCACTAGAATAAGGAGAGCTCGACTAATATAACCTAATTAACAATAATCAAAGTCCTTAGCTTCAGTTAAAATCATTGTATCTCCAGAACTTAGACAAAAGAAATAGAAAACTATTCATCACGATGCTGTCTAAGAAGAAACTATCAAGGATTACAAATAGAATGAAAAAAACCAATTTTGTAAGGCTAAATTATAAGAGTTATTTAGTCTTAGAAAAAGTATAGAATTTTTAATAATTTGAGGTAGCCTAACTCCGTTATTAAAATAATAAATCAATCGATAACAAACAATAATCAAGCATTAACCTGATTTTATAAAGTAACAGGATTTATATGTTCGAATTAGAAGGCAAAGCATTGAAAACCTTTAAACCTAAGAAAAATAAAAGAATTTTGTGCTTAGATCTTCATAGGATTCCACCTAAAAGAAAATAATTTTAACTAATAACCTTAAATCTGCTAATGGGGCTCCCTTTTTAAACAGAAGTGTTTCATAATTTACCTGTATCACTCCAAAAAAAAATGATAATGACTACATGAATTAATAATAAAAAGAAAGTATCAAAAGGTAAAAACTCGAAGGGTTAATCAATTTAATTATTAATATGAACATTGAAAACTTAGTTATAGCTTTTAATTCAATTAAAAACAAAGCACCATTACTGCCATTCATAAAGGAACTTAAAAGGAGAAAGGATGATTTTCAACAGAAAAGGTTTTATATCTAATTAGTTAAAGCATAATGATGATTGACTTTTATTTATAAACAGATAGATAATAATAAAATAATATAAAATCATTAAATGTGGCTTTCTAGTAGATTAGGACATTGCCAAAAGACAAGGTCAACTAATTTTTATATTTAGTGACTATTGTAATGATCCAATAAATCTTTTTAGTTGATTTTTTTTTATAAGCTAGATTCAATCTAATCAATATTCTGCATTATTTCAATATACAATTACTGAAACAACTATAAGATAGTTTAGATCTTCGTCACGTTAATTTGAATTTTTTGTAAATTGATTGGTGAAATAATTGTAAGCGGCTAATTTGATTATTCGTCTTCAATATTGCAAAAGTTATTTTATCCTTTTTCATCTAGATATATAGCCCATTTATTTGGATCAAAATTACATCCATATTTGTGTAAGAAGTTAATTAGTTTTTAACCAATATTGTGATCCTACCCTATGGCCGCCAACATAATAGTTAAACAGAATGAACTAATACCACCAGTGTATGAATCATTTAGGTCTTTTATCTTGAGCAATTTCTTTAAGTATATTGCTACTTCTGAGAACCCTTGAATTTTATCGCATATATCAATCGTGTATTGAGTCGATTAAAAACCAATATTATATGCTTAGATATATGGATTATATATTGGATATGGAGGAGTCAATTCAAAGGTGATATCAATGAAGATATGTTAACCTAAAGTTAAAATCAAAATTACTTGGGTCTCCATATTTTAAATTGAGATCAAGATTTCTGCACTGCATTAAGATATATTTTGGCTCTCCTTTGAACGAAAGAAAGTCTATAGAAGGATCTACTAAAACTTTTATAAGTGGCACTGAAGCTTAAAATATATGTCTTAATTATAGTAAATAATTGATACTTGCATTACACAGTCCATTTTAATTCACTAAATATCTCTATCAATTTTCTCATGGGTTCAAATAATTATTATTTTGTGTATGCATGTAAACCATAAACAACCATATCAACATCACTATCTTTTAAGGCTAAGCCAGTTGTAGATGATCCAAAGATTTCAGTATCACAATTCTAAAAATATGATTTGATAACATGTTAGACTCTTTGAATAGATATATCCCTAGATACCTTGTATCTATTGAATTAATCAATCTCTTTTTGATATATATATTTCACATCATTTGTAATCTTTTATTCCAAAATTAATTTATAGATCTTTTATAATTATGCTTGATCTAAATTGTATGTGTACAACTTCTATTCTTTATTTTAAGCTTTTGATTTGACTAAACCTGACCTTTGAATTTTATTCATTCCATTCTCTTTTTTTTGTAAAGTCATCCTATTTTGCTGTGAAGATTGCATCCTTTCCAATTTTAATTCATCATATTAGTGATGATTATTCTTTTGGACAGATTGTGAAGTAGATTTTTTTAATGCCGGAATATACTGTTATTCATCTGGCAGTGATTGATTGTCTTAAAAGTCCTTATCTTTCTTGTTGGCCTACTTTTTGTGTCTAGAAGATTTTGACTTACTTTACTTTTTCTATTGCTTTTTATTCTAAACTTCAATGTAATCACTTTCATCATCAGGTAATTAATAAATGGTTATGGGAATTTCTTAAATTGTTTTTTCAATGATCTAACTATTTTATTATTATTATTATTATTATTATTATTATTACTATTATTATTACTATTATTATTATTATTATTATTCAAATATTTGTTCTTCATTATCATTATCATTTTCAATATCTTCATTATCATCCTTGATAGAAGATTTAGATGATTTCTCTATTTTTTCATCTTATTACACACTAAGCTATTACGATTGATTCAGTTATTTGAGTTTCTTTCTTTCTAAATTGCTAGAAATATCACTTGATAATTTTACTCTTTTTTCCTTTATTTTTCAAGCTGCTTTTTCCTTTATTTTTTAGACTTTGGTTTATCATTCCATTCATCATCTTTTATAATATCTTGAGATACTTATACGGGGGGTTCTGGCTACAAAATTTCAATTACTTATTTTTTATTATTTTTAACTTTCTTAAGTTTCTTTTTATATTATTTAAAATTTTCAAGTTCTATCAAAACAGTTTCAATCAATTTTTTCATAAACCCTGTCGAATGCTCATAAATTTACTGTTCTTTTTCCTCTAAATTAGTACTAAATAGTCTTTATTCAGTTTCTGGTAAGATTTTTGACTTTCCAGAATTTGGAAAATAGGAAACAACTTATTTCAATTATTCCACATCAGCCTAACTTTAACTTGAGAATAGTTTCAAATCAGAAAGCTTTTATTTTGGTTTTTTTTTTTCTTTGAGATTCTCCTCAACAGGTTTTTTTAAGGGATAGGTAATTTTTAATTATTTACAAATTAAATATTTGCAAAACAAGAAGGATTCCTTAACTATAGGTTTTAATTTAATATTTACTCGTAAATTTAAGCGGTGATTAAAAAAGTTAACCTTTGTCCTATATCAAATATTGGATTTATTGTTCAAGATTATTCAAATTAAAATTTTCATATTTAATATGTTCAGACCAACTTTATAATAGTACTTTTTCATCAATAAACTACATTTCTACTTTAGATTATTCCAAAACTTTCTAAAATTCTTGAGTTTCTAATTCATAATTGATATTATTGAAATTTAATTCAATTTAATGAAAGTTTAATAATTAATCTTATTTAGTATAATTGCATTTTTGTTCAAATTATTAGAATCTTAAGTTGTATTTACAAAATGTTACTTTATTAAGATGGCCTTTTCAATTTCGTTTACAATGTGTTCTGATAAGGTCCAGAACATTTTTTGATTTTATTATAAATCAAAATTAATTTCTGAGTATTCCTCATCCTCATTTGTCTCAATTCTCCAAGATTTTGTGAATATCAATTTCTTGGATAATATTTCAAACGATTAAATAATTTCCTCAATATTGCCTTTAATTGTAACGGTATCTAATAGCCATTCATAATCTGAAATGTATGCATGATCAAGAATATACTATTGTTTTAGGGCTATTCATACTTATTAAGCAGATCTCCACTCTTCAGTCATATCTATTCGATTGCACTCTCTCACATAATAATATTGATGTATTTGGATTTTTACATTAACTTCATATGGGGAATGAGACAATTCCAGATATTCATGTAGCAACTTTTAATCCTAATTAAACATCTTTAGAAAGGAATGAACTCTGTAATAAGAGGTGAAGGATAATACTTGCTCCAATTGTTGTGTTGGCAAATTTCTCAACCTTGATTAATGTGTCTCACTTACCAATTATATATTTGGTTTTTCTTTTCGGAAACATCCTTCTAAGGAGCATTCAGAGATTGACAGTAGTAAGTAACCTTGTTAATTTGGCGAGATGAGTATCTTTGGAATTGAGTCAGGGGATAGGCAATCTCGTTCATAAATAAATTATTTTATGTGGTGTTGTTTTTGTTAATTTGTACTTGAGTATATGCAAAATAAAAAACATCATCTAAATCTTCTGAGGGAAATTCTATTTCTTCTGGCATAATTGGCCCTTCTTGAAGGTCTAGTTTGATTGTTGCGATGACCCTTAACTCTAAGTCCTCTGCTCTTTCTGCCAGCCGATGTTAAACCTTTCATATTCATTTTCATTCAAACCTCTCAATTCTCTATGCTTGTGAACTGGCTTGGTGATCCAGTTGATTCTTGAGTCTCCTCTGATTGCTGGGTGGAATGGATCAACGGTGATGACTTCATAATATTTGTATGTTCCATCTTGGGCAACCCAATAAGAGTTCAAAACTCTAAGTGCTCCAATCTTTCTGCCTACTCTCTCCTCAGCAACTGATCTAAGGTTTCTGGTGGGCTTTAATTAATTGACTCCTTGACTCTTGGGCTTTCCCTTGACAAGTCCCTTTCTGATGAGCAATTTTCTGCCTCCCCTTCTAACTCTGACTCTGTAAATCACGTAGCCTAACATTATCATTATTTCTTTTACCTTGCTTGGCTTTGTATCCTAATCTTCTAGCTTTGTCAGGTCTGCTTGGTCTGGTTGCTCTGTGGATGACTGGTAATTGTCTGTATTCCCATGTTCTGATTCTCATGATGAAGCTCAACACATCTGATTGCTTCTTTTTCCAGAGCTCTTGTAAATACTTATATGCGCCCATTCTCAAAGAGAAAAAAGATTTTTATTTATGAAAAAATTTCAAATCAATATAAAGTAACCACAATATATAAATTTAATCATTATATTATTTAGAGTATTATTTTTTGATATTCATTTTTAGCTCGACGTTCTGCTCCAATATCCCTATATTTAAGTTCTAAACGGATTATTATAATAAAAGTTCTAATAAAAATTATTGTATATTCTTTATTTATCACAAATATTCAAATTGATACAAGAATTACTCAAGAGACATATTAGAATTAATTATTAATCATTCAATGCTATTTAGTGATTAGTATATTTATTTATTTTGGTTATCAAATATTCAAATAGTTATTATGTAAGATAAATTCAAAAACAGTTATTTTTTCAATTCAAATATTCAATCTAATTCCAAATCAGAATGATCCCACTTAGCTATAGGTATTGATGATTATTTCTAAAAGCAAAATTATTAATCAATTGGTTTTTATGTCATAGACCTTTAATCTTTAGTTCTTACACTACATGTTTTTATGCTTTTAATTTAACTTGCTCTAACGGAGAATGGTGATTAAGTCAATCTTTGTACAATTCTACATTTCTCAATATTTAATCCCAAAGACAGAGGCATAGCTTGAAATGGATTTGTTGTTGTTTTGTTTTTAAATGACGATCCAATTCGTGATTAAGTTTGTCTCTATATCTTAAATTCTTGGTCTTTTTTGGTTTTGTTATTTGATTAAACATTGGCTTCTGTTTTTAATTTCTATGTTTAACAAGCTTCTTCTATCTTCTCAGTTCTAAAGGCTTATGTTTTGCACTTTTCTTTGCTGGGATACATCTTCTCAAGCCATGATTTCTTCAACTCTATTCTTTTTAAAATATCACTATAGTTGCATTCATTTAGAGAGAGTGACTTAAATTTAGTTCCCTATTATTTACTGGATTAATTTTTTGTCGATTTCGTTGTTTTTATTGTGTATTAGTAATTTTATAGTTATATTTATAAAGTGGGAGGAGATCTAGTATTAACGTTGGTTTAATATTAATAATCTTTTAAGGTGACTTGATAAAAGGATCTTCTGGATTATTTTTGATTCTTTTTGGCTTTTTAAGATGCAAGTAGTAATGAGAGATTGCAAAGTTTTTAGGGGCTATTTTCATCAATGTAACTTATTGTAAGGGGTCGTTCATGAATTATGAGATTATCAGCTCTGCTACTTATCGAAAAATATATTCTACCCAAAACACTCAATAGTTTTGTTCATGTTCGATTAGTAATATAAATTAGTGCTATAATAAAATTAAAATTTATATTTTCGAGTTTATTTTAATAAAAACAAATATCCGAAGTAACTAGAGTATATATGTAAATGCTCTTATATATTATTTTAATAATCTGAGTAAAACAGTCATTAGGATTTCGTATTGCCCTTTGAGTCTAATGACCCATAACTGAAAGTCGTTTGTAGTTATCTGTTGCTGTTACTATGCATACAAATTATAGTATTAAAATATCAAATCTCTCATTTTAGTATGCTTGTCTATCCTATCATACTCTTTGGATAGATTAACTTCATTAGAATTTTTTATCAAGTCTAAAACTCTAATAAATATAAAATGATATTTAAGAAAACTTAATTTGGGCGATCATGAAATTAAAATGATATAAATAATTATCAAATAAAAGATTGTTCAAATCTCGTAAGAGAGATAGTCCAACTAAATATCATTCAATAAGATATAAGTATCTTTATGTAAAGGATTGATGATTAAAAATAATTGAGTATAAATTTTCACAAATAGAAGATATATAATTTCAAGTATATCTGCAAACTGGGCATTCTTGACTTTTTTGTTACCACGCTTATAGGCAACATTGATGGAATATATGGCAACATTCAAGAATTCCTTTTGAATCCACAGGTCCAATATCTATTAAACATATTGGACATTCGTGAGCAGTGTAAGATTAATACGCGTCGGCAATTTATTTTAAAGGACAATCCGAATAATGATCTTATTTGAATTTTTTAAATATTTTCTCCTGACAAAATTCACAAACATCATCCTCTTTCTCCTATAAAGCAAATGCTTAGCAATTCTATAAATGTTACTCAATTAACTTCTTGACTATTGTTTCACCACAAAATTTGCAATCTTCAACTATGTTTTCTACGAGACAACTTTCTAAATGTTTTTCAATTCCACAATAAGGGTATTACTCTCCACAATTGCTGCAGGGGTAGAGTTTCATATCATCATCCTATATTTCACTCATTGAATTATTATTAATAATGTCTGAAATATACTCTAATATAAATTCTCAACTTCATACCAATTAGAATTTATCACTCTACGCAAGGCATTAAAAAGAAGCAAGAATAGAGCACTCGAAGTTGACTCCAGAAGAATAGAAAGAAAAACTGCTTTAAGTTTATAACAACCGACCACCTGTATTCTCAGATGAAGCTAGAGTACCTCCAAAACAAATCACAGCCACTTATTGATCATAAAGATAAAAATTTGCAAATGGGAATCATCAATCCAATACATTAATTCGAGGATCCAAATATCATTAAAAATGAAGCGAAATAAAAAGAGCAGGAATGGTATGCTTAGAGGATGAAATAAAAATAGAGACCAAAACCAGAAGATCCATTAATTGAACCCTAAGCTGAGTAGAATCTGAGATGAAACACCCAGATATTTGGGATAAAAGTACGCACGTTGAGTCCTTGAGAATTAATAAAGTTATGAAATAAGAGGGCAAGGAAAGACTTTAATCAGCCAAAGTGACACAATAACAATATTTTCCAGTATAGGATAAGTAGAAGGAAACTTGAATATAAATGAGAGAGAAGAATTTTATTTGAAAAATCTAGTAATAAGCATTTAAAATATTTTATTCAAAAATGAAAGAATTCCTATTCAAAATTTTTAAGACGATTAACCATCTGTTAAAGGCAAGGAAAAATAATAAAATTATATATATAAAGGGGATCAATAGAATTATGACTTAAATATTCTATTCAATTTATGGGCAGAACATAGGAAATTCAATTTCAAATCCAACCCTGAGATATATAGTAATACGATTCAGCTAATAATTTATTACTAAAGATTAGTTTGTGGACTTTTTATTATTGATTGGGTTTAATCCAGATATATCTCATGAGGCTGAACGATTTTTTGATTATTGTCATGAGGATGTCGTCACAGCTCCTGGATTGCTTAGTAGGAGCAAACTACTTAGGCCTATTAAAAATTCTAAGTGGTTTAGGTTATTCAAGGATTGAAAATAAGTTTTGAAGAAAATTATTGATTTTTATATAATGTACTATTGATTTATTAATCAAAACAAAACAAATTGCTTTCTCACGTTACCAATAATTTCATTTGGGATGACTTTCAATACATTGAATCTAACAGTTTTTGACAAAGGTCTGAATTAAATCAATGAATTGAATACCTGCATTATCCGCAAACAACAATATCTCCTTCCTTGACTGGTCCGAAAGCTGGTGAGATGTGGACTGGGACATTTCTGTGTCTCTTTTCATATCTATTGTATTTGGCAACATAATGTAAATAGTCTCTTCTGATAATAATTGTTCTGGTCATCTTGGTAGAAATGACGATTCCTCTGTTTTGATAGTTTTATTAATATCATACTTTAAGATGGCTCCTCTGACACTGACATTTCCTGTGAAGGGACACTTCTTATCAATGTAATGTCCTTCAATTGCTTCTTTTGGTACTTTGAATCCAAGTCCAACTTCTTTCCAATATCTAACTCCTTTTGATGTTTTCTTAGCCAAAAGTTTTTTTGAGTTTTGGAAGATACCTTCTTGCTTTTAGAATGCTCTTTGTGTCTAGACGTCTGCCATTATATATTTTTTTTAAAAAAGATATAAATTTTAATGTAATAATGAGGAAATGAGTTTGAACAAAAAATAGATTAAATTTGTTTGAAAAAAAAACAATCCAAAATCATAATAACTACACAGTTCTTTTCTTGTCATCAAATTAGACCTTTTCTTGTTTATCCAATTCCAGAAGGCATTTTAAGAATTATAAATAATCAGCAATAATGATTCTACTCTAACTTTAAAGTTCACCCCAGATAATATCGATATCAACAACATCTTGATGAAGCTAAGATAATCATATATTAATATACTTTTTCTTTGAAATCTCTCAACACCTTATGGACAGCCTTTAATTAATCCCTTGTAATATTTTATGAGTGGGCCTATTGTAAGAATAGATGGAACTCCGCTTCCTTATCTTTGGGATCATCTTACTTTTACTTCTTCTTATCGCTCTTAACAATAAGTTGATTTTCTTGTTCTTCCTATTTAGGTTATTCAGATTCAAGTTTTTATCTTCCAGCAGATAAAGGCTACTCACTTTTAAGTCTTTATAGACTTGACTTTCTGCCACTTGGTTTCTTATTATCTTCAACTTCCTCCTCTTAATCCATTTGTAAAGAGATTTTCATTAATTTGGCCCCTATCTTAACATCTTGTTTGGTTACAATATTAGACAGTCTTAATTTTGCATGAGCAGAAGCCAATCTAATTAATGATTCTAAAGATCTGATAGTGATAGGCTGAGTTCTTATCTATTTTTCTAACAAATCATTTTGTCTCATTTTGGTCCATTGTCTCGTCACTTCCTCTGCAGCTTCATCATCTAAGACCACATTTGGATAGTTTTCTTTGGCATACATAATATATTTCTTAAGGAATGATTATGTTAAAAGGTCTTTTTGATCATTTGAATGATATACGGCAGATTATTGAACAAAAGGTGAAATCTCTTATTTAATACTCATCTAAGCCATGGGTTAAATGATATCTCCGATATTTTCTTCCTCATCATATTATCCCTTGTATCTGTGATTCTTTGTCACTCTTTCAGCAACCTTCCTATCAATATCCTTTTTCTTTTCATCCAATATAATAAACAACAAATCAAATCTACTCAATAAAGAATCTGGTAAACCAATATTCTTAGTTGGTGGCATATCTTATTAATATTCACCATAGAGAGGATTGGCAGCTGCTAAAACAGAACATCTTGCATTTAATGAACAATGTATTCCAGCCTTTGCAATGGTGACTGTTTATTATTCCATTACTTCATGAATTGCTACTCTATCTATTTCATTCATCTTATCAAACTCATCTATCAAAATAACTCCACCGTCTGCTAAAACCATGGCACCTGCCTCTAAAGTATTTTCTCCTGTTTCATTGTCCCTCTTGACAGCAGCTGTCAAACCAACACTGGATGTTCCTCTACCTGTTGTAGTAACTACCAATGGAGCAGTTCCCATAACATATCTAAGTAATTAGGATTTAGCAGTTGAAGGATCTCCTATCAAAAGAATATTGATATCTCCTCTTAAATGAGTTCCTGTCTCTAAATTCTTTTCCGTTCCTCCTAATAATTGNCAATCCAAAATCATAATAACTACACAGTTCTTTTCTTGTCATCAAATTAGACCTTTTCTTGTTTATCCAATTCCAGAAGGCATTTTAAGAATTATAAATAATCAGCAATAATGATTCTACTCTAACTTTAAAGTTCACCCCAGATAATATCGATATCAACAACATCTTGATGAAGCTAAGATAATCATATATTAATATACTTTTTCTTTGAAATCTCTCAACACCTTATGGACAGCCTTTAATTAATCCCTTGTAATATTTTATGAGTGGGCCTATTGTAAGAATAGATGGAACTCCGCTTCCTTATCTTTGGGATCATCTTACTTTTACTTCTTCTTATCGCTCTTAACAATAAGTTGATTTTCTTGTTCTTCCTATTTAGGTTATTCAGATTCAAGTTTTTATCTTCCAGCAGATAAAGGCTACTCACTTTTAAGTCTTTATAGACTTGACTTTCTGCCACTTGGTTTCTTATTATCTTCAACTTCCTCCTCTTAATCCATTTGTAAAGAGATTTTCATTAATTTGGCCCCTATCTTAACATCTTGTTTGGTTACAATATTAGACAGTCTTAATTTTGCATGAGCAGAAGCCAATCTAATTAATGATTCTAAAGATCTGATAGTGATAGGCTGAGTTCTTATCTATTTTTCTAACAAATCATTTTGTCTCATTTTGGTCCATTGTCTCGTCACTTCCTCTGCAGCTTCATCATCTAAGACCACATTTGGATAGTTTTCTTTGGCATACATAATATATTTCTTAAGGAATGATTATGTTAAAAGGTCTTTTTGATCATTTGAATGATATACGGCAGATTATTGAACAAAAGGTGAAATCTCTTATTTAATACTCATCTAAGCCATGGGTTAAATGATATCTCCGATATTTTCTTCCTCATCATATTATCCCTTGTATCTGTGATTCTTTGTCACTCTTTCAGCAACCTTCCTATCAATATCCTTTTTCTTTTCATCCAATATAATAAACAACAAATCAAATCTACTCAATAAAGAATCTGGTAAACCAATATTCTTAGTTGGTGGCATATCTTATTAATATTCACCATAGAGAGGATTGGCAGCTGCTAAAACAGAACATCTTGCATTTAATGAACAATGTATTCCAGCCTTTGCAATGGTGACTGTTTATTATTCCATTACTTCATGAATTGCTACTCTATCTATTTCATTCATCTTATCAAACTCATCTATCAAAATAACTCCACCGTCTGCTAAAACCATGGCACCTGCCTCTAAAGTATTTTCTCCTGTTTCATTGTCCCTCTTGACAGCAGCTGTCAAACCAACACTGGATGTTCCTCTACCTGTTGTAGTAACTACCAATGGAGCAGTTCCCATAACATATCTAAGTAATTAGGATTTAGCAGTTGAAGGATCTCCTATCAAAAGAATATTGATATCTCCTCTTAAATGAGTTCCTGTCTCTAAATTCTTTTCCGTTCCTCCTAATAATTGCAACAAAATGGACTGCTTAACAATACCATGTCCAAATATTGATGGAGCTATAGATTTTGACATGTATTCCAAAAGATCTTTCATATTATAATTGAATACTTGACTTTTTAGCAATTTCTTTGATGTGTCTGATATCAACCTCTGATATCTTGGTTTCTTATACAGCATTCATTACTTTAATATTCTATGCTATCAAAGTAGTTCTGAAGGTTCCATTTGCCTTAGTCGATGAATTTGGAATACACTTATACACACCCGTAATCTATGATTATTTAATGCTTAATACTTCTACTCTGTCACCTGGTTTCACTTTATCAACTAAATCCTAATCTAAAATGACTTCTAATGATCTCGGCAACATTCCAGTGGGAGTTCTCTCTGGCAACTCTTAAACCACTAATGTCTACATGTCATTTAGATCACTTAACCCAAATTCGAAAATCATAGGGTTGCCTTCTTCATCCTTCTTCTATACTACTCTAACTTATCTTGAGGATGTCCTAGCACTCGGGTCCATGTTATTAAAGTATTCCACTTATTTGAATTAGTTTTTCTTCTCTATAAAGTGAACTGATTTCTATAGTTTCAACAAAACCAAGGACATCTTAGTTACTATAGCTTAGGTGCAAACTAATTAATTTATTTATGCAGCTCCCAAACCTCTTGGAGTCACGTAATTCTTTCCCAATTTACCTTCAAAATAGATTTTATATGTTTTATCTGTCTACACTCCCTTTTTATCATCATCTTCCTATTGATCCTGCAATTATTTGCATATTTAACTTAATTTCTGTTGGAAAACTCTGATAAAATCTGTTGGATTTCTAATTAAATCATCAACTCTAAATATTCATAAATATAACGGTTTTACAAGTTAGGGTATTGTTATCTTGATTCTGATCTCAAAAGATCTAAATTGATTGGAAACCTAATTTTGTTTTATTATCTCATGGCTTCAATTTGTGCTATGTCTATGTTACTGAGAAATCTTTCTAGGAAGTCCCTGTAAATTAAATCCTGTTGTGGCGCATCTTAAGGGTTCATTTGGTTTATTTTATTTTATTATTAACAAAACTTTGTGTACCAAATATGCCACAATTTATACTTTTGGCGCAAAAAAACATATATTTTAGATTTTTAGAATTAGATGGATATATTTGGTATTTGTGAGTTGGTAGCTATAAGTGCTAAGGTTTGCTGCAAGAAAATAGTTTCAAAAATATTTATAGTAACAATATATGAAAAATATAAGGACTACTTAAAATAAACCAATATAAATCTACTATTTTAGCACTGAATTCTTATAAGATAAAACTAATTGAGGAAATATGAGTTGATAAATTAATGTAATAGCAATTCTTATAAATTTTTGGAACTTTCTGAATAGAATTAACAATGCATTAACTTATTCGCATGATATTTGCCAAAAATCTGGATGTGGTTATATTGTAATAGTAAATTAGCAATGAAATTGATGCTAGATATTTGTGGAGTGTTTGGAAGGAGATTTGTATAATGAGGGGGAGATTTATTTGATATAAAAATTAATAAAGTGTATGTTAGTATGGATTTGTATTTGTATAAGTTAAAATGATTATTTGAGACATTTGTGATAGATATTTATATATTCCTATTCATCATAGTTTATAAAGATATTTGATATCCATAATTAAATGATGGTGATGTTTTAATATTAAAAAAATAAATTTAATGAGCTTTCCGCAACATATTCCAAGCACATCACTTAGTTTCATAGATCCGAGTTTATTGATTGGGAATTTGGATTGGCTGTATTTGTTGTCGATGAAGGAGACAGATGGATTATCTGAGAAGTCTTTAACTAAGGGTGAGGATGTTTCAGGGTTTGATGCCTTTCTGGAGCAAGTAGACTTTACGAGATCAGCGTATATTAAATTGAGGTAGTGAAGTGTTGTAATAGGAGTAGATAGGATTATTTCAATTTGATACAGCATTCATCTCGGCATTTGACGGAGAGTCTATTGAACTCTAAGAATGAATACTTTAGCAGAGCCAGCATGATGTTGAATAGGATCAATAAGAGCAAAATAGAGAAACCCATTGTGATGGCGACATGTAAGACATGGAATGTGTAATTTTAGATCACGAGTGTTCGTATGAGGTGTTCAGATAATGTCAGGGAGTGACAAGTTGTTCAGCATTGCAATCGAATCCAACGAGATGGCCTTGGGGATTGGAGGACTTCCACAAGTCATTATGCAAACAAGAGCTCTTGTCTCTTTTCTACGAACCAGATTACTCTAGACAGAGCATCGATAAGAATTTACAAAGATTATTAAAGGAGATTGATCACAAATAATTGTCAAAGATATTGATAGATTATGCATTGAGAGTAGGAACGTTTAAGTAGATTTTGAGTCTTTGTGATTTAAATATAAGAGAAATTATAAAATTACCAAGATTGCAATAAAAGAGTCGCCATCTACATTATATGAGATCATTGTGCGATTAAGGAGGATTCACTATTACATAATTACAGCAATTCACTAAACTAAATTACCATCAAATGACAATGACATCCTCTTAATGTTACTTGTACATCTTGGTGAGTTCCCCAGTAGGTGGAATGTACAAGGTGGGCACAGGAGAGGGTGGAACCATAGCTGGTAAGATATATCTTCATCAACCCCTAAAAAAGCAAGACGATGTCTAATGGGTATTCCTGCAGAATAAATTATATCTGAAACAGTAGAATGGAACTTTGGATATCATTTGTCCTGACACATTTCAGACCTTGAGTCAAATGACTCTCCATTGTCCAGAACTATTTTAACATCCTCAAATGTAGGCAATAAACAAGAATTATCCATTGATTACAGATGGAGAGAAGCTATTTATTATTGGAAGAAAACTAAATATTACTAAAGTGGAAGGAGCACCAGCCAAAGTGATTAAAGAACCAGCAGCTTCNTAATAGTAAATTAGCAATGAAATTGATGCTAGATATTTGTGGAGTGTTTGGAAGGAGATTTGTATAATGAGGGGGAGATTTATTTGATATAAAAATTAATAAAGTGTATGTTAGTATGGATTTGTATTTGTATAAGTTAAAATGATTATTTGAGACATTTGTGATAGATATTTATATATTCCTATTCATCATAGTTTATAAAGATATTTGATATCCATAATTAAATGATGGTGATGTTTTAATATTAAAAAAATAAATTTAATGAGCTTTCCGCAACATATTCCAAGCACATCACTTAGTTTCATAGATCCGAGTTTATTGATTGGGAATTTGGATTGGCTGTATTTGTTGTCGATGAAGGAGACAGATGGATTATCTGAGAAGTCTTTAACTAAGGGTGAGGATGTTTCAGGGTTTGATGCCTTTCTGGAGCAAGTAGACTTTACGAGATCAGCGTATATTAAATTGAGGTAGTGAAGTGTTGTAATAGGAGTAGATAGGATTATTTCAATTTGATACAGCATTCATCTCGGCATTTGACGGAGAGTCTATTGAACTCTAAGAATGAATACTTTAGCAGAGCCAGCATGATGTTGAATAGGATCAATAAGAGCAAAATAGAGAAACCCATTGTGATGGCGACATGTAAGACATGGAATGTGTAATTTTAGATCACGAGTGTTCGTATGAGGTGTTCAGATAATGTCAGGGAGTGACAAGTTGTTCAGCATTGCAATCGAATCCAACGAGATGGCCTTGGGGATTGGAGGACTTCCACAAGTCATTATGCAAACAAGAGCTCTTGTCTCTTTTCTACGAACCAGATTACTCTAGACAGAGCATCGATAAGAATTTACAAAGATTATTAAAGGAGATTGATCACAAATAATTGTCAAAGATATTGATAGATTATGCATTGAGAGTAGGAACGTTTAAGTAGATTTTGAGTCTTTGTGATTTAAATATAAGAGAAATTATAAAATTACCAAGATTGCAATAAAAGAGTCGCCATCTACATTATATGAGATCATTGTGCGATTAAGGAGGATTCACTATTACATAATTACAGCAATTCACTAAACTAAATTACCATCAAATGACAATGACATCCTCTTAATGTTACTTGTACATCTTGGTGAGTTCCCCAGTAGGTGGAATGTACAAGGTGGGCACAGGAGAGGGTGGAACCATAGCTGGTAAGATATATCTTCATCAACCCCTAAAAAAGCAAGACGATGTCTAATGGGTATTCCTGCAGAATAAATTATATCTGAAACAGTAGAATGGAACTTTGGATATCATTTGTCCTGACACATTTCAGACCTTGAGTCAAATGACTCTCCATTGTCCAGAACTATTTTAACATCCTCAAATGTAGGCAATAAACAAGAATTATCCATTGATTACAGATGGAGAGAAGCTATTTATTATTGGAAGAAAACTAAATATTACTAAAGTGGAAGGAGCACCAGCCAAAGTGATTAAAGAACCAGCAGCTTCCACTTCTAGAGCATAAAAGAAGAAAGAAGCTGAACAGCAACCAGCTGATAACACAATCAAGATTATGGATTTCATTCTTTTTGAATTCGATTTGAATAAACCAACAGGAAATGTATAAAATGAAGAAGAATCTGACAAGAAACTATTGGCTGAATTGTATGAGTCATTCCAAGGATATTTCAGTAAAGCAGAGATTAGCAAAGCATTGAATCTGAATAAAAATGATATGTAAAATGCTGCTCAATGGTTGGTTGAAGAAGGGGAAAAGGAAAGAAATAAAACAACCGTTTCTGTTTCAAAATAGACCTTACTGTGCTAGGCTGAGATCACTACTGACATCTCAGCAAAATAGGTCAAGAGCAGTGCTGATATCGGCTGTAAGGAGGGATCCATCTTATAACCATAAATAATCAGTAATATCATCTGGACTATGGACAAAAAGTATTTGACAGCTTATTTTGAATTTGGAGTAAAGATATTTTCCAAAGATCCAACAGATGAAAAGGAACTTGATCACACTAAAGATGAATTCAATCTAAGGGATCATTTTTACACCAAAAAACCTTCTACTTCCACTCTACCTCTAAAAGGCACTTATATCACAACAGTTAATAAATACCTTAATGAATTCTACTAGAATCCCAATTATATTGTGTCTTATGAACATAATACTAAGAGATTCTATGTTATGCATATCCAATGGAATTCCACTGATCTTTAATTCCCTGCCTTGGTTACAATCGGATCTGATTTTGTTCATCGACCACTAAATCTCAATTTGACTCCGGCTACGACTTTCGACGAAGAAGTTGTTAACTTCCTACTTTAACAACAAGAATAACGCTTTGATTAGGAATGGAGATTGAATGATTGGTATGTGGCATACTAAATAATGCTCAAGAACCTAAGAGGCATCTCCGAACATTTCTCAGAAGAGGAAGTTAAGAAAATACAAAGCGAAAAATCCAAATATATACATCGATTGAATAAATCCATTTAATCCATTAACAATCAAAGAACTGAAGTCGAACTTAAAAGGGTTTATGCTTTTTGTGTAGAAGGTACTTGGGAGGAGTTGAAACAAATCTGGTCCCTGTTCAAGAAGTATCACAAGATCCAATATCTTCAACTCTTATAATATTGGGTTTAATACAGTGAGAGTTCTATCTTGCTGAATGCTGGAGTGCATGATTTACTAAAAGAGATAGGAGAATATCTGATCTAAAATTGGTAAAGTGATTTGCACAGAAATATCTTTATTAAAGGTTGGACACTCTTTTTGTGTTCAAATTCCCTTTAATTATAGTATTTAAGATTGGGAGATAATCAATTATTACAGAATATCATTTAGACATATTCAAGCATATAACCTGAAACTGAATCTGCCATACTTAAATTAAAATCTAAGAATATTAACTTGGATGGAGATTTCAAGTCATTCATCCACAAAAAAGGAGCACAGCATTATTTGATTGAGCCATTACCAAGATTGTTGGTTGAAGTAGTTTAGAGTGTGAAACTATTCTAAAAGGTGTATCCAAAGGGCTATTTTGTGGATTGTGACATCACATAGATAAATCAGCAATTTTGGACATTAGCAAAGGAGTGGGCAACACAATGTGATCTAACTAAATGGTAATTCTTAACCATGCTATTTAATATGGCATTCAATGAGAATAACGAGTGGGAAGTACAACATAAATTAGCATTCAATATATTGTAAGTGTTTGAATTGGGAATAGCCAATAAAGAAGTCAAAGAATTGATTATCAAACACAATTTTCTAACTCATTTCCTGCTCTAATTATTTTTATCCCCCGTCCTTTAATGTCCCATCGATTGTAGTATCCTGTCCATTTTGATGTAGATTAATCAAAATATTGAATTGCCTACAACTCCCTCAAGAAGCCAAGGCATAGATCCTATAGGATTCAAAGTGTTTGAAACGAGTCACCCTTACGAAAGATAGAAGGTCTAAACTTTTGAGGATACCTACTTCCCAGGTGCTTTGGCTTTGGCGGTAGAGTTTGATCCGAGATGCTCAAGTGACTAAGCCCATGATTTCTTAACTATTAACTCCTGGTATTCTCCTCAAACTGGACCTTTTGGATTGCAAACTAAATTGAAAGATCCTATGGGGGTTTCATATAGAATCTCAGGTAAATTGAGTACCAAAAGACCTATTCTGATGCTTGGCAATGTGATTCAGGCTGATTTCAGTCCAAGTGGATAAGTTAGAAACGAACATTCTCTAAATCGATGGGGATTCAAAATTACAATTCGCCCAGTGTATGGAGACACCTATCATGTGAGCAATGTGTTACACATGGTAATTTTGGAGAACATTTAATCCTTATTGGGATTCAACGAAAGTAGAACAGCCTATGAAGAAACTAATTAGCATCTCTTGAAATGGAATATTTTGAAGAATGGAAGAGCTGGATTTCAATATGATAAACATCTCATTAAAGTATTGGGGTAGTTGTCTATCGCTAATATGTCTTATGATGATGCCACACTATTACATGAGAATGCAGGAGCCAATTCCTAGATTAAGAATAAGTATCAACAATTAAAGAGAGATCTCATAAAAGTCAATTACAAAAGCAGAGAATTGCAGAAGACTAATATTGATCTTCTTCAATTGGCTCAATAGTAAAATAAATACATTTCTCAAATTTTGGAGAAAAAAGGAGAATTTTATAAAGTGATTTCGGAAATTGTTAGTCAATTCACTGATTCAATTCAATATAGAACTGCAAAGCAAAAGTCAGCTATGAAGGCACACATTGAAGAATTCAAATAAATTGAGATGCTTGTGATTTTGGTCACCTTGTATCATAGTGGGTTATTGGATGAAATCAACCTGTTGAATTTGGAACATCACATCGACATGCTATAGGAAGCTAGAAATGATGTCATTAATTACATGCTCAAAGAAGTGGAGACTATGATTGAGTACCAATAGAATTACGAAGGAATGTCATTGCAAGCAACGGAAATGATGGAATAATAGAAATTGAAATAAATAAATGAGAAAATCGAAAACACTCTTTGGGATATGCTCCAAAAGAGATTAGAAGGCAATAGTGAGATGATTTATAAAATATGCACTCAATAAAATTTGGCTATCATTGAAAACAATCCCAACTTATCTCTAAGATAGATCTACAATAACATTTTAGCAAAAATCAGGGAATCAAAACTAGTACTAGTAAATCCGTATCAACATATAGTTTAAGTGATCAAAAAGAGAATTCTCATCCTATTCAATATTAGTAATGTTTAATTGGTGGGTTAATAACAGATGATTTAAATTAAATCCTAGTAATCGATCGACTCTGGAAGCATCAAATAATTAAAGCCTCCTGGTATCGAAAGATCAATCTCTCATTAGATAGATGATAAGAATATCGACAGTTAGAAATTGTTAAAGTTTAGACAATGGCTAGATAGTTATCAAAAATGGAAAGTGCTTCACAATGTAAATTTAAATCAGATTTCTGCTGAATCTCTAGATATTCCTCCTGTTAAGTCTGTCATACTATTTCTCTAATAGAATGTGGATGAATCTTTGATTTAGGTTATGGACTTACACAATCGCAGATGCATAAGAAGAATTGCCTCACTTAAATTCCTAAATGAATTCTAAGGTTAGAGTGGAGGTATTTTATGTTAGGATGTTATTAATTGTAAAATTGAATTTGCCAGCTCCAACATCAAAGAAATACTTCTCCAAGAAGTTGTAAAAAGATTGAATTATCTCATGTAATCAATAAAGAATGATTATGCTACCTATTTGAATCAAGCAATCACATAATAAATTGATGGAACTTTGCTGGAATAATTGAAGGTTTTATGCATGACTCTATGCGAAATTAATCAGCTATTTTAAGTAGACAATAACATTTTATGGAAAAGTAGAGAGCATGATTATAATCCTCACTTCAATCCTATATTCAAATAATTCTTAAGCAACATCATCATAACTGGATTATTAAGTTTGGCCTTTGTAAATTTGGATCAACAGTATTAATCCGTTGCTATTTTGAGTTAAAATATTTTAAATAATGTTAAAGAGACTTTGTATATAATAACAGATAATTTGATGACTGATGACATTCTTTAATAATTGATATAAATTTTATCATAGGAATTAGGAATATCACTTTAGGGAGATGAAATCAATTGCAGATTACTAACCAAATTATATGATTTAATCGGAGTAAAGAGAGTGAATTTCTTGCTTACAAATATTTTAGATTGCTTGATAATTCATTAAAATTAGGATGTTCCATCATCCTTAGTGAAATTGATATTCTTTATACTGCATCATACCAACACTCCATCTACAATGAGATTGGCAATCAGGATTTCTAAGTATTTTAGCAATATCAATCTCAACAAGATCAAATATACTCCAAAATATTTATGGATTTATTATGAGAATTGCAATTTGTAATAAGTTAAAGTCTTATAAGAAAACAAGGAGTTATATTTTAGTGAGGCATTGATTGAGCGAGTTGGACATTTAGTAGGTCAATAGGAAGATACTAGTAATCAAAATATTAATACAATGTTACAGACTGAATTAGTGAATGTGTAAAAAAAGATAGTTACATCAAACACTAATGCCGATCAGAATAATAATCAATAGTATAGAGTGATATTGCATTTGTGCTAGGAGGAAGAGATATCTATTCTATTGAAGATTCTATATTGGTGGGAAGAGTTCTATCCAAGTGCTAAATTGAAGTTACCTCAAACATATTAGGAGTATTTGGAAATGAAGGAGAAGGAGAAAAAAAGAGAGGAGTAGAAGACTCAATAATAGGAGGTGATTGCATAACAAACGGAGTTCCAATCATAGAGACAACAATAGCAATAGTAATATAAATTATTGGAGAGAGTCTTAATGACTTAGCCAGAAATCTAATAAAAGGATTATCTATTGGGATGGGGATTCAATTATAGCAATTTATATAGTGATATGAAGAGTGGACCGTCGGATAATAAGAAACATTCATCTGGGAGAGTAAAGAAACAAATAAAGAAGTATTGGAGACCTTTGAATTTCCAAGAATTGGAACGATTGTATGAAGAATTATACAAATAAAATGAAGACATCAAGTAGTTTCCAGATGAGTAAGCATTCTTGAAACAAAGAAACTTCATAACTAGAATACATTCATACATAAAGGAAGTTAAAAATTATGGTAGTTTACTCACAGTTTATGGTTGCATTGCATTTAGTGAAATATTTACTCTTCAAAAGGCTTAGGTTTTAATAGAGCTTATTTAATTAGCATTGAATGGGATATTACCTAACATACCAATGACTGAACTATCAGAAGAATTCAGAAATAAAGCTGATCCAAACAAATATATTTTAATGGGAGCCATCAAAGAGATTGCACCTCCAAAGAGTAAATCACAGCCATAAAAAGCACCCACTCAAATTCCACCGCAACCAACAAGTGGTAAATCGCAGATGACTATGAGCATTTGTGATGTCTACACCTTCTAGACATTTGAGTTTAGAATGGATTATATTACTTTGTTGCCATATGGAAATACAAGTGTCAATTTTTACAATGAAATCAACCGAAGTTCATCCTTCACACAGCAATAAGTTAATGGGCAAATAGTTGGCCAATTGATTTACGAACTTAGTCAATTATTGTCTCATTAATAGATAGATATTAATAAGGAAAGCAAGTATTACAAACTCGGATACACTACTATCCTATCTTAATAATTGATATAGGTAGCCCCAGGAGTCCCAGTTTAAATTAAGAAGCACAAGTCATATGATAAATAATACGTTGTATCTGGAGGAGACTATAGTGGCTAGAAGGAATTGAAGATACTTTCAAATAATGATGACAAACTTAATTTATAGGTTGTAAAATTAGATGAAATCGAACTAATACAATAGGACATCCCTTAATTGATATCTCAAGAATAGATGTTAGAATTGATTGAAAAAGAGAGTGATAAATTCATCTTGAGGAATCTCTTCATTATTGCAAGTAAATTGGAATGGAAGGGATACAATGTAGAGAGAATTGCTGAGAAAATATTAAATTTGGCTAATCTTTATTAAGGAGATAACAAGTTCATTCAAGCATGGGAACGATTAATAGATAGCAGACTGACACCGAATTACTTCTTCCCTATAGAGATCCCTAAGACTATTAAATTCCCCCAATAACCCTAATAAGGTGAGTAAGAAGATCATAAGATTGACCCTTTTGTGGAAAGTGTTGACAATACAATTATTGTTGGTAGCACATATATGTAATCATTGCCCGAAGCTTGCATAGTCTCTAATGAATTGAAATTAGTTCAATATTGGGAGAAGAACATCCTGCCCAAAATATACGATTATGTCAAGGGCTCATTGAGACCCTATGAGATTGACGACTTCTTTGAATAAATTAGATAGCAATTGAGAAAAGGAGAACAAAACAAAGCTTTGGAAATAGCCTACATTGTATGCGATCAGAGAATGCCAAATGGTGTTATTATTCCAGAGTCGAATCACGATTGGAGTACATTAACAATAGAAGAAGTCTAGGCTGGACAATACGTTCTCTGTAGACTCATTGATAAAACATCAGAATAGTTGTACTCAAAAGAATACTTAAATTACAAGAAGCAAGGTCAGACATTTATTTGTGGACAAATCATTGGTGTTGATTAAAGATCATCCTCCATCTTGATTACACATATGGACATCAACAATTCTCAACTCTATGCCACTTGGTTCCCGGTCAGTGCACTTAAGTAGGTGTAATTGTATATTCCCCCAAATGCTAATGCTTATCAATAGGAGACAATCTTAAAAGAATACAACAGAGAATTAGACTTAGAACTCAGCAAATAAGCCAGATAATTGTACATTTTGCAGAGTCAAACTATTAACGTTGATCCAATCACATATTTGTAATTAGCTATGCAATTCGAGGGATCATGTATCAATGGTTGGTTAACTGAGTAGTTAATCGATGGCAATACTAAAACTAATCAGAAATTAAATCAATTTTTGGAGAAACCTGAGTTAATCTTCAGCTGGTTGTCTAAGTCCTTTGATTAAATTCATTAATCTGTCAATAACAACAAACTAATATTGGATTTAGTCAAATCTCATAAGAAACCATTAGAACTCAATTCTGACTTAGATATAGCTGGTTTGGCAATAGTATTTAAGAATGATGCAACTCTCTGCACTTGTTCTGGCATCAATTTCTATAAGGATAAATTGGGTATCAATGACTTTTACACAATAAGCAGCGGCAAAGAGACCAGAGGTAGATTATCTCCTATTGTGCTCAATCAAAAGAGTGTTTATTGTGAGTATTATTTCAATGGTGAAGCCTTGCCAATCTATCAATAAAAGTTATGTGTTTCTCGTTTGCCTTGTGTTGTCTATAAAATTCCAACCTTGTGGAATACTGTTTGTTATGTGATTGATTAAATGAGCACAATTTTCATCAAAAACAAAGACATTCCAAATTTGAAGAACATCAATCATCTATTGGATAAAGCATATCAATCTCAACCTCATATCTTAAATCAATCCATCATCAAATTATTAATTAGAAATGTTCGTAAATTACAAACTATCTCAGACGAAACTCTAAAGGATGAATTGCTTATTTAATTAATAAATGATGCCGTCAAAATATATAATATTCAGAAGGTAGAACCCAATGTTTTGTATTCATCCTATCTCTAAGACATCAGTGAATTGTTGGCTGTGGCCATTCCCAACAAGACAAAAATCTAGATTCCAGACTGGATAAATGCCTATCGATAATTAATTTAGATTGCAGAATTCATTAAATGTGGTAAGACTTTGTACAATGAATAAATTGAACAGATCAATGGAATGTTATAGTCTAATCAATGGGATCAATTGATTTACATGAATCAATTACCTTGTGATATTCAAGACGTATTACAAGAACAATTAGTCAGAATCTTAAATCCAACAATCGATATATTTAGAAGATAAAATTAAGCAATTGTTCTAATTGATGGATTTCAATAATTAAATTTAGAAAATGTTGAAATACAGTTGCCACCCGAACCAGTCTAAGATGCTGTGAAACTCTGGTAATGTGAAATATGTACTTATGCTGAAAATGTCTGGGATTCCTCGCATTGTTCAATCTGCGAAAATCCAGCACCTGCCAACAAAATTCCTTATAAAGGATCTGAAGATTAATCCTCATAATAGGAGTAGCAGTAGATTTAAATCAATGTTGATGAGGAGGATGAAAAGGCCGACAGAAGAGAGAAGTAGTTTTTCGAAGATTTAATTGAAAGGATCAAGGAGAAAGTTAAAAAGCATTATGCTGATTAACAGAGGGAGAAAGAATAAAAAATAAATCAAATTAATCAAGCAATTGAAGCCCAATAGAATCAATTAAAGTAACTTAATAAATATTAAGAAAAAAAGCAGAAGTAGTTAACTTATAAATCGAAGCTCCAACAAACCAAACAACCATAATAGCAATAACAATAACAAAAAATATAGGATTGCAAATTAAAATTATAATAACTCACATCTGAATTATAATAAATACAAGAAATCAAACTTGAAAATAATTTCCAAATCTATTCTGGCAAATACATCCTTGAAAAAGCCAAAGCCTTCTTAAAAGAGTTCTTAACTAATAGATTAGAATATTTCAGAAAACAAATCAATCCAAAATAATTGGAAGAAATGAGCAGTATGGATGCAATAGAATGTTGGAAATATTTAGAATCATAAGGTTACGATTTCCATTATCAACTAATCAATAATCCAAAGACCATCTAAATTCTACCCATTTAATAAATGAAGCACCTTCTTAAATTAATTGAATTCGATATTTGCAAAGAAACCAAAGCTGTAAGAACTTACAACCCAAGAAATATCAGGAATTAAATAGACGAATAGGCTGTTAATTATTCAGATTATATTAATTGTTTGACCAAATATTAGGATCTAGTGAATTCTCCACTATTAGTAATTAGACAATCTTGGGCAATCATTAAATTATTCAACCGATACTTAGAGACTTGTGGACAATTTATCAATATGGATGTTCCTATTGGTACTTCATAGCAATTCCAATAAAATACCATCCTTTTGTCTATGGGCAATTACATGCAAGTATTACGATAGTTGTGTATGACTCCTACAAAAGTAGACATAGTTTAGAGAGTTCTAAACAAAACAAGTATCAGTAGAGACTCACCACCGAAGATCAATGTAGAACGTATTCGTTTGGCCAATCGTAATGGAAAAGCGAATCAATAAGATTTCTTATTTACTATGGCCTATGAACAAATGAAAAACATACCACCCACTCTCTTAAGACCAATAAAACCTCAAGGAACTGATCCATTCTTGGCATTCGAAGTCAATTTCAAGGGTGAGGACGTCTAAGGAGAAAGTGGTCCATATAGATAATTCTTTGCCGATATCAGTAAAGAATTGCAATCATCTTAATTGTTATTATATCCTTCAACCAACAATCAGGCAAAATTGGGAAATCACAAAGATAAATTTGTTCTGAATCCTAGTGCAAGATCTAATTACTATTTACACCTGTACGAATACTTAGGAGTTTTGATGGCCATAGCAATCAGAACAGCCACTCATTTCTCTTTAGATTTGCCATCGATATTTTGGAAACAAATTGTGGGCGAGAAAATCACATTTGAAGACATTGAGCAAATAGATGCAACAATGTGCAATTTAATTAATTTTATGTAAGAGTGTCCAGAGTCAACATTTGAAGAGAATATTTTTGAAAACTGGGTCACTCTGAGAACAGATAAGAGTGTACAGGAATTAAAAGAGGTAATTTATAAATCTTATGCTTTAGAATGGCAGCAAAATACCAGTCAAATATGAAGAAAGACTCGAGTACATTAATAAATTGATAGAAGTCAAATGTACTGAAAGCGAGTTATAATGTGAAAGTCTTATTAAAGGATTAGTCAAAATTATACCTTCACCTTTGCTAAATTGTATATATCTTTTAATATCACATTCTAGGGGTGTCAGCTGAAGACTTAGAATTATCGGTTTGTGGAAGACCTATTGTAGATGTGGATCTCTTAAAGAGACATACTAGATATTCTGGAGACCTAAATGAAAACAGTGAAAGAATCAAATTCTTTTGGGAGGCTCTCTATGAACTGTCAGAATAAGAGAAATTGCGATTCATTAAATTTTGTTGGGGCTAAGAGAGATTACCTGCCAATGATGAAGAATTCGATAGAAATTAAATTAGATTCATGATTAAACCTTCTACTGTTAATACTAAACAACCAAACAAAGCTCTGCCAAAAGCAGATACTTGTTTCTTTAATTTAGAATTGCCTAATTATTCTAGCAAAGATGTATTTAATTATATTTAATCATTAGATTTTGAAGAAACAATTACTAACAGCAATAAATTTTGATTGTGATAGTATGAATGCTGATCCTCGTGTAAATTTAGATCCAAATGCTCGACACAGACGTAATAGAGATGAAGATGAAGATGATAGTTTGTTTGAGGAAGGTGAATGGTGAAATCATATATATATTATAAGTATATTAGCTTAAACATATGTCTATATTAAAACTCTTCAAACTAATTGAATTTTTTAAATTAAATCCAAAAATTAGTACTGAAATTATAAAATTGAAGAATGAGCAAATAATTGTTCACAATTTGTTCTCAGCTGAAAATTAGTTTTGGCTGTAATTCCTCCTCTTTTATTTCTTACTTGACTTCTTATATTGCTTCATTGCTTTAAAACTCTTCTTTGATATTTTAAATGCTGGTCAAATGTTCGAATTCAATCTTAATTTTACTTTAAAATGGATCTTCTTTTTTGACATGGATAAATTCTTTTTTTATTTACTTACTAATTAGAGCAGCTGTTTTGATATATGCTTTATGTTTCTGTATTAATTTTCTAAGAAATCCCATTCTCTTATTAGCAAAGTCTTCAATCCTACATATCAAATTCACTTTGGTAAATATTTGAACATAATCTTCTAAAGTTTTCTTTGGGATTTTAACTTGATTAGCTGCTTCTTGCAGACTAATTCTTGGTTAGTTTGTATTCTATTGGCATTTACCTTATTCATATATCCTTCTCCATTCTCTAACCCTGTTAAGAGCATCAAGTACACTTCTTTCCTTTACTCGTTTTTTAGTTGACTGAGGAACGGCACCTTATACTTAGTTGAGCATAAAGAAATTAAATATTATTTTTAGAATTCAATTAAAAACTGATTTGCATACACTCTCAAGAGTTATTATAGAATACATTTGCAAACTGAATGTAAGGCTAGTGGTCTGGAGTTTGAGGAACTATAATAAAAGTTTGTTTTTGACTTTATTATAATAAATATCTAATGTAATTATTGAAATTCAAATTGAAGGATTTAGTTAAAATAATATATATTAGCATATTCATTTTAATAATATCGATTGTTCTAGAATAAATTAATTATATAAAATTATAAACAATCGCAATTATGTATTATAATTGAATAGAAAGAAATAAAGCAAGATATAATTGTTAATATATGTTACTAATGCTCATCATTAAGCGAATTTTTAGGTTTCTTATCTTACTGCTTCTTCAAACTTTCCTTTATCGCTTTTATATAACTCCATTGCTTTTGGGTTTAGTGCTTATTCAGTATTAACTTATCCCAAGATGTTTAGGATTTTCTCTAACACTTATTTAACAGTTTTAGTTGGCTACCATTACTCCTATAATAATATTATCATCATTTACTTTGGTCTCAATCATATCTTCACAAAACTCTCCCTTCTCTGTAATATTGGGATGGAAAATTTTTGTTGTAAAAATAAATTAGGGTGCTTTGAAAGGATAGTTCTCTGGGAATGTAATGGTCAATTTGAACTTGCCTCCTTAATAGGCTGTGCCTTCTGGGCCTGCGACTACGGCTGTCCATCTTTCAATACATAAAATTAAATACAATAATCTGTTATTAGCATCGGCAGTGATCTAAACACCATGAAGAGGACTTGTTTAAGTCAAATCTTGCAATTCTTTATTGAGTCTGTTTTACATTTTCTTTGAATAAATAATTTATTATTTAAATCTTTTAATATTTCATACTTATTTATGCTTAATAGAAAAAGAATCACCTTAACCCTTTATTGTTCAGATCAGTTGATTGATTTTACACTGTATTTTGGCTTGATCCAAATATATTCAAATCAAAAGCCTTATTTAATTGAGGAAAAATTGTTAAAATTTTCCTTCTTCATAGACACACAATTTATTAATTTATAGCATTTAATAATTAAGAATAGAATTTCTATTTTATATGTATGTGATTTTTTTGACTTATTTATAATAAATCGTAGATACTTTAAATACTGTTTCTTAAATCCTATTTTTTTTAATATATTTATTAGCTCATTATATTCTAGATTATTCTACTTCTTTTAATATTTAGTTTTAATAAAATCATTCTCCCATCTAATTAGCTTCGTTATATTTAACATACAAACGAACACCCTCTGAATGTTTTCAAATTTTTATTTTTTTAACAGTTTAAATTAGAATCATATCAAATTCTGACGAAGATCTAAGCTTTTTGAAATGTATCTATTTTAGATTTCTTGTTTATGTTTTGATGCTATTTTTAATAATTAATTCCATATTTATCTTGTAGATTAAGTCATAAATGCATATCCATATTTATTATAGTAAATATTTATCTATGAAATAATCATAAATGAATGAAAAAGATGATTTGTATATGCTCTAGTCTCAAGATGCCTTTGGAAAAGAGGATTATAGACTTACAAACTAAACAGGATGTACAGAACACTCCAAATCTTAATCATTATGCTTTGATTAAGTCATACTAGGATCTAGTTAAATTTTAAATATTCCTGACTTATTAATGGATAAGTATTAATCAATTTGGAAGTAAGTTTTGCTTTTATTTTATAGAAAAAAAATCATAATAATTCAATCTCACTACAAAGGACATTTACAAAGAAAAAAATATAAAAATATGAAAAAATGGGCAAAATACAGAAAAAATGTTTATTTAGAGTTGATAATGACAGAAAAAGATTATTTAACTGATTTAAAGTCTATCATTCATAACGTTATGATTGCAGCAGAATAATTTTAGTTATTACCAGAAAATGAGATATAAATAACTTTTAGTAATCTGAATTAAATTTACAATTTCAATTAGATGTTTTATAGGGATATCTAGTGTAAGATTTAATATTTATTTTAGAATAATTTTCTAATTATCATCCTAATTAATGTTTCGGAAATGTATTGGAAAGGTTTATTCCTTATTTTAAAATTTACTTCAAATATTATTATGAGTACAAGGATTATTAAATTACGAACTTAAGATAAGCTTATCCAGCCTTTGATGATCATTTGAACAAACTAGAACAAGGAAATTTATTTAGAGGATGTGATTTAAATTCATTTTTAATCAAACCTGTACAAAGACTACCAAAATACGCCTTATTATTAAAAGATTTAGTTAAACACACTTGGAAAACCCATCCTGATTATGATAAACTAATAAAAACCCTTTAGACATTTAATTCAGTTACAGGTCAAATAGACAAATAAATGGGGAGGTAAAATTATTTATTTACTTTAAGTATTCTAAGAAATTAGGCTCTATTTGATTTGCAGAAAAAGTTCTTCGATGTTTTGTCTGAGAACATTGTCGAATCAACTAGAAATTTTATTTTAACAGAACCAATCTACCAATTAAGACAAGGTCAAGAAGAACTTGTACAGCTTTACTTGTGTAGTGATTTGATAGTGCTGTCAAAAAAAACGGAGGTTAGTGAATAGAGAATAAATGAAAGATTATTAGAATATTGTTATCTCACTGAAAAATGCTATTTAGAAGATGAAAACATTGACAATTTACTATTGACAGTGTCTATTTAGGATAAAGATGAGAAATTTATTTTCCTATGTTAAGATTTTGAATAAAAACAAAGATTATCATAAGAGTTTTTTTAAATCATCTTGATGAGACAAGCAAGTTATTTCTCTCAAACTATTTCGATTTAATAAGCATAAAAGAATCAGCCTATTAGGGTTTTTGTAACTTCGATATCGAGAGGGTAATCTAGAATGCCATTTAAAACCTTTGCTAAATATAATCTTTCAGTAATAAAAATCTTAATTTTAGGTTGTTTTAGATAAAAAAGAGCACACAACTTGGACTAGACATAAAATTTTATTGAGAATTTAAAATGCTCTAAAGAAATAATATAAAAAAGAATATTTAGACGAAAGGGATAATAATATTCTATTTTAAGATTACATTGAGAAAAAACTAAATAAATAAAATAGTGATGGAAGAAAAGTTATCGTTGAAACTTTTATAGAGACTCTTTTAAACTCTTGTTACGTAAAATCTGCACCAGAAAGGTACCTTGAATTGCTCGGGCTCCCATTGGGATTTTATTCAAACAATCAGAATGTTAATTAATCGAAATCTACAATAGTAGATTCGGAATCATCAAAATCAAGTTAGGATTCTTGAAATAAATACACAATTTTCTATTTATAATGCATGAATTATTATTCTTAACAATTTAATTAATTTACAGCATTTTCTAGCATTTATTCAATAGAAAAATAGAATAAATTAAAAATAAGAGGTTTCACACACTATTTATTTAATCTCTTATTCAATTTATTCATACAATCTTTTTGGTATGTAATAATTTATATTAATTGTTTAAGAAAATAAATTAAGACTTAATCCAATTATGTTTAATATATAAAAATAATGATCTATTGTTTCATTTTCAAGTATGCTCTCATTTTTTGAGGGAGAAAAGTTTGCCAATAAAACCTGTATTATTATTAAAATAAAACATCGCTCCCATTACCAATAATAATACGAGCATCTAATAATAGAGTCAATATCATACTTGCATCCAAAACTCTGTTGAAAATAATGTTTTCTTCAAGAACGAAGACTCTTGTTTTGGTTTTACTGGTTCTGGATGTTATTTTAAGTACTCTTCTCTTTCTCTTTCTTCTTATTCCCTCTTTTTCTTAAAGTAATCTGTCATAGCATATTCAAACACCTAAAATATTGGGCAAGGATATTACTTCGAAATTGAATTTTCCTTAACCAAAGATTTCGGTCACATTTTCTCTACAAAGTCTAATCAATCTTCTGACATATTTTCTGTCAGTAAAATTTATTTAATGTTTGGCTACAAGTTCTTTAAGTATCTCATCATTTTCATAATCAATTAGATCCAAATTCATATAGAATGACATTGTTTATACTGTTTCTAGGAGTCTTTATAATTCCTATTTTGCAATCTTTACTTAGTCATATTTCTTTTATTCCTAAGGGTATGAATTATTTTCTTACAGCATAAAACTCAATTATTCTATAATATTTGTTGACCATTTCTTTAACAATTTCATATTCTTGATGTTCCTGTGTTAATTGTGGCATGCAAACTCTATATAAGAATTATTTGTCTGTTTCATTTGGTTATTGTATCAAATCTTCTGGATCAACGACATCAGTAACACCTTCTTCATAAGGTACTTTGCCATCTTCGATCATCTCTTACTCAATTTCGTCAATTTCCTTGGCTCTTAAGAACAATGGTTCCACTATTTCTTAAACCCACTATTTCTTTAATTTCAATGCTTCCATAACTCTATGTGCATGTTCAATATAGATTTCTTTGGCATTTTCTAAGCCCATCAACTTCAATATTCCAGGACCTTATTTGAAAATGTTTTCAACGTTAGATAAACTAATAGCTTTTTCAATAAGTTCTTTTGCTCTTAGTAGATCTTTATGTGTAGACCATTTATCATATAAAATAGCTTAGGAATACCTAAATAAATATTATGAATTTTCTTTCTAAATAACACCTGCATCATCCAAGATCTTTCTTGCTAAATCGAAATGTGACATCTTCATATAACAAACAGACATATTGAGATACAGACCATACATTATGGAGTTACACATTTCTTTATCAGCCTCATCCTAAAAGAAATGAATGAATTGATTACTTGAATATGCTCAACTCCATTATATTTAACATTTTCATCGGTGTAAATAGTCATTAAAGATTTATATTATTTTTTGAATTCCTTTTATTCTTTCCTATATTATTTGGCTGATTTTTTCATATCTTCCAGTTCCTTTCTTTCCTTCTCAGTCATATTTGAGGTGTCTTATTATTGATTTGCTTCCTCTTCATCAGATTCTTCCTCAGGGGGCTCTACTACCTCCAAGTAACGGAAACAACCCAAAGCTCTTTCATAATATCTAATAGCTTCATCATATTCTTATTTTTGCAATAGTTTATTTCCTGATTATGAAAATTATTAATACCTTTTTCTCTAAACTTATCGTAAACAAAAAATCTTTAGGCCACTTCGCATTGTCTAAGTTTTTTTGTGTTTTCGTCATCATGAAACAATGTACTTTTTAAATAAGTTGGGTATGTATCGAATACTTTCCTTCTATCCTTAATTGGACCTAAGATTGAATAAAGGAGAGCCTTACCTTTTTTAACTTCCTTAGAATCAAATGCCAACATCCACAATCCACGAGTATCAAGTAGATAATTCAAAGGACTTATATAATAAGTGTCATATTATTCTTCAAGGTGGGCTAGTGGCGGATTTCTTTTTTTTTCACTCGACATAAATGGACATCCTCCTTTGGGTTACTTTTCCTTTTTCTCTTTTTTCTTTTCAGCACTTCCATCTGCAATTTTGATCTCTGGTTGCTGCTGCATTTACTGGAAAGGACATTTGGATTTATCTGTATACTTTTCATGTCCTTTTGGAGGCTTCATTGCTTCTGAAAAAGGACAAGAACCAAATTCAATATCTTTCTTCTAGGAACCTTAATTGCCTTGCATTGATTTCAAATATATTTTTAATTATGTATAATGTTTTCTTTAGGTGGAGTTCTTAAATTATATAAATATATTTATTCACTGGTCCATGTCAATCATTTTCAAAATTGTTTTAACATGTTTATTATCATCCTTATTTTTATTTTACCTCAAAAACGGAAGCTGATTTCTTTCCCATAATATCTTTCAAATCGATTAATTCACCAGATTCCTCCTCCTCCAATCCAATATGTATCTATTCTTACCAAAATGGAACTCGAAGTCCTCTAATAAAGTATACCTTTACTAATTTATGTTGTCCTCACTGAAATCTTAGCGAAATTGAAGCCTATTTGTATAAATCATATTGTTGATCATCTGTGTTGGCATACTTATATATAAACTCATATCAGATCCAGAGATTTATCACTAATATTTTATTACAAATTTTAAGACTCCAATCTTGACACTATAAATAGTTTTAGAAATTCAGTTTCTGAGAACTACTATAAACACCATTTGAAACTATCATATTCTACCTTCCTTATACTAATAATGAATAAATAAACAATGTTTGAACAATTTTAATTTATAAATTGTTTAGTTTTTTACTTATAAACAAATAATGATATTCAAGTTCTTTCCAACCATAAAATTTTCAAAATCAAATTTCTCAGAATATTATTGTACATCCATAAAGTCTCTTCCCTATGTCAATTAGAATAAGGAATTCAATGGTTTTTTTCTAGAATCATGTCCATTTTTTGAACATAAAAAGTATAATGTAATATAAAATTGAAAAGAAACAATTTGGAATAATATGTAATTGAATAAATGTAAAAGTGACAATGTTTGAACATAGGCACATGGAATTTAGTATAATTAAAAATATCTTAAAGAAATCATTTCAAATTGTTCTTATTTATGGGGAGTTAATTTGGTTTTTGAATTTTTAAGAATAATAAAGACTGTAAATTTAATTATTATAGATCCTTTTGGCTTATTTATATCAGAATCAGGGTATTCTATTGATCTTATAGATTACATATTTTTAAATAAGTTATTACAAAAATAGTTAATGCTTGAAATTTCTTTTTTACATAGACTAAAGATATTTATCTTTTGATATATATAAATTTTATCAATATTGGTTTAAAATTTTTGATTTTATCATTCTTTCTCTAGAAATGGGATATAAAATTTAATTTAGAAATTATAAATTTATTTCAAGAAAATTGAGAAAAGATTTCAAAATTCAAATTAAGAATAAACTAATTTCATCCAATTATGTAATGCTAGGCAGACTTGGGAATTATATAAATGATAAATAACTTTATACAATTATGTTAAATAGCAGTTAATTATTTATTTATACATTTCATTAATTTTAAATTCAAATTTTACACAAAATGAAGAAATCATTCAAAGAAGAAGCAATGCCTCTTATTTTTTACTAATAAGAAACTCAAAGTAAATATTCGCTAAATCATCAAAGCTTATCAAGTAAACCCTGATGCGATAGAAATAATTAAAAATATTCCATCACCAATAGGAATTGTAGGAGTGGCAGGTATGTATAGAACTGGAAAGTCATACCTTCTGAATAGAATGCTATTAAATAGATCAGATGGTTTTGGAGTTGGTCCAACAGTGCTGCCATGTACTAAGGGACTTTGGATGTGGGGCAAACCATTATTAGGTTAAACAAGTGATGGAGAAAGTTGTTCAATCTTGGTTGTAGATAGCGAAGGATTGGGTGCTCCAGATGAAGATTCTACACATGACATTAGAATTTTCTCTTTAACTATTCTATTGACATCATGTTTTATCTACAATTCGGTTGGTAGTATCGATGAAAATGCTCTCCAAAACCTTAGTCTTGTAGTCAATCTAACTAAAAATATTTAATTAAAGAGGTAAATGATAATTTGTGATTTTTAGTGGGTAATCACTTCAAGAACTTGAAGATTTGTCCTAATACTTTCCTCAATTTTATTGGGTTGTGAGAGATTTTACTCTTCAGTTGGTAGATAAGAACAGAGAATAAATTACATCTAAGGATTATTTAGAAAATGCTCTTGTTATCTAGAAGGGATCATCAGAGGGGATTGATCAAAAAAATAAGATTAGAAAATTGTTAACAACATTCTTCAAGGATAGAGATTGCATCACATTGGTAAGGCCATTGACTGAAGAGAGCAGTCTCCAAAATCTAGAGAACTTAGATTTCGATAAGTTAAGACCTGAATTCTTTGAATAGGTTATAAATCTACGTAAAAAAATACTCAATAGAATAAGGCCAAAAATGCTCAATGGAAAGACACTTTCTGGTTAAATGTATTGCGATTTAATTCGTTCTTATGTTACAGCCATTAATAATGGAGCTGTGCCTGCCATTGAATCTGCTTGGACCTATATTTGCAAAAATGAATGTTAAAAGGCTGTTGCTGAAGCTTTTGATACTTATGAATAAATTCTTAAGGAAAATCTTCACAACAGATTTCCAATTTCTAATGAAGATTTGAAAGCATTTAATAGAAGTCTTAGAGAATAAGCATTTGCATTATTCAAAAAGAAATGCGTTGGAGATGCTGATGAATACAAATAAGAATTACAAAGAAGAATTAAATAAAGATTTGCTGCAGTGAAATAGGAAAACGATAGAGAAGGTTCGAGAATGTGTTCTTAATTCATTTAATAGGAATTTTAACCAATTGACAGAAAACTTAAATTAGGAGAATACAAATCATTTGGAGAGTATGAAAAGGACATCAAAATGTTTTATAATTTTTTTATTGAAAATGGACCTAGAGTGGGAACAAGAAATTAAATTATTTTAGAGTTTCTATAAAGAGCCTTAATTGAAGGATCAAATCTATTTATTAGATAGTATGCTCAAGAAACAGATATGATGAAAAATGTTGCTTTTGAAACCTAGAAAAAATTAGAATAGGAATTGAAAGAAGTAAGATAGGATAGTTTGAAAGATAAAAATAATCTTTTGATGAAATTGGCACAAGTAGAAAGTGAAAAAAGTGATTTAGAACTCAGAGAATAGGTTGCTAGAGATAACTTAGAAGAACTTAAAATATAAAAGGAATAAGTTGAAAGGGATTTAAAGTTAGAATCTGAAAATGAAAAAATTGAATTAACTAGATAGATTCAAGAATTAAAGGGATAAGTTTTAAAAGCAGAGGAATTCAATAAGGACATGGAGAGGAATACTCTTTTTGGAAACTCTGAGTTTGAAAAAGAAAGGGCTCTTTTGGAATAAAAAATCACCTTCTTTGAAAAATTAGTCAATGAGATGAATGCAAAGGAAGTTGAATATTAGAATGAAATTAAAAATCTCAGAAAAGAACATAGTCTACAATCAAAAGATTAGTAAACCAAGTCTGACTAAACGGTTAGATAATTATAATAGAAACTCAGTGATTTATAAGAGAAATTGAATGAGATGGAGAATGAATTAATTGAAAAGGAATCCAATTTTGAAAATGATTTCAAAAAGTTTGAACACAAAGAAAGAAGTTTAACAAAATAAAATCTTGAATAAAATGAATAAATTTAAGCATTGACTAGAGAACTTAGAGAATATAAGAGAAATGAGGAATAGATGTAATAAATGCTGAAGAGTGATGCTAATAACTAAGTCAATGAATTATTAGAAAAGGTTCAAGGATTAGAAGATCTAATCAAAACAAAGGATGATCAATTGAAATAAACAAAAAGTCATAGTGAAAAAGATAAGGCTTTGATGTAATAAAAGATGGAATTCATGGAAGTGTAATTGGATGAGTACAAAAAATAAATTGAAGAAAACAAAAAATCACATGAGGCAATTATGAAGGCTTTTGAGAATTCAAGCAATGAATCTACTTACAAGATTGATGCTGCAAAAATGAACGACTTAAGAGAACAACATAAGAGAGATCTTAAGAATATAGAGAATGAATATGAAAGTGTTAAGAAGAGATTACAATAATAAGTAGACCAATTAAATGAGAGAAATAGTGAATTGGAACTCAAAGTTAAGTTTGAGACAGGAGATCTAATTAAAGAAATTGAGAATCTTAAAGAATAACTTTAAACATCAGAAGAACAAAAGACTAAATTACTAGAATAGAACAAGACCTTAGATGGATAGAAGTTATCAATCTTGAAAGAATAAGAGTTAAGATATTAGAAGAAAATTAAATAATTGGAGTAGGCTATGGATGAAGCAGATACAAAAACAGCTAGAGAAGTTAATTAAGCTCAAGCAAAAGCAGAGGAATCTTTAACATAATTAAAGAATTTCTATGAAATCGAAAGGGAAAGATTAGAAAGAAGAATCTGTGAAGAAAAAGAAAAAAGTGATAAGAAGTTTTAAGCTGCTTAAGAAGAATTCTATCATAAGCTAAGAGAAACTGAATAGAATTATGAGGAAGAAATAGAAACTCTAAAGGATGACTTAAGAGATTAAGTATAACAGTATACAAACACAATTTAATAATATGATCATGAGATTGCCTTAAAATAGTAAACTATTGAGATTTTTGAAAAACATATTAAAGAAATTAAGGAGTAACTGATATCCCTTTAAAATAACAATAATGCTACTTTAGAATAATAGATGAACTCTTTCACTACAGAAAGAAAAAGCTTAATTTCTAAAATTGATGTTCTATCAAGTTAATTGAATAATCTACAAAAGGAACATATGGCATTATAATAAAAGAAGGATCTTTTGGAAAATGAGAAAACAAGAAAAGAATAGCAATTTGAATAATCAAGAAAAGAATGGTAAGAGGAAAAGAGAGAACTGATAGATAGATTAGAAGAAACAAAATAAAGACTCCAAAAAATGAATGATGAATTTTTGGAGAAGAAGATTGAATATGGTAGAGAAACAGCATTAACTTAATAACAAAATGAATTTTTATAGAAAAAAATTGAAGATCTGTAAAAACAAATAGATACCTAGTAATCAAGGTTTGATGAGAAAATTAAATAATAAAAGAATGAATATTCAGTTGAATTAGAGTAGAAATTGGAAAGAGCATAAGAGGAAAAAACAGCAATTGAAACTAAGTATGAGAAGATTAAGAAATAATTGAAAGAAAACGAATATCAAAATAATAAATAAGCATCTACTTTAGAAAGAGAGAAAGCCATTCTAACTGAAAAGCTAGGAAATTTAGAATCAAGAAAGAATGAACTAGAATCAAAAATAAAGGATGAGTCGGCTAGCGTTGCTTCATAGTAGGCTGCTTTGAGAGAATAAATAGCCGCAGAGAAGAAATCATTGCAATAAGAATTAGAAAAATACAAATAGTTTAATCTTTAATTAGAATAAGAGAAGAGCGAGATCCATACTAGTTATGAAAGAGATAAAGCTTTATGGGAAGGAAAATTTTAATTTTTGGAATAACAAAAGGAATAGGCAAAATAAGATTTGATGGATGCTTTAAAAAAATTTGAGATGACTTTGATGCATCTACAAAGGGCTAGATCAAACGAAAAGGATGAGTAAGAAAATAATTTAAATGAGTTGTTATTAAGTGTTGAGAGAAAATATTAATCATAAATCGAAGAAGCTAATCAAACTCATTAAAGAATAGTTTAAGATTATGAGGATAAAATTAGAAGATTATAAAAAGAGGTTAAAACTCATAAAGATAAGATTTTAATTGATTAACATGGAAAAATTGGTAATCAATTATTGTCAGAGAAAAAGTTTGCTGAAATGTTAGATAATGAGAAGAGATTATAATAGGAAATTGAAAATATTAAGTAAGATAGGGATTATAAAATTTTTGAATATTAAAAGATGTTAGAATAAGAAAGAGAGAACTTAAAAGCTAAAATAGTAGAATTAGAAACCAAATATAAGGAGGTCGAAAACAAAAGATCCACTCTTATATTTGAGTTTGAAAAAGAGAGAGCCAAATGGAATTTAGATAGAGATCATTTAAATAACATTAAAAATGAATTATCGGATTAATTAGAGAAATTAAGTGACAAAAAAGAATAGCTTTTAAGAGAAAATGAAAAACTAAAAAATGAATAAAGAGCTACCAGACGTAGTGTTGCTGCCCATAATATGACAAGTAATAATATAAAGACAGGCAATACATATAGAAATCCAATAAATAATATTTCAAGTATCTAATTTTCATATAATTTAAGCTATCGGACTTTAAAAACTTAGTCCAACTCATTCTAATAACACTTCTACATCTTCAGCAAATATATCAGTTCTTAAAAAAAATAACTTAGCTGATATAACTAATTATGAAAAGACTGCTCCTTTGACATAGTAATCATTTCAAAATAGCAAATTTTACTTTTATGGAAACTAATAAGGACAGAACGATGACTCAATGATTGGATAGGGTGAATTTTAAAAATGATATAATTAATATATATATAAAAGTGGTTATATTAATTCATTTCTTAATTTTCTTTGGGCCTAAATTTATAGCTTAAACATGAATAAGACTTCAAATTTATAGCACTCAAAATTAAACTCCATGAACCTAATTTAAATTGTTTTAATAAAAGATAATATTCTTAAAATTCACGATTTCTTATAAAAGTTATTAAATAAATTTAGAGAATTTAATTTATTTAAAAAATAAAAATTTACGCCCGAACAGGGTCTCGATCCCTGGACCTAGAGATTAAGAGTCTCTCGCTCTACCAAGCTGAGCTATCCGGGCGTATTGATATTTAGTTAGTTGATATTCCTATAAGGACCTTGAGAATTAGAACCAAAACATATTATTAATAGTTTATTAATGTAAATATATTTTGTTTTTTTTAATGGTTAATTGAATAATATGGCTAAGGTGGAAATAGAAAGAACTCAATTTAAAAAAGGTAGTCAAACCATCATAAGAGAAAATACAATAAAAATTATTAAAATAATTTATATATATTGGTTATAAATGGATTAAAATAATAATCAAGAAGTTCAGAATGAAATATAGTATCCATTTTAGTAAATGCTATCAGAGGATCAATTTCATTTGTTTGAAAACATTAAGGTGAAGGTGATTGGTTAAAATGGAAAGGAAATCGAATTTACTCCAAATTCTGGAAACCTACTCATTACAAATGAAAGATTGTGTTGGTACAGTTTACCATAGAGCAATGAATCATTAACAAATGAATAATTGTAAAAAGATATTCAAATTGAAAAAACACAAGAGAATAGTTCTTTAGTTTCCAATTTGAATGGAAAATCATTTATGTTTAATTATGAAACCCTAGTCTCACATGGCTAATAAGGGGATTAGTTTATGTGTTTTTTAGGGTCTCAAGAGGAAGAAGAGATGGAATTAGAAGAAGAATAAGAAGCTTTAATTGAATTAATTTAGTAATAAAATCCAGCTGAAATAGTTAATTTAGGAAAGGGTGAATATTAGGTAAGCATATATATAGAGATAGATATATTTTGATCTTAGTAAATAATCAAAGGAAACATAAAATAAAATAAATGATATTTTTACAGAATTAGCAACAGCAAATGTAGAGATGGAAGACGAAGGAGATGAATTTATGGATGAAATGATTACAGCCGATAATATCGATTAAGATGGAAATATTATTGTTAAAAAAAAGTAATAATAAGAAGGTGAAGAAATAGAAGATAATGACGAAGATTATGAAGATGTAGATGATGATGAGGAAGATGGAGAAGAAGAAGCAGATAATTAATTTGCGAATAAAAAGAATAATTAAGAATAAAATTGATTTTTCATTTCAATATAATTTCATCAACACATGATTCTATTCCCATTAATTATTGAACATCTTTATTGTTAGCAAGTTCAAATTGTTTGTATCTAGGAACGATAAAGCTTCTGAATTTAAATTCTGTTTCCAAAGTTTATGTATCTCCTTCTTTACAGATTTTAGTGCTTTTACCCTAAAAGTAGCATAATTCAAACAACTCAACGCAATTCTTGTCTGATATTATCAAATCTTCGTCTATGATATAAGCCAATATCGAAACTTAGGCTTACACTAATTGTGCATCGTTCCCTAAATATCAGTTAATTAAATTACAAGTTCCAATTTCTGCTAATACTTTGTTCTCATATTTTAGGTTTTGTAATTGGATCTTGATTGATTAACTCTTGAATTAAAATTCAGTGATACCCCCAATCAAAATAGGTTAATTTACATTCAGATCATATGAAAAATTAATAAATGCTTTGCCCTTCTGTTCTTTAATCCAAGGGTGATTATTAGAGACAGAAAAAGGAATAAATTTAGGATACAAAGCATGTTTTGACCCTGATATAATACACAATTTTATCATTTTGACAGAATTTGTGACTTTCAAATAAGCATTTCCACTATCAATCTTTTCAACTTAGATTCCAACTTGACTGGAACTGCCTTACAAACCAATGATTGAGTATGAAAAATTATCCTCATAAACAGGAACAATCAATTATTGTTTGAAAGATGTATAATAAGCCACCTCAACTCTTGGATCAAAAATTGCTAGCCATTAAACCTGTAGAGTGATTGGATCATTGATGTATTTCCTATAAATTAATTTGAATCCTTTAGTATTCACATCTGTTATATCAATTTCAAACCCATATTTCTAACCATTCATTGATAGTTTTGTTAATGTAATGTAGATGACAGGGGCCTCCAAAAACGGTTCTGTAAATTTGATGTCTTGAATTAGAGTCTCATCTTCTAAGGTGATGCTTTTCTCAGTTTATGACTCAGCTTTGACTTTATCATAAGCAAATGTTATTGTTATTAGAAGAACTAAAAAACGTAAATTCATTAAGTTTATAAAATATAATAAAATATAGATAGGATTATTTAATTATGCTTTCAGATCTATTTACATTTTATAAGGAGAAGAAAGATAATTCTTATATGTTGTTTGGGAAATAGAATAATAAAGAACACGCAGACATGTTTACAACATTTAGAACTCAATTAAAACCTTAATTTCGAAGCATCATCAATCATTTTCTTAATAAGTTGTAAATCAAATAAAATGCTTAATAATTAATAAAGCAGAACTTGAGCAGCTTTTTTATTTGGAAAAACCACAAATAAGAAGTAGAAGTATTTTATATAGATGAATCACTAACTTCAGAAATTAAGTATAAAAATCAAATTTCAGATGAGACCTATAAATAATTTTATGAAATCCTATTAAGTTTAAGTAATTTGAACATTTAAGATGTATAATAAGTGATAATAACAACCGCCAATTTTTTTAAAGAAATTGATCAATTGTACCATAATATTGCTGTGGTCATCTAGAAAGAATAAAAAAAAGGTAATAAGGACTAGTAATTTGTATCCTTAAAAATTCTAACTAGAAACTCTTTCATTTTAAGGCCAAGTGGAGATTTGTAATTAATTTATTATAAATAGAATTAAATTACCTAAAATAAGCAATGACATGTATAATTTTAATCACACCAACATTTACATATCTACTAGAATTCCTTTTTGTAATCCAATGTAGGGCGATTTAGATTAAAATGTGTTTAGATACACTGGATCAATAGATAAATAAACCTTTTTACCTAATGGGCAAGGAGTACTGGATAGTGATGAAGCTTTCTAATTTCAATGCAAATTTTCGGATGGTTTGGCAACAGGAAAGGGCTGTTTAGATTTAAAATTCTAAAAACAAATTTTTTAAGGCCATTTTTAGTATGGACTTAAACATGGAGAATCAATAACTAGTAATCCCAATTAAACAATAACTACTGGATACTATTAGAATAATATGAAATAAGGAGTATTCGTTAATAAAAAACAGAATGGATCCAAAGTGTAAGAAATCTATTATAAAAATGATTAAATGGTGAAAAAAAAGGATGAATGTAAATTTGATGAAAATATGATCTCTACAAGATATTTGGTTAATCATAAAGATATCTCAATTAATAATCACTTTTTTTCAGGATTGACGGAGGAAAAATGGATAAATTAATTATTAGTTGATTATTATCTAAGCCTCTTGTCTGATTATTATAAAAATTCCTCAAAAGCATAGATATATCTATTTAATACATCATAGTCATAAGATTTATTTACAAGTTAAATCAGTTTAGTGGATTATAAAAGTCTAAAATTACAATAGAAGTATGAGTAGGTGATTAATGACTACTAAAAATATAACAAAATAGTATTTATTTTGAATGCTGATTAAGTGCATTTTTTAGTTTTAGTATACTAAAATAAATCATTGTATATGCTTAATTCTTATGCAACCTAAAATGATTAAAAAATATTATCGGCTGTAGGTTCTATATTTCCTATCTAACTGAAGTTATAATAGATTTAGGTTGAATAGCAATAGAATACTTATGACTGTTCTTTGTATTCAATTTATAATGTGATGCTGTAATACAAATATTATAATGTGGACGTTGATAAAATTGATTATAAAGTCTCATACAAGTACATTAAAAAACTGAGATTACATCTGAAAAATATTATAAGTAATGATTATGCCCACATAATCCTTCATTAAGATTGATTTGTAATTTTAGGAATAATAATTTTATTATTGCAAAATAAAATAAATAACACAATTTAACATTTCATACTTATCAATAGTTAGTAGGATTAGGTCTCTATTCATGAGCAGAATGCCCTTTTTTAATATCATCTATTATAATGTATTTAAAAGAAAATACTTCTTTTTTTTAACCTATCTTCTAATGCATTCTTTTGATTATCAAGATCTTTTTGCATGAGTTCATCGAACTGAGCAACATGATCATCATAATCTTATAAGATCTGTTAGGCCTTGTCATATTCCTTCTCTAATCTATCATGCATAGTTAAAAAAGTAGCTAAAGAGTTTCTAACTTAGGGTTTGTTCATATTCATATATGCTTCCATCTCTTCCACATTTGATTACTTGCAATATGATTATTGACTTTTCTCTAACATTTGTTGCAATTAAGCATCATCACTTTTTTAAATGCATTATCTAACTTATGGTTGTTCTAACAAACTATTAACTTTATCCTTAAAATAAATCATTAGTCCATCTTGTCCTTAGAGTTACTCAATAATAATAAGATAGCTGTCAATTAACGTTCGTATTAACTCTATGTTCGGAGTATGTAGTTGTGATTATTTTGGTTCTAGCGATAATAAAGAAATATAGAATTCAGGTGGTAAAACCTATTTGTTTTGATTAATTTGTTGGTGTTCCTTTTTCATTTCTGTAAAATAGTTCATAGCTACCCTGCTATTAACTTAATTCTATTTTTATTTTGGGAAGATCAACAGTCTAGGAGATTTTTATTCAACTTATAGTTTCTTTAAATTCATATAATTGCTCATTATTTTTTTATTTTAAATATTGTGTATATTGCGTATATAATTGATTAAAATAAGTATAATATCTTTACGTTGCTAATATTGTACAATTGTAAATAAAATATCATTTCTTAGCCTATTATGCAGCCAAGTCTTCGTCCATTTGTTTGAGTTAAGCACCTCCTCTAAGAAGTCCTGATCGTCTGGCAGCTACAAGACCTACTTTTTAACCTGGTGGAGCATATCTGGATAAAGTGGATGGATGCCCAATATGTTATTGATTACCACCACCCTAAGTTGATATTAATCAAAAGAATTACGTGAGGATGATCTACTGGATTCATGGCAACACCTCTGACTCTAGGCCATACCTTTCTGAGTCTTCTATATTTGTGGAATTATCTTCCTGCTTTGAGGATTGGTTTTTCAGTTCTTCCACCTCCAGAAATCAAGCCAACTGTGGCTCTGCAAAGGGAACTTAAAGTTTTTCTTGTACCAGAGGGTAATCTAACTCTAGTCTATGCTCCATCATCTGAATGACCAATAATAGTAGCATAACATCCTGTAGCTCTTCCTAAAGCACCTTTGTCTCCTGGATGCTCTTCCAAATTGCAAACAACTGTACCTTCTGGAATTGATCCAATAGGTAAAACATTTCCTGTTGCTAATTAAGCTAGAAATTGAATGAAACGTATAGATTACCCTTAGCACCGCAATAAATGTATTATCCAGTATAAGCACCTTCAGGAGCAATAAATAGTTTAGTTTGTTTTTTGTATTTGTAAGGATCATTAAATTCAACTTTGGCCAATGGAGCTCCTCTTCCTGGATCATGTATAATTTCAGAGATCACACCTCTCACATAACCATGTCTCTCAGCATAATCAAGGTGTCTATATTATGGACTTCCAACTCTTTGATTTTAATGTGCTTTGAAGACACTGTTGGATTTACCCTTTCTTTATGCTAGTATGTTATAGGATGAGATGCTTACTTCGAATTCTCTTGCCCATATTTAAAAATATATTTTAAATTTTAATATTAATGTTCATTCATTTACCTACTCTTAGATTGTCCCAATGATGCTTATATTTCTTATTATGCAACTCTGTCATCGTTTGATGAAATCGTTCCCTTCTTTAACTGTTGTATTCCATTAAATCGAGATTTTAAGCATGTTTCTAATTGATTTCTTGAATGGATTCCACTCTTGTTTCATTATCCTTTTTTTCCATTGCCTTCAACAATTCAGTGGCTAAATTCGAGTTTTTTTATTTCCCTTTTTCGAAACTGGGAATAAATTATGCCTTCTCATTAAATTTATCGTATTTTGTGATCATTCTTTCGATTTTGGCTTCTTAAAACATTAGGTAATTGACCTTCCTCGTTTTGACCTCATCGTCTTTAGGCTTGAAGACTACTCAAATGCAAATATTTTACACGTATTTCCAGTCATAGAGAGATTCTAACTATTCCAAAACCCATCGCTATACTTGGTCTTTAAGTGTTGGACCTATCTAAAATCCAAGGAGGGTAATGAATGATGAGATCTAAACTAAGAATTTCCATAATTGTAAATCTTCTGACTAACCTTCTCCACCTCCTTTTATATAAATTTTGGCTGATTGCTAAATCTTTGATTCAAAAACACTTTAATTTTCTCTGGCGAATTCATTTTCTACTCCAGTAGTTCCAAGTATCCTCCAAACTATTCCTTGCCGATATTCTACCTCTTCAACAGATCACTAGAATTGTCTACATATTAATATTAAATCAACACACCTCGCTGATGTTCTATCTTATGAATCTTTTAGTTTTTCTTCAAAATGTCCTTTAATTACTCTTATAACTCAACTCCCCTTTTTGTAACTGTGATTCGTTGGCAAGACATAAATAATTAATTAAATAAATGTTTTACAAATTCAAGAACAATGAATAATTGAAAAATTCCAAATAAAAATTGCATATTTCTTCTTAACGTTAAACTATCATATAATTAAAACTATTCACTTGATTTTAAATTAACAAATTCTAAAGAATCAACATTCTTAGTAAATCTTAAAGTAAACACTTAATTGTAAAGCCAATCTTCGGTTCAGAGACGTAAATTCTAAAATGATGAAATAGAAAATAATTCTCCAATTATTGTTTTTAATCATCTATAATTACCATACACAAAAGGTTAAAGTTTATTTACATAAAAAATTAGGAATCATCTTAATAAATCTATTAAGATTATTATGAAAACCACAATATATTTGGAACAAATTTTTGAAAATCTATAAAACTTACGCAAACATATCAAATTCTAATAATAATAATTAAATAATCAAAAATTGAAAGGAGGTTTTAAATTTATAATATATTTTTAATATTATTGTTAAATCATACACATCTATTTTATTATTGTTATTATTATTAGAAGCAGGTTCATCAAAATCTTATTTTTGTTATTGTTACTGCTAATTTTTAATCATTATCTATTTTTGTTTCTTATTGATGACTTAAATATGGGATATTATTATGACTTATTCCTAAATTTGATTTTTTTTATAGAGTGAATTTGGTAACTCATGAAATAGATTACTAATATACTACTCATATTTTCTAAAGCAGTAATCGAATCTTTAGTCTCCCATAAATGTACATTTGCTTATAATTGAGAAGTTTACTTTATCACATTAATAAATAAAGTTCTTCACAATTTCTGGATCATTAGACATGGTAAATTGAATGAACAAAAAAAGGTATTGACCTGTTTTCAAAAAGAATAGGGAATTTTTCTAATATCAAGAGATATTTCTAAAAGTTGGATACTAAATTTAGGTTGATTTCAAGAAAACTGATATATAAGTGAAAGAGAAATCTTTTTACAAAGATTCTTAACTAGAATCTCCATTATCAAGGTAATCTAATAAATTGAGGATAAGATTAACAGCACAGAAAATTAAAGTAGGATTGATAATACTTAATCTTGGTAATATTCTTTCAACAATAATTTCAGCTAATTTTAATCAACTGGATCATAAGTAGCCAAATAATAGAGAATGAATATCTATCCTCAATTGTATTCATTCATCAATTACTAATAGCAATTTTTGTTTGATTTTAGGACTCAATTGTATTAATTGTTTGCCATTGACTACTTCAACTTCTCTCATAGACAAAATAAATTTGCCAAAACAATACTTTCTTCAATTATTCGAGTATAGGTGGACATAATTCTGGTGATACTTCAAAAACCAAATAAAAATGAAAAGAGATTACCTTTGGAAATAAAGCAACTGTTTTTTTTTATGCACATAACGATCATCATCTTAAATACAATCTTTAAAGGATTTGATTAAATACTCATTCAATTTAAAAACTCTAATACAACCGAATGTTCTTATAGAATGGATTTTCTGATTTACGAACATCTTTGCTGAAATTTTAGATAACCATAATCTGGTTTTAATCAAGAATAATTCTCTTTATAAAGGTATCAATATTATTGCTAACTTATCATCTCTATGTCTTAAAATTCAAGACACTTAATAAATTATTCAAAAATTGTGACACACCTTTCCCTACTTGTCATAGATGCAATACTTTCTTTACAGTCTTAATAGCATATCAATTTCTTTAGTAAAACTTCTTACTTTTTCTCAAAATTTAAATCATTCAAATAAGCATACAACTCTTATAATTCACCACACTATTAATTATTTCCAAAATAGGCCATATAAAATAATATGTACTTAGTAAGTAATTCAATTATTTTAATTTATTTTGAAACTCTCTCTTTTTCTATTTTTCTATTATGGCAATTTAGACTTATTATTAATAAGTCTTAATTTAAAAGATTAATATCAAGCGATAATATTTTTATATTATAATTCAAACTCATTCATTAAATTTTAAACTTCCTGTGCTGTTAAACTCTGATCCAAAATCCGTTGTTCAGACTCTTCAATTAGTTCACCTATCTTCATTAATTGAGGAACACTTAGATTTTTGGTTTTATACTATTGTTTGACTTCATTAATTCTTCTTTCACATTAATATCTAAGATCGTGAGTCTAATAAAAATATGAAATGTAAATCTTACTAGTTAAACATTGCTATCATCTAGTTCTAGTTGATCTTCGATTTGAATCATTTCTGCAAGGCCTGCATTCTAGTCCTATATAGGAATGGCTATTTTATTATCTGCAGACATTTGAATCACTCCAAAATCATCATAATAAAACATAATTAACCTCGTATTTGTAATCAAAAAGGTTTTAATTAATGCTTAGCATCCGATAGGAGGGGGATCATAGAATAGAGATATTTCATAAGGCTTGAACTAATCCAACTATTTTATTAAGCAATGTTTAAATCTTAGACACTCACCATTAAGGACGAAGTACTCTCTCAAATTGATCTAATGCATTTAATTGCTATTCTGGTCTTAGGGTTTGATTCCAATAAAGATAGGGTAATGTTCAAATACATTTAAATAATGTTACATGGATTGTTCCTTTTTTAGTTAATCCTTTCTTTGAGCAATTAATGTATTGGAAACTGCACACCCTTGGCAAATAGCTTCAGTTGCATGTATGGTACTTTAGATTTATTTGCCTTCAAAAATAGTTTTAATGCATTGTTATATAATCGGAATTCTAGAACCTCCTCCCAAAGTTACTATGAGATTAAAGTTATAATTTTAGGTCTAATGATAGAGATTGAATAGCAAATTCTGAATCTATTCTAGAACTGGTTATATGATGGTCTCATAATTTTCCCTTACATAATGAATATTGTTTACCTTGTTAAATTGCAAGTAAAATCTACATCTGGAATAAGTTGTTCAATATCAATATGGGTGTCTTTATTTGCACTTAAGCGTTTCCTAATACTCTCACAAGTATCCAACAATCTCAAATAATATTTACTTGATTTATCGATAGTGATCTTTGCCTGGTTTATAATCCATTCAGCTAGATAATTGTCCATCTAGAATGTTCCTAGATTTCTATCGAAAACTTCACAGAGTATTTACTCTTAGGATAATAGGAATGCTGTGAATTTTGAGTGTCCAAAATCTATGATCATCATTTCTTTTTGTAGAACATTATTTTGACAATAATTAACATAAGTGCTTATTGCCATATTTTCTGGAATTGCTGCCATGACTTTTACTTTGCTTATTTGAATTGCTCTCCACAGCCTGATCAAATCGAATTGGGTGTAAAAATCAGGATAAGAGATAACAATTGTTCTATTGCAATCTCGCAGCAATTTTCTAAGAAAAGCTCCAATCTGTTACTCAGGTTCCAATTTAATTGATTACCCTTTATACTGAAATGTGTGAGCCTTTTGGAAGCCTCGTACTGAGTTTAGAATATTAGATCGATAGGAATGTGCTGCTGTGTTTCCAAAGAATCTTTCATGTGTCTAAAATACTATCACATTCTCTGTTTCTCTTGAACCCTCATTGAGGACTACATCTGCTGAGAATAAGTTGCATCTAGCGAGTAGAGTGTATCTACCGCCTAAATCTACTCCATAGCCTTAATATTCTTCTTACATTAATATGATTAATAATAATGACTCAGATTAAGAACTTATGTAACAGATTCTTACTCTTTATGCTGATCGGGAAGAGAAGATAAACAAAAATTATCACATTCATTCCAAATTCAACTGCGATTGTTCAATCTGTCATCATCAACTAATGACTGACAACCAATTAAAAAAGGATTTAAATTATGATGAATTCTATGATCAACCTAGTGATCGTTATCTACAAGATGAATAGACCCATGTGAAATTCATGAGGAAAGATGGAGGATCACAATTATTGCCATAAATCAAAGATCCTATAGATTTCTTAGGTCTTTCGATTAAAATGATGCAGCCAACAAAAAATGGGAAAACCCTAAATCTGAGAGTTATGGATACCCTATTCTTCTATTAAAGAGAACCTTGTGTTTTGGTTTATCATGACAAGGACAAAGGACTCAGAATCATCAGAGACAGGCATCTATTAACTAATTTATAAGAATTAGGCTAGTTTTTGGTAAAAAGAAGAACAGAATATGATATAGAATTAAGAGTAGCAACAGAGAAAAGAGAGAACAAGGATTTCAATAATTTGGAATTTGATTAGAAGAGTGCAGAAATATAATAAGGAATTAAGAAGTATGTTTAGAATATTGGAATCTAGAAGGATTTTATTTTAGTTAAATTTAAGAATGGGGGTGAATAGATAATGTCATAGTTAGCTGCCATGTAACTGTTTGAAAAGAGAAAGATAGATTCAATATGGGATACCATAGTTATGATCTAAGCATACCCTTATGATTTTTATGGAAAACTTATTTTTAAAGCCAAAGAGAATCCAGAAAAGTTTGAAAACAATAGGTTATCTAAATAATCTCTTAGCAAAGACACCAAGAAATTTAAAGAAGAAGAAAAGCCAACTGAGGCAAAGTAGAGTAAATCAAAAATAGCAGATGATAGTATGAAGTTGACAGAAGAATAAAAGTTAAAATTAAATGAATTAAATAAGACGAGATATCAACGTATAACATACATTAAGGATGATATCAAATATTAAGATCAGTATGATAAAGCCTTAGAGTAAATATGCTAAATCAACAATCCTAACTTTTAGACAGGCAATCACATCCGTCAACATGAAATTTACTTAAAGGAGTTAAAGAAGAAGAGCATGTCATAATATTTATAGTAATACTCAATTATATTATTAGTTATCATATGTATTAGATTGTCCACTTTTTTGAAGCATATCATCAACGAAAGATAATGAAATTGAGATTGGATTTTGCTAGGGATGATTTTGATAATCTGTACATAATAGATGCAGGATAATTATAGTTTATAGATGTAAGAAAGATAGAGTGGGATGAAATGATATTGAAGGAGATATCATTGATTAATCCAGATTATAAATAGCTAGTCTTAAGAGAAATAGAGGAGAAGGAGAAGTTGCAAAGGGAGGGCGAAGTGGTAGTCAATCATCAGAGATAGAAATATCTAAAATAAGCTTTTGATGAGGTTGTAGGTTACTTCAGAGAATAATACAGCAAAGCTATTGATAAATGTGAATCAGACCTATAAAACCAACCAGATATTGATAAGACTGATGAAATCTTTAAAAAAATCAATCCGAGAGCAGATTAGAAGTTTTCAGAAATGTTGGCTATTCATAAACCTGACGAGATCATTAGATAGAAGGATTTATTGAGCAATTTCCCAATTGATTAGGCAAGATTTCTGAGTCAATAGAAATATTATCGATAATCTAAGTAATTGGTGGAGAGTAAAGAGAGATACAAAAAATAGTTGAGATTAAGTGCTAGTAAATTATCAGCAGTTGATTTGAGATCATCTTCGAAATATGCATTTACTACTAAATGAAAATTTATTAACTTAATATGTAATATGAAGTAATCAAAATTGGAGCAATTCATGGAGAATATAGTTTTATATTTCCCTTAATTCTCTTTAAAGTGCGGATAAATTTGATTTAGTTTCAGTCTTAAACTATGCAACGACTTGCAGCATTTACAATTTTATTATTCTTAATTTAATCTGTTGCTTTTGTTCTTCAGTAATCTCAGTTTTCTATAGGGTTTCATATAATGAATTTTCAGTTTCTTAAATTTCACTTATGGTGTTAGTTAATTTTTATGTGATTGTATTCAAAGTTGTTGTATTATTAAGTTCGTAGTATTATTTAAAAGTTGGTATTTAAATATTCTTATTTTCTTTCTCTTAATCGTTAGGGAAATATTTGGTTTCGTAGTTTTCGGACAAATGCGAAACCGTACTATTGTTTGAATTCATCTAACAGATAATTAAGATATTCTGAATGTGTATAATTAAAATTAAATGATTCATTTATCTAGAGGATTGAAGAATCAACTTAGACAAGTCACAATTCAAACCTTTGCTAATTCTACTAGAGTACCCAATCCTTTTGCACATCATGACGATCACGGAGATCACGGCGATCATGGAGATCACGGTCATGAAGATCATGGACATGGAGATCATGGTCATGGACATGGTGATCATGGACATGGAGTACCTCATGGTAGAGGCAGACCCAAGGTGGAATTCAATACAATTACTCAACATTTAGATCATTAGAACTTATATACTTATTTTGAGTGTAATCATTCATTATTGAATCTTAGAGGGTCCTGGCTACATGCATTATCCAGGTGTCAATTACAATGAAGCTCATGGCAAACCCTATGATTGGAGAGATGATCCAAAATACAATCCAGACTACATCACTCCAACAAAACATGTTGGTTGTCCAGATCCAAAAACATACGTATGGCCATTCGAAGGAAAGCTTGTTCATTTCAATCCTTCTGAAGCCTTGCCTTAAGATCATCTTTACAACCCATCACTTCTATTAAAACCAGAAAACAAATAAGTGGGACAACCAATCTAACATTTGACTGCAGCCTAACAAGACTAAGATGCTGATGTGAACCATGAATTTGATTATGAATCAGAAGATTGTGATTTCTAAACTGAGAGCTTCAGGACATAGCATTTCAGAAAGAGAGGACCTATGTGGCCATGGGCTGCTATGGCTACTATGCCATTTGTCTATTTCTGTAATATTCTCCATCTTATTCTGTTTAGGGGTTGAATTCCTTTACCAAAGATATCCAGATGAAGATCACTGGAGAATCACTCACCCACCCCCTCTCA